TAATAATAATAATAATAATAATAATAATAATAATAATAATAATAATAGAGATCTTAACAATACAGTCTTTTGCATTTCTACTTGGAAGCAAGTCTTGTTGAGTTCAGTTGGGGTTATTTCCATGTACGTGTGTATAGAACTGAGCCTTAAGAGTCTAAGTCTAGAATGAGTCTAGAACTAGTAGCAATATTTCTAAACAATATAGTCACTTTGGACAAAATGTGTGAGGAAGAATTTTCATCTTCTGATCCTCTCAGCTGTCAGACAATGCACTTTTGAATAAACTTGCATATACACATGGGTTATTACATGTAAAGGAATCCCTACAGTTGCTGAAAACAGTGGAAAAATGAAAATTTCTCTCTTTCAATTTTTCACATTGTAGTACACAGGAGTGTAATTTCACAATCAAGTTGGATAGACAAATGAATATAAGCAACATATTGGCAGATTTAAAAGAAAAAGCAGAAATTAGCCCAATTGGTAAGTAGACATGAATATTTTCTTGCTTAATATATTAGGTAACCAAGGACATATGTCTTGTCTTATTTCAATCTCAGAGTTTAAATCTAAAAATAAAAAAATAACAAAAGACTTGAATTTCCTAAGAATCAGTGCAGGGAATCCCAAATTCAGGATTTTAATTTTGGCTTAGCATAGATGCTATCTGTCACTTCCAGTTTTTCAGCTGTAGTTAGATTTAAAATTGCAAAGCCAACTCTGTTTTATGCCAGTTTTTATAAATAATTTTACTTTGTTCCAATGCTGAGTGAGGAATGCCCCTTGATTTTAAGAGCCTTCTACATACACATTCCAGCTGAGGTTGGGAGAGAGCTATAGTTAAGCTAATGATATGTTGTAAGTGAGTTTTGTTTCTTTTTTAAAAACTTGACTTTAGTTCATATTGGTATCTCTGCACTGAGACACTGATTGGTATCTCTGCTCTGAGACTGATTGATATCTCTGAGAGGGGAGAGTTAAATCTCCCCATGCACTCCAAATGCCCACTGGGGTCTGAATTAAAAAAAGAGAAAAAGTCTTCAGGTATACAAGTTGGGATTTTTTGAGGGGTGGGGGGCGTTACCATGAATGTGAAATTTAGGAAGTTTAATCCTATCATCATAGAATCTGGTGGTCCTGATTGGAATCAGATAATAAGAAAAAGTTAATAAGGTTCAACAGGTTAATAAGGTTCAATAAGGTTAGCATAACAGGTATTTTGGGTGTAAGTTATACTGGAGTAAGGAAATATAGCACAGTGCAGGTGCTGCAAAAGGTTGTATAGATAATTATAGTTCCCAGCCAGTATAGTCAATGCTATTATTAGTGTGTACTAGGCATTGAGTGATTATGTTCGACCTCTTCTTTGCTAATCACATAGATTCTCCCTTGATTCAATGGCAGGGGTAAGAACTACACTGTAATCTTAGTCCCTATACAATACCATCATATACAAGTTATTTAACATTATGTCATATGTATAATTTAATTCATTATAGAAATTGCTACCCTGCTCTTCAAGCAACATCCCAGAATGGCTGAATTATGTCCTTATAGATGATATACAATGATTGTTAGCATTAGTTCATTTGAAGTTCTTTCCAAACAAAAGTCAATTTTATAAAAGGATTCAGTGCCTTTCACAATAATCTCTGTTGATTGAGAAATTAAACTGATTTGTGTTCTTAATTTGTTATCAGAGTCATGCTGTTGCTCAACTTTGCAGCCTTACTCTTGCCCCTCGTCTCTCGAAGAGCTGCAGCTACTGCAGTGGTAAGTGTGCCATAAAGTGAAACTGCTTGGTTCAGGAAGTGTGGGGGTCATTTTTCAAGTAATCTAATAATTCCCTTTCCGAGTTGGTTTGCACAATTCAGCCAAGGTATCCTAGCTTATTTAGCTCTCACTGTGGTTTTGCTGAACGTGTATACTTGCCTGGTTCAATATGCATGCCCTAGACGGGGTAATTAGGTGTTTTACCTTTTTTGTGAACTCGGCCATCATGGGTTTGTGAGAATTAAGCAATCCTTGTGCAACATTAGCTAATGTGTCTGTTGAAAGGGAGGGGAAGAAGGAAGAATATGGTCACTCATACTAAAATTACTGGATTTTTCATATTTTCATTTGACTGCATAAAGTATTATGACACTTCTGTTTGTGACAAGTTTTTGCCCTATATGGAAGAGCAGTGCTTTTTTGTAAGAAAAAAGGTGTCAGAACTCATGAAATTATTTACCTTTTGCACGTAGTCAATCACTGTACACACACCCACACACGTCAGTTATGTAACGAGACATAACAGTCGCCGCCCTCAGTAAGCACTCAGCGCGCGACCACACGACCAATCACAAGCTGAGCAGTGCCATCACAACCAGCGCAGATGAAGTACGCATGCATTGGACTCGACACACAAGCAGCCCGCATGCACCGTTTTAATGATTTTGCCGCCAACCTGCTACGCTCGACAGGGCGATTCAAATCCACATGGACCAAACATCAAATTTTCAAAAGTTACTTTTATAACTTGGAAAATCTGTCGAGAAAGGTGCCAGAACTCCATTCCGGTGCATTCTATGACAAAAAAAGCAGTGTGGAAGAGTAATGGAACTTGTAAAAAACTGCAAGGAATAAATCTGTCATCATACTGTCCTTCTTTCTAAGAACTTTGCAGCTACTTAAATGCCAGACAAGACCTGACATAAGTATACAATTGGGTCTCACATTTTTTGATCTGCATTCTCCATTTTGTTTTCTAAATAGTAGTCACTAGAATAGACTGCCCAGGTTGAGACTGTAGCATTATGGGAAAAGGGTTCTTACCCCTTGCCCATGCAACATGCCCAAGATGGAGCCCAAAGGGCAGGTTGCATCCTTTCTCTCTGTTCCTCTCACCTTACGAGTGCTAAGAGGTACTGTGCAAGTCAATGGGCCAGTATGCATGACATGACAGAGTAATGTTATGAAACCCACAATGAACCACAGCACTTGTCAGGCAAAAGGAGCTACCAGTCTGAATATGCCACTCTCAACTGGAGGTTATGCCATGTTGTGGGAACTCAATTGTGGATTATTTTAAGGGTTAAACAACCCTCACACAACTCTGTTACTAACTGAGGGTTAACACATTTCTTTGGAGAATTACAGAGAGTGGGAGGCCTGAGCACATTCCCCGTATTTCATTCTGCAAACTTTCAGGAGGGAAGGCAGGCAGGGCATGCTCAGACCTCCCGTTCTCCATAACGCTCTGATGTGATGCAACCTGTACACGTCTCCTGAAAAGCTGCAGATAAACTTAATGTGAGTTCATATTTGCAGAATTCCAAATCCCTTGACTCACAAAGTATTAATGACTATTTCATGTAAAGAAATAAGAATATGAATTAACAAATATGATCTTATACTACTTTAACCATAAGCATTAACTTACACAGTTTGAGGTGGGTGGAGATGTTTTTTAACCTTTTGGAATATAAGCTTTGGTTGCACCAACAGAAAAACCTGTATAATTTCTCTTGTTTTTTCCCCATAGTGGTATGCATGAACCAGTTGCCTGCATTGGTCCACGTTCAACTAGCCCACCAACTGCATCTGTTGCTCCTTCCCATTCTGTAAATCAGCATGTTGTGCCTTCCTCTGAATCAGCCACCCTCTTCCCTCTTCCCTTGACTGAGCCAACAATGACATCTCAGAATACAACTACAATTCTTCCGGACATTGAACAAAATACAACTGTGCTTCCAAGCACTAATGAGTCTACCTATACAACTCTTCCTTCAACTTCGTTCAAAGCAACTAATCCAGTCTTCACAACAACATCATCTACTACAACATCATCTACTTCTACTCCGGCCGTGTTTCCCAACACAACTGTCACTGAACTACCTTTCACAGAATCTTCTACCACAGCTACAATCCCAGACAAACCATCCACTTCATCTGCCATTAATACTGCTACAGATAATCTTTTCCCTACGGAGGAGATTGGAACACCAAGTAGCACCAGCACAGGTAAACCTGGTCTTCCCCAAACCTGCTTTACACTTGCAGTTTGAGGTGTGGCATGGAACGGGAAAAGCAACCGCGTGGCAGGCCGCAATCTAAACTGCTTACTGTGCAAAGTTGACGGGCAACGTTTGTGGGAAATGCCTTGGGGAGCATGGCATGGCAATGGAAATCCCACCCTTTCCTTTTGGCATCAGGGTCAGGGTTCAGGTAGCAATGTGCAGGTGCAAAGTTGTGGAGGGGATAGTTCCATCGGAACAGGCATCAGTGGGGCCAGCAATTTGCTAAGTAACCTTGCATTTGCTTCAGCACCTTCCTGCCATCTCTGCCTTTTGGTGCCACAGCATAAGGGTGGATTTCTCCTTCCGCTCCTGTTGCAGTGGCGCGACTACTGAAGGTTCATCCAGTGAAATGAATCACTGGCCATTGGAGGAGGCTGGTGGCCAATCTGAGTCATGGAATGACAAGAATATAGCCATGCTTCCTCCTGTGCCTCCAACTGAATCTACCCTTGCAGTGCTTCCTTCTATTCTTTTCAGAACAACCAGTCCAGCCAGAGTCAGGGCAATGTTCGAGTCCTCAGCTGTTAGCAACCCATACTGTAGAAAAGGAAAACTGAGGCACAAAACATGAGACTGTTGTCGTGGTGGTGATGGGGATTACACATCCATGGAAAAGTACTCCTTTTGACCCACATCCCCTCTTCCAGCAACAACTTCTTTCCCACAGTCAAGTCAGTCTAAGATAATGAGGGGGTGGCAGGGGGAGAATCCAAATAGCCATAGTAACAGGGATAATAATTAAAGTGAGATGTGGCAGCTAGTAAGAGCAGCTGCAGTTAGCTCCAGTGCCCGAACAGCTTGAGCAAAACCATTCTTTGCGGTCCGTCCTCTCTAAAGAAGGGTGCTAGTGCTGCCTGGCTCTGTGCGCCAGGCAGACCCTGAAGCCTGTTTGCTCCAGGGAAAGGTCCTGGAAGAGCAGGAGTGCTCTGAGCACATGCACGAGTTCATCCTGCACTGCCAGAAAAAGCTGCCACAGCAAAGAGAGAAACTCATTATAAAAGGAATGGTGGCAGAGGAGAGCAATGGAGGATAGACACACAGGGGGCCCTCTCATTGGAGCAACCTCTGCTGGCTGTCATTGTTCCTGCATGTGTGAATCAGATTCTTGTGTGAGCCAAGCAAAAGAATTCAAAGGACGGTTATACATAAAGGGTGGGGGGACCTAGACCCCTTATACCAGCCTCTTTCAAAGCACTGGATGTGCTTATGCAGTGTTGCTGATTCATGCAAGTGGTACATGTCACCCTTTCTTGCCTTCCTACCCATCTAAAGTTTAGAAAGAGAACAAAGCAGGCTCACCACAGAGGGAACTGACCCCGCTTTAGTGAAGATTATAACCATTTACCTGCAACTTTTCTCTAACTTTTGTCTTGGCCCTAAAGCATGGAGCTGGGAACAGGAGATGTAATTAAGATCTTTTAATTTACTAGAACTGGGTGAGCATATCTTATAATGATGATACAGCACTATCAGCACTATCTCCTCAGAAACCCAGATTTCAATGGGGTTTACTTCCATGTGAATGGGCATTGGACTGCACTGTTACAACATTAAATATAATACTGTGACAGAGGAGCTGTTTCCTAAAACCATAGTTGAAACGGTTAAACCAAAAACCAGTGGCTTTCAATATAAGGCTTAATTTTCTTGTTTTATACCCTTAGGTCCAGATCACATGCTGGTTTTTTCTCTCCCTCTTTTGCAGAACAAATATCTCATAGTCAGCCCGTTTCCATTAGTACTAATGCCCCAGATATTGAGAACATAATTTCTCAGCTGGAGGGCAACTTGACTGCAGAAGCAATAGCACCAGCCCTCGCAAAATCCATGCTGGACAGCGTCAGCAGTCTCTTGAGTGTGCCCCAGTCACAGATATCTCCGATGTCTAAAAGGTATGCGTAACCTTGCAGCTTAAGGAACGTCTCTGCTTCTCATTGTAATAAGGTTTTATTTGCTGTTGTCTTTCCTATAAGATGTATTTTTATATAAATTACATTTTCTATAAAACATTCCATATACATTTTAACATTTTATATAGTTATACATACATGCATATATCTTTTTAACTGAAACAAGCATTTTGTTGCCACAGATGAGTAGAGGAAAACTAGGCTGAAATCCATTTTATATGTTTTCCCCTACTAACAAAACTGCTTCCATGAAACTGCTTTAATGCAGAATTGGAAGATGGGGATCCTCTGCAGCCCTCTGATGGCCCTCAAAATCTCCGTCAATTGGTTGCAAGACCCTCTGCAACAGACAGGTGTGTTGCTGCTGGGAAGGCTGCAGGTGGAAGTTGGGCGTGGAATGTACAGCATCGACTTCCCCACTAGGTCAATTGTTTTTAGGTTTCTGGGTGTTGAGCTTCACCTAAACCTTCTGAGGTGAAGTAGATTCAAAAAACCAGCTAAATGTACACAACAAAATAGAACTTAAAGTCTGTGGCTTCTTGTTTTTTTAATGGTTCATTTTCACAGAAATTACTTTATGTATCTAAGCATTTAAGTGATTCAAGTGAGGCTAGTTTATCATGAAATTTATGCTTTTTAAAAACCTGTTACAGATGTAACAGCACAATATAATTTTCTGTATGTTTACCTTAATAGAATAATAAAAATAGTGGATGCAATTGGCTTAAAGGTGAACTTCTCTGCTGAGTCCATTAATTTGACTTCCCCTGCCTTAGCTCTGGCTGCCTTGAAAGTCAATAGCAGCTCCTTTAGTACCGTTTCTTTTGCTATTGAAAATTCCTCAGACCTTCAGGTAAGCCCATTTTTGCTATTAATTCTGTTTCCTTGTTTTGAAATGCTCCTCTAAAAATGGAAATTTGTACATCTGTAGTTGTATTGACATTAGTCTAACAAGTCCCATTCGTATTAGTGGGTCTACTGAAATAGACCCTATTTAACTAGGAGTAACATTGGGTAAAACCTATGACTTGAATGTGAAGTCTGAAATCCAGGTTATGCATGTGCACACACAATGAGAACATAAGATTTTTTTAAAGTCAACAGTGGAGTGCTATACATACCACCTCAGGGGTAAGTTCCATTGATTTCAGTGGGACCTACTTTAGCATTATAGTCTAATTTTGTTTAAATTTATAGTCATAAGTATCTCACTTTCAAAAAGTATATAACACTCAGGAGATTCTAAGGGGGAGTGAGTCGTATTCATTGGTAACTTTACTTTAGTGGAAAGCACTTCCCTTGTAGAACTTGGGATACCACATTTTTCCCAGTGCCACCTTGCTACTTAAATTCAACTATCAGTACTAGCAAAAGCAGTTTCTGCAAGTGGGAGGGCTCTCTGGATCAGAATGGAAGAAGATGGGAAATGCTGAGGTAGTACCTTATTTTTGAAAACTGAGAAGTGGGATTTTTTTTATCAATGCCCTGATGCTACTTTTCAAGCATACATACTTTACATAAGCTGATGAATACTGTTGTAACTTATTCATTCGTCTTTCAGTTTGCTCCCATGCGTCTGTCTGTCATATATTCTTTCCAGAGAGCAAAGTGGAATATAAAGATGCTTATGTTTTCTGTCAACATTAGAGATAAGATGAAATAATAAAGCTCAGTATACGCGAGTATATATTTGTCACTAGACAAAATATGGAAAAGGAAACAAATGTTATCAGTTGTATGTATCATTCCTTAGGAGTTGGAATAGGACATAGATCTGTACAATGTTAATGGGACATGCGAATTTATTTATGGACCTTTTGCTAGCTGGACTAAAAGTGTCTGAAGAAGGATCTACTGGTTCTCCTGGCTTGTGATGCTTCTGTGTGGCAGAAAGGCTCATTCTGGTCTTTTAAATACCAGTAGTGTCTTCAGTAACCACAGTCACAGATTAGACTATATGTAGCATAATGTTCAGTTTTCTCTTCATGTTTTAATTATCTCCTTTTTAAGGTTTCTCTTGGAAGTCAAATTCCTACACACAGCATTGGTTCTATTACACTTCCTTCATCAATAATGACAAATTTGTCATCGGAAGATAAGCGTCAGGCCTCTAGAATTACATTTAACTTTTTTAGAAAGACAACTCTCTTCCAGGTAATTTATATGCATTCAAAACATACATGGAATTTTAACATTAGTTTTATTATTTATAATAAATAATGTTATTATTTAACATTAGTTTTATTATTAGTTTTATTTCGAGCAATAGATTTTAATCCAATCTATGAACATGTGTGTGTATTTTTGCAGGATCCCTCACTGGAAAATTTGTCTTTGATCAGCCATATTATATCATCAAGTGTTGCAAACCTCACAATTAGCAATTTGAAGACAAATGTTACTGTCACACTACAAAATACCAAGCCTAGTCAGGTACAACTGGAATTCAGGCATTTCACATATTTCTATTACATTTATATTATTTGTACTAATCAGATATCACTGTATTACTGCTTCATTGTATGTGTTGAGAGACCCTCAATTACCCGAACATGCAGATATTCAATCCATGTGAATACTTTAATTTGTGGAAAAAATAATAATTTGCAATTATGGTGTAATGCCTTAAATATATCTAGGAAGGTCTTTGTGAGTGTGACTGTTGAAGCTGCATTTTTCATGTTTGTATCCCATGTTTTTATTAGCATGACAAACAAGAGGGAGAAAAGTTTGCATTTTGCATTGATGTAGTTGCATATGCTCAAAAATGAATTTTTGTACCCACTCCCAACTGTGGGTGCACAAAATGTTTGTGGATGCTTGACTTGGCACTGCCATCTCATCCAGTTCATCCAGACTTACCCTGGGCAGAAGGAAGGCAACTTCTCAGTGGAGTGCCCCTTCCCACCAAGGACCACACTGGACCTGTAAGTGCCAGCAAGAATCACACACAGGTGGTCCCCAGGGGAAGGAAGCTCAATCCATGTCAATTTTTGATGGAGGCTCTTTGTTGCGGTCTTTGCTGCGATATTTTCACTCTCCTGCCTGGATGTTGAATGTGTACTCAGTGTGCTGGCTGGCAGGAAAGAAGGTCCACTGAGGTGCTGGAACTGAAGCTGGAGATGTCTCCGTAGCCACTGCCTCCCACTTCTGCCCTGGGTGAGCTGGAAGGGCCCTGGGGTTGTGGGCACAGAGGAAGAACAACACAGGTGGAGAGGCAATGAAGTTGCATGTAGGGCTCTGCTAGAAGCTCTGCTAGTAGCAGGCAAAGTGCAGCAATCCACTCGACCTGCACCTGTGTGCAGCCATCCAGGCAGGAAGCTCACTTGAACGAATTCCCTTTTTGCATTAATCATGGCATCTTCAGAACTGATAAATGCAAAAGTCAAATGTTCAGAGATCAAAAATGTCTGCCCAGCTGTAGCAGTGCTACATTAAGCTGAAACACTTACAGCTTTTCACCCTGGTACAGTTTTCAGAATCCACATGTAGGTATGTAAGTGTTTTTCAAGCCGTACAGCACCTAAATGATCCAAACAGCATGGGCAAAACTGCATGCATGGATCTTTCTTTCCCATGGAACTGACACCTTGCTCAGTAGGAATGACCCACATGCAGCCAGCCACATCCACATGGTTGGGAAGATGCTTCAAGGCCCCAGTTTCTATATGTTTTCATTTGAGAGATCCCAGGTCAGAAAGAGCCTGCAGTACAACTACTACAAGTTGTGTGTGTGTGTGTGTGTGTGTGTGTGTGTGTGTGTGTTCTAGTGTCAGTGATATTATATTCCTTACTGACACACAGGGTTTGATAAAGTAATAAGAAGCAAGAGGTTTGGAAGGGTTTGATAGCAGTTATAGGAACAGACCAGAAAATGCTATGGAGAGTGTGCATGTGTATGTATATAAAACATATTTAATCATATGAAAGCAAACATACTGTTTTAAATATAATTTATACAGAATAAGCATAAAATTAATGTACAGTTCAATCCATTTTCAATTAACTTCCAAATACATACTCATTCAGCCTTCCCAACTGATGAGCATTATTCCAAAGAATAAATAAATGGATGCTACTTAACAAAGAGGTCAGCTGTTGTCTAAAGTTAGACAAGTTACTTAATTTTAATCTATCATTAAAACTACATTATCATGTAGTATGTGGTATGCTTTCAAATAATTTGTCTTATTTTGAAGTCAATTGCCTTATTTTTCTCTCCAAAAAGGAGAATCTGACTGTTAGATGTGCCTTCTGGGACTTCAGTAAAAACGGTAAACCTTCACAGTCATATCTTCTTACTTGCATAATTTTAGAGTAATTTAATATTGTTCCAGTTCTATTTTGATAATGGAAGCTTTGAATTTATGGCAGGTGGTAATGGAGGCTGGTCCTATGAAGGCTGCGAAGTTAGAGAGAGAAGAACAAATGAAACAGTCTGTAGCTGCAATCACCTCACAAGCTTCGGAGTTTTACTGGTAATGCTCAGAGCTGCCTGAGAGTCTCTTTTGCGCTAGATTTTGACGGCAACTTGTCCTGTGGCATAGCAGGAGAGAGTCAAACACCCTCACCCTTCAGGGGAACTTACTTAATTCCAAGGGCCTTTGGATTGTGCTTATACCGCCTGGATCGTAGCATCCAGTGTCGTCCCAGCTGCAGTGCTATGCATGCATGGATTTTGTCTGTTTCGTGTGCGTTTCCTGGATTGTCTGGTGCCGTTTGTTCTGCTGTCCATTCACAGGCAGATATCATTTGGGGGAAGGGATGGAAAAATGCAAAAGCTGTTTCTATAATTTTTGCAGGAATTTATGCTTTTTCTTGAGTACACAATATTCTGCATATCTTTCCACATTCCACGCAGTTTCTATGAGCAGAGCACATAAAGGAGTCCTATATGGAGGCCGAAGAGAGATCAGAGATGAATTAAATGTGTCTTTTTATTTAAATATCACATGCATATTTATTTCTGAAATAACACTGTGTGTATTTTTGCTGTGGTATATGTATCAACATATATTTTTGTATTTTCTAGTGAATAAACTGCATAAATTTGGGGAAGGCAAGATATGGTCTGAAAGTTCATGATTCTTTGCAAATATGTTCTCTGCTGCCATGGGTTGAAATAAAAGAAATCCTTACTCATTTCATTTTATGCTGCTCTCATTTCTCCAGCCTCCCTACCAAGCACTAAGGACATTCTATTATTGCAACCCAATGTTTATGCAATGTCAATAACCAGGGAACAGAGAAAAGTGGCGATTTGCTGCCAAAATTTGCTGGCACTTGCTCCTGTTTCACAAGCATTATTTAATGAATAGCACAATTTCATTTTCACTGGAACACCTTTGAATACGATTCGGAGTTTCCTGGTTTGGATGTAACATATGGTTTAAGGACTCAGGAAGTCTCCATTTGCAGCATGCTGAGAAGGAAAGGTGTAGCAGGAGGATAAAGAATGTATGTACAGAGCTTGTGTATATCTCAGCTTATGAAACCAATATATGGATGTCTTGTCAGCTGCCCACATAACTTCAGCTAATGAGCAGTATAGAAATGGAAAGAAGAACAGATATCCATCCTGGGCAAGAGAGATGGAGAAACAAATAAAGCAGGGTGTGATATATCTTAAAAATACACACACAGCATCTTTTAGAAATAAATTGCCTGTAAATGGTATATATGCAACTGAAATGTTGATTGTTCTAGGTTTCATCACATATATAGGCTGATTTTTTGAAAACATTATTTTGTGTTTTAAAAATATTCCTTTCCCTTTGCAGGATTTATCACGAAACACCACTATACCTCCCATCCAAGTGCTGATACTAACCTTCATCACTTACATAGGCTGTGGCCTTTCAGCCATTTTTCTTTCTGTTACCCTTGTTACATATCTTGCATTTGAGTAAGTACCTGTTTGATTTAAATTATATGTTTATTTTATATAATTATAGGTACCATAAAATTGAAGGACATCACACCACATCAAAGGCAATCAATATTTTGTTGTACATGAGTAAGAATTTCAGATCAATGGCTAAACCTGAAAATCTCAATTAAAGCCTAAATTAAAATACAATTTTGCTTAACTAGTAGTCAAACAGAAATCTTCAGTCCTTCAAGCTGCAGGCTTTCATATAACAAGAAGCAGGACATACACAAACACCCTTTGACAGAGAATTTCACTTAAAGAGTATTAAAAATTGTACACTACCCAGAGAACTTTGGCTCCTAGACAATATAGAATAAAATAAATCAATAAAATCAGCAAAACAAACCTAGTTCATAACACACTTTTGTATCAGTTGGAAGTCAGAAATGGAGAAATACCTCTAAAGAGTGTATCAGATACAATATTGTAGATTTTAAAAAATCAGAGTATCACAGAGTATCATCTTGAGAACAAGTGGAAGAATGCATTGGACAGATTCATGTACCATGGCAGCATTTCTCAACCTGGTGCCTTACAGATACGTTGGACTTAACTTCTAGTCAACATAGCCATGATGAATATTGTCTAATATTCCCTACCTAACAGTTGTAGTCTAAAATAGGTTAGAAAAAGCAGCTAAGGGGCATCCCTTTCTGGAATGCTTTGATTGAAAAATTATTGTCCTGAAACAGGAATTGCTGTAACCTGATAATCTGACTCCTTGTCCAGTTGGCACATGAAAGTGCTCTCTTCTCCACAAACCTTTATAATGTGTAACATTTTCTTATAAATGAAAAACATTCATGCAGTTTAGCATAACAATAGCAATTAATGGCAAAGTGAATATTTCTATTAATTACAATTAATTGCTATTTTGTAATATTGTAATGGGACTGCAGGTGGCACAGTGGTTTAAACTGCTGAGCTGCTGAACTGGTTGATTGAAAGGTCAACAGTTCAAATCTGCAGGATGGGGTGAGCTCCCATGCTCTGTCCCAGCTCCTGCTGACCTTGCAGTTTGAAAGCATAGAAATGCAAGTAGATAAAAAGGTACCACTTCGGTGGGCAGGTAACAGCGTTCTGTCCACTTTGGTGTTTAGTCGTGCCAGCCACATGACCATGGAGACTGTCTGCAGACAAACGCTGGCTCCCTTGGCTAGGAAACGGAGATAAGCACCGCCCCCTAGAGTCAGGCATGACTGGAATTTAATGTCATGGGAAAACCTTTACCTTTTTACCTTAATATTGGAAAAATACCTCCAATATTTCTCACCTGAATATATTTTCTCACCTGAATATATTTTCTGTGAACTGCATTTGTTAAAGGTTTCAATTTGTCTTTCAAATGGCCTATTTATAAATAAAGGTACAGAGAATATTCCCTGAATCAGTTTTTAAGCATAAAATCCTTTTTTTCATAACTTTGAAACATAATATTCAAGAAAAGTGACAATTTGTAACATTTAATTAATTTGCCTTTACAGAAAACTCCGAAGAGATTATCCTTCTAAAATTCTCATTCAGCTCTGCATTGCATTACTTCTACTGAATCTAGTTTTCCTCCTGAATTCCTGGATTGCTTTGTATAATATTGAAGGATTGTGCATTTCAGTTGCTGTCTTTCTTCATTATTTCCTTCTGGTTTCTTTCACTTGGATGGGCCTTGAAGCCTTCCACATGTACCTTGCCCTTGTCAAAGTGTTCAATACCTATGTTAGGAAATACATCCTAAAATTCTGCATTATTGGCTGGGGTATGTATATTTTTAAACTATTTCTATCAAAAATATTTTAATTTCTATCCAAAATATGCCTTTCTAATTTGTTTAGTGGCTAAAAGGCTATCTACTCACCAAACTAATGGTTTGAATCCAGACTTACTCATGCTTGGAATAAACCCACTACAATCATTGGGACAAAGTAGTCAATGATTAAGTTAAGTCCTACTGATTTCATTAGGATTAAACTAAGTATGGCCAAGTGTGGATCCAACCCAATATGCTACAGCAGATAGTGTATTTGAATTTGATTAGGATCCTGGAAGAGCTAGAGTCAAAGCCATGACTAGAGTTAAGCCAGCTTAGTCTTGAACTGCCATATATCAGTTTAACTGCCATACTTGTTGAAGGGATAAAATTAGGCAATCCTATGTATGCCCTAGGGCAGTGGTGGCAAACCTATGGCACACATGCCACAGTGGGCATGCAGAGCCCTCTCTGTCGGCATGTGAGCCACGTCGCCCCAGCATCGCCCCAGCAGCCGAGCATCGGATAACAGTGCACATAGTGTGCATGTGCACGTTCGAAAAAGGTCTAGTGGTGCCAGGCAATGACATCACAAGCTGCAACTCATTAGCTGCGACTCCTCCGAGCTTTTGCATGGCCAGTCAGTGCACTGCCAAGTGTGTGTGTGTGTGTGTGTGTTTGCTTGGACTGGCTGTGAGTTGCTTTTTCTAAACTAAAACCTCAGTTTTCATGTTTTATTGCACTGTTGACACTTTGCGAGAAATAAGTGGGTTTTGGGTTGCAGTTTGGGCACTTGGTCTCTAAAAGGTTCACCAAAGGGTTAGGGTTAGCAAAACGAGGTGTCCTGGCATGATTTTGACTTATAATGTGTTTAGAATGGACAGAAATGTTGAACTGTGCAGAAAAAGCTACTCAAGGCTTTTTCAAAATCGCCCTCTTTTCAATGGAACTTTTGCCCTATATTAGGGTTAGGGGAGTATGCCAGGATAGGGTTAGGGTTAAAAAAGTGGTGTCCTGGTATGATTTTGATGGTCAGAGTGTGTTTAGAATGGGCAGGAAATAATGAGCTGTGCAGAAAAAGCTACTCAAGGAAGTCTTTTTCAAAATTGCATTATTTTCAATGGCATTTTACCCTTATATTACGGTTGGGGTTATGAATCAGGGTAGGGTTAGGGTTAGCAAAATGAGGTGTCCTGGCATGATTCTGATGGTTGCAATGTGTTTAGAATGGGCAGAAATGCTGAGCTGTGAAGAAAAAGCTCCTCAAGGAAGGCTTTTTCAAAATCGTCCCTTTCAATGGTATTTTGCTCCTATATTAGGGTTAGGGGAGTGCACCAGGTAGGGTTAGACCAGTGGTGGCAAACCTATGTCACGTGTGCCGCAGCAGGTGCACAGAACCCTGTCTGTCGGCATGCTAGCCAAGTTGCCCCAGCATCGCCCCAGCAGCCGATTATCGGATAACAGCACATAGGGACCATACGCATGCTTGGAAAGGAATAGCGGTGCCAGGCAATAACATCACTAGCCATGAATTATTAGCCGCAACTCGTCCGAGCTTTTGCATGGCTGGTCAGTGCACTGCCAAGGTTCTATTTGCTTGGGCTGGCTGTGAGGTGTTTTTTCTAAACTAAAACCTCAGTTTTCAGGTTTTATTGCAGTGTTGGAACTTTGTGATAAATAAGAGGGTTTTGGGTCGCAGTTTGGGCACTTGGTCTCTAAAAGGTTTGCCATCACTGCCCTAGGATGTTTGGTGAAATGGTAAACTATGGGTTCATTATTTAATGAATTAATTTGCATTGCTTGTATTACTTGCTCTTAGGCATCAGAAACTAGAAACTCTCATTAATAGACAGACTTCCTTGAGCTGATATCCTGCTCTTACACCTGCATTCGTCAGATTAGGATGATAGGCATGGTTGGCTAATGCTTAGTACTTGATTACTTTAGCTTCCTGGTACATTTTTCGTTATTTTAGCCACTCTTGCTTGAAGAAGCCATTCAGGAGTGCTAAACAGCTTTGTGCAAGAGCTTTTCTGCTGGTACAAGTTATCCTTGGGTCCAAGCCAAAGGTTCTCAATGCCAGCTCATTACTAACTCAGGTGCGCATTTTCTCCATCTTTCCCAAACTATGTGATGGCTTTTTACCTTTCAGGTGTACCAGCAGTCATAGTAACCATTGTATTGGCAATATCACCACACAACTATGGATCTGGATCATATGGAAAGTTTCCCAATGGCTCATCTGATGAATTGTAAGTGAAAAACAGACAGATACTAAGATGTATTTATTTATTTTTGCTTAAAATGAAACTCATATGAAAATGAGTTGGTTTTGTTTTCCTGGTAATGCTGCTTTAATTTTTTAAAGTCCTCTGCTGTGCATATGACTGCATTAGGTGTCATGCACATTTTGGACAAAAAAAGAATAGAAGAAAAATGATAGTGTGTGTGAAATACAAGTTTTGATCATGAATATCATAAGGAAGCAAAATTTATTGTAGATGTGATTTAGCCTTTTTATTGGTTAAATGCAATTTTCACCTAATAACTAACATCAACTGCTATAAAAGTATAGATACAAAGAGCTCACACAGAATTGCAGCCTTTGGTCCTGATCAAGGGAATACTTTTTTGTCATGTAGCATGGAGGGTTCCTGTCTGGGGAGAACCTCAAATGCACAAGGATCTAGCCTATGCCTTTTCATTTTCAGTACTTTTAAGATATTGACTGATTCTTTCTTTTTTGTGCACTTTTTAGCTGCTGGATTATCAATGACATTATCTTTTACATCACTGTTGTGGGATACTTCTGCACAATATTCTTGTTGAACATCAGCATGTTTATAGTAGTGCTAATTCAGCTTTGCAGAATCAAAAAGAAAAAACAGCTTGGTGCCCAGCGAAAAACCAGTATTCAAGATCTCAGGAGTGTTGCTGGCCTCACATTTTTATTGGGAATTACTTGGGGATTTGCCTTTTTTGCATGGGGTCCAGTAAATCTTATATTTATGTATCTTTTTGCCATCTTTAACACATTGCAAGGTATGTACTTTTTAAAATATACATTGTGGTAAGATGTAATTAACAAAACATGTTACAGCAATGCATAACCAGTATTCTTCAACACAACTTTTAAACAACATTTAAAGAAACCATGTGCTAGTTCTGAATTTCACTATTGCAGTATTTAAGACAGCATACCAATTTTTCTAAAAACATTATGAAAAAGAAACTTAAATAAAAGAATTACTTTATAGTCAATACTGTAGCTAGAACACCATAATTAGATATTAAGTTTATGTACTTATAGTTTGTAACTTTAAGTAAGGTTATGTGTTTTTGTTAAATACGCCAAATATAGAATACAGAGTCTATCAAAAGCATTCTTTAATAAACATTATACAGTATATAAATTCAGGAATATTAAAAATAAGAAAAATCTAAGACTACAAATGGAAGAGATAATTCAATGCCTTCTTTAAACTTTTAACAAATTATTTTGCAGGGTTTTTCATTTTTATCTTCTACTGTGTAGCAAAGGAGAATGTTCGCAAGCAGTGGAGAAGATATATGTGTTGTGGAAAATATAGGCTGGCTGAGAATTCTGGTAAATATTATTTGAAATTACTCAGTTTACAGTTACAATTCACTGGATCCAAATTTCCTTGCTTGAAAGAAAAAGTACATCTGTTTTGGTTTGGGGCAGCTCCAGTTCTGATGATTCTTCTATTGTGTCCATCTGTTCAATTCCAAAGCATCCTTCAGTTCTAAGAAATGGCATTTAGGGTGTATATTAGGAGCAATGGGCTGGAAAGACTGTTGCAAGAGCAAAGCTCTTTCCAGACTGGTTCCCACTCAATTTATTTTCATTGTTCCCAAATCAACCCTAAGTTTTTTTCCCAGTGAAATAAGCTGCTTATTACTGAAATGCATAAAGTTGCTAGCTTTAGTTACACAACTCAGGGCTTCTTGGTCTAGAAGTTAGCCTAGAAATCTGGGCTAGTTGGCCTAGATTAAGAAACAATTTTATAAAGATGGGAAGTTGTTAGAGAACTTTGCCACTGCAATATTTGGGCATGAAGGTTTAACGCAAATCTTCAGATAGGATGTGGATGTTCACTATACTGTAATGGCTCTTGAGTACCCACTTTATGTAGCAAGCATTCGCTGCATGCCTCATTCATACCTTCCATTCTCTGTTGATCAGTTTGACCATGCCTTCAGCCCTGCCCTCACGTCTAACATGTTCAGAGCTACATGCACAAAAACCACTCAAACGTATTATCTTCTAATGCCTGGAAATGCATGCTAGAAGGTTTTCTGTCCCTATGTATTACAGCCATACACATGCAGATCCCATTCATACCTTCCCCTGAATATAATCAGGTTGTGGGCAAAGTGTGCAGGTGCAGTCCACCTGTACGCACATATGCCAATGTGGAGATGTGAAGCGGTCCCATGTTTCCACCAAAAGATGAGATAATCTGGACTTCTTAAATGAGTTTATGGTTACGAGGATGTTACTATATATATATCGTGTCATTTTAAAATAACAAATAATGTGACTGTTTAAAATTTGCAAAATGTAGAATTGCAAAACCATAAGAAATAGGCATTTTGAAATTATATCCAAGTTTAAATCTGTTTTAATGTAAACATTAATTGTATTTTGGATGGAGCTTTAATGTGCATCATTTTCTGTAACCTTTATCCTCCTGCAGACTGGAGTAGGACTGCTACTAATGGTTTAAAAAAGCAGAATGTTAACCAAGGTGTATCTAGTTCTTCCCATTCCTTACAATCAAACAGTAACTCTACAAATTCCACCTCGCTGCTAATGAATAATGATTATTCAGTGCATGCAAATGGAAATGGTATGTATGTTAAAATGTTCAATTTCCAAATGATTTTTATTTAAAGTGGCTGTACACAGTAACAAAAACAATTTTTACTGATGAACAGACTCAAAGTATTACTTATTCATACAAATGCTTTGTGCATGCTGCTGATGTAGTTTAGCAGCACGTTTCTCAAATTGATCTATTATTTAATGTGAATGTGATATTCAAAAATATAAAAATGGACCAACAAGCTGTCTTACAAAGAGTGTCTGCTTAGTTTAAATTGGGTTTAATTCATACTAATACTTGAAGTCAGTGGAACCTAAATTAGTTACAATTAACTTAAGCCCCATCAGTTTCAAATGGTCTACCCTAAGTATGACTAAGTTTTGATCTAACCTTTGTCCCTTCCTTACTGTAATCTAGACAGTGACTACACAGGGACAAAGAGAATAATGATAAATCTTTGCATACAATTTTCTTAATTTGCCTATGAAAATGCAATTTTTTAAAATATTATTGAGTAAATTCCGACACCTGATTCAAATGTTAGATTTGATAGTTCTAAAGAAAAGAAATTCTATGAAATGGCTCTGGACCAGGGCTGAAAACTTCATTTTCAGAAGATCTGTTAGTGGAGTTAAAATCCATTTGAAGAACCACTAGACAAGTTTTTGCTATTTCTTATTATATCTGTGGCCCATGCTTTTATGAATTTATGTGAACAGTCCAGAGAGCTTTGGCTAATGAGTGATATAGAAATAAAATAAATCATGAAAGTAAGTAATAAAAATTTCTTAAAGTTAATATTCTTTACTTGGAAACTAATTCCATGTGGCACTGTAATATATGCATACAACTCCACACAAATCCTATGTGGAAGGGCTCTCAGATAATTCTGTTTCTTAGCACGTACCATACAGAAAATAGGACATCTGAATTGGGCCTGGGTTTACTGAGGGGGAACTATTCCTGAGGAGCTGTGACTTGCCATTGCTGAGTTCTAACAAGCATTTTTAACACTTCAGGTAATATCACCAGTGAGAAGAATGGTGTTTCTTTCAATGTACAAAATGGTGATGTCCGACTTCCCGACTTTTCAGCAAAACAACTCATATTTCAAGAGAATAATGATATGGGCCAGAAAAAATCTTGCATTTCACAGAGACGGACTTCAAAGAAGGGGAACCTACACTTTATTGAACCAATGTGACATTTTCTGAAAAGTTCCTATGGTTCCACAAAGTGACCTACAGACTTATTAAATGTTTTACATCATATGAAAAGACCTAAAAAGGACCATATTTTATAATAGGAAAACTTTGGAGCAGTTTCAGTTGTCAAATGGATTGTCAAAGACTTTGCATTTTCTCCCCTTTGAAATGACAATTAAGTACTGAGTACTGAGAAGGGTACTTAGCAGACATAATATTATGGCTGAAAAACAACCAGCTTAATTTGTTTTGTTTTTAAGATGGAGTTTAAAATATCTTTTTACAAGTTCAGCTTATAGTTAGGAATAACTCAAAGCATACTGCAATCATGTTCTATTGATATAGATAACTGATAGCTACACTTTGAAAAATATGCTTAAACTGTCTCTCAAAATAATAGGTGATGCCTGTATTTTCCTTTTCACTAGATGAGGCTGCAGACAAATAGTACCGATAGGAGATTTTGGAGGGCTTTTTTATACATGTCACCGTAAGTCAGAGACAACCTGATAACACATAACAACAAAGCAACATCTACCTTTGATTATCCTATAACTTTATATTTATTTCTTGTAAGTTAGTATTCCTTTGTATAGAAAAAATAATTGTGCAAAGTTTTGAAGTTTTATTGTAATTATACATTTGTACAAAGTTAATTATTTCAGTTAACACGTCAGTATTTATATACAGAGCTTACACTGTATATGAAATAACTTTGAATGGTCAAGTACAATTTAGGAAAGTATCAAACTGTATATAGGAATTCTGTCACTACAGAAACTCTGACTGCTTCTTGCTTAGCTAACTCTTGACAGAGTTAAGAGTTCTGTCAGAAATGGAGAAGAAAAAAAGGAGAGGGGAGTAAGATTAGTATTATATGATTGGAATGAAACCAGTTACATGCATTGAGCCTTAAAACAGGCAGTGGGGACTTCATGTGATTTACCAAAGAGATAAACTTTAGGTGAAATTCCTCCCCCGATTACCACCACAATGGCATAAGAGAGGATTCAGCTGCCTCTTGTCAACTGGTATAGAAATGTTAGAGAGTAACTGTAGATTCATTATATTTAACTTCAATGAATGTTATTAACTTTTCTATCCTGCCTATGGCTAGTAGCTGTGATACCCACTCCTGCCAGGGATATTTTTAATTAGTAGGCAAAAGCATCTGTAATTGGAATCAGTTTGTGGGGTTGGGGAAGCCCTGGGGTCACTTTGACAGGCAGTATTGTCCTGCAAAATAGAGTCTACCCCATCCACTGATTTATCAACACAACAGGTAAAATTCTAAGGTGTTATTTATCATTTTGAAAGCAAGGCAGTTCATACCCTCTAATGAAACAAAATGAAAAAGGTTGAGAGAGAGTAAACCAGTAAACTCAGACACTATTTCTTAAAGTAACATGATTTCATATTAGTTTAACATGACCAGCTTGAATGGAGGCAGTTCAGAGAGATGAGAAACCAAATAGCTACTGGAGCGTCACCTAAGCCAAATGAGTGGGCCTTGCTGCCCAGGTCTTTGTCAGCTTCAGCTTCAACCAGGTGGAATGGCAGCCAAAAGATGGCAGATCATTGTCAGAGGAGAAGCCAAATGGCCGAAGCGGTGGAGGTCCTCCCAATGGAAACGGTCACTCTAATTTATCACGTTTACCTTTCTTTGGTCTAATTCATTGTGTGTTAAAAACTCCTTAGGAACAGTATCTTAAAATAGATGGAAAATACAATGACACTTCTCAAAGAAAAAGAGATTACTTGGATACTAGTGGATTATACCAGTGCTGCATGTTCTTAAATCAGATATGCAATCTGATATTAGAACATTCATTTTTCTGTACATTATCTGGAAACAGCTGTGATTTTTAAATTTCTAAGTATCAGGACCATTGCCTGCAACCTTACAGAGTTTTACCCTGGATTTCTATTGCTTCCTATCATAAACAAAAACAACAGAATATGCAACAATTCATTTTTTTTTAAAAAAGTGCTAGGGAGTTTTTGCTCTAGTTATACTGAATATACTTCGACAGTTGCAGCTAAACCAAATGAATGCAACCTTGTTCAGTGGGATACTTCAACAATAGAACTGTTCGTTGTCAATCGTCTGATTCTTTGTTTGGACATCAGATGGACAACAGAAAGCCTGTGCTACTTTGCATCTTTCTCTGATTAGCAGTGTTCAGTCCCCGCTTCTAGTTATGCTTGACTACTCTCTTGGGGTTGGTGGTCATGAGAGCACCAACATCTCACATTCAGTTTGTACAGAGGCTGCATCCTTTATTAGAGTGGAACCACAAACTTCTTTTTTGCCCACCCTTCCATCCTGAACAGTTTGTCCCTGGTTGTAAATTCTTAACATGTATATGTATAAAGATAATGAAACCAGTATATGACTTGTAACAGTATCATTTGTATTTGCATTTTTGTTGATCTTTCTTTTTCTTTTCAACAGAATTGTTTTTTTAAATACTTGTAGTAAGAAACTTGTATGATGCACATGCAGTTTGGACCTTTTACTACTGCCACTGCAGAAATAGACCTGGATCATCTCATATATCCCAGATCAAACACAGCTGTTGGGGAACTCATTCTTGTTTGGGAGCCCATTTTATTAATAACAACAAGACATGAAGTGAAACCAATCCCTTTCGATTAAGAGGCTCTTAATTCCCTGCTTTGCGACATAAGCCGCAAAGCAGTTCAAAGACCTAAGACAGCCTTTTATTTGCTGCATAGGTATTTCTGGGAACTGTAGTCCAGGCAATAGTCATAGATTTGGCCATTGATGTTCCACATGGATCAAGAGAAGTAAATAAAGGGCTGGGGACTGAGAATCAGGTAGATGCAACAATAGACACCTTTAGACAACTTCTTGACTATTGTCAAATGCCATGAGCTAATGCATGAAAGGTCCTTAAGCTTTGGGGTGGAGTGACCTCAATCTGAAACCTATGGCAATGGGTGACTGAAAGTATGGAAAAGGAAAAACTAAGTTAACTTTTTGAGGGAAATATTCTCTTTGATTCTAAGCTATCAAGTCTAGGTACTCACATTCACATGGATCTCTAGCACTTCATGCATAGGAAACACAGTTTTGGTGGGGGTATAAAATGGAATAGACAAAAGAAATTCTGAGAATCTGCAATTTCCTGGAAATTTTGCAGAACACCTTGCAGTGTAATAAGCAATATAACATCATAAAGAACAAATCAAGGTGATAGAATTTGTTTCAGATTAGTGGCCTCACTCTGGGGAATGTATTATTCCATATTTTGTATTGTACCAGCAAAGTATATGGATGTGAAGGAAGTTAAAATTGATACCCCAAAAGGAGCTCTTTTACATAAAAATACACCTCACAGATCTTACTGAGGCATATAGCTAAAAACCAATAAAGTGTCAGCAAAACCTATTTCCTCTGCCTGGTTACTATAAGACAGATATGTTATTAGAAGAGCCAGCATGGGTTAGACTGAGCACCCATGTAGGCAATAATGCTCACTATTCCCTGGGAATGGGTATTCAGTCATTCTGCCTCAGCATGGACATTTAATTTGACTGAGGCAATAACTATTTACAAATCTGTACTCCATGAATCCATTGAATGCCCTTAAGAGTATATGCCATAGCACAGTACATTTTAAAAGCTTGCACATACCTCAAGATCCTACTGCTGCATTCAAAAACAGAAATATTTTAAGTACAATTCATTGTTTTAAATGCCAAATCACACTGGGGTGCACACATCTAGCATCCTTGAGTATGGATGCAAAGTTTCAGGTTTCTAGGTTTCATAGTCATGCATTATGGAATAGGCAGGTACTTGTTTTTACCATTATAGATAACAAGTTCTATAATCAGAGCTCCTCAAGGTGATGTCTATCCATAATGATGATGTCCACCCATGAGTCTATGTTGATTTTTTAAATGTGTCTAAATTGGTGATCGTGGTTCCATGCCTCAGTGCAGTGACCTGAACATCTTCCCCTCAAAATAAGATACAGACTGAGTGGTTCTGTCAGGACAGAAGTCTAGCTCAGCAAATTGTGGTCCCAAATGCTAAAGTCTACATTATAATGGAAAGGGGAGGTGGGAATACATCTATTAAGAACCTAGCTTAAAATTACCTAGCTGTTGCACCACTGTCAGACTGAAATTAAGCAGTCAATTGTTACAGCTTCAGTAACAGAAGAAACTGCCTTAATGAATCCCATCATAGTTAAATAAGCCAAGCACTGTTGACACTGACTGGCAGCAGCTCTCCTGAGCTTCATGCAAGTTTTCCCAGCCCTACCTGGAGATGTTGGGGACCAAAGATAAAACCTGAAGGCAAAGCAGGTGCTCTGCTTCTGAGCTATGGACGCTGCCTCACTCAGAGCAGTCTCTCCAGCGTTCATCTAGTAGGCTGGTCTACTCCAGACCACTAGAAATAGAAAGCTGCAGTGTATCCAAATGGGTCATCCACCTGGTAATCTGCGAGCCAACTCGAAAGGGAGGGGACTAGCTCTCGCCATCTAAACCTCAAACAAAAAACGGGTTCTAAGATGCAACCATTCCGCCCGTCAAAAGTAATGCTGGGGTGCACAACCTCAGGTCTGGAGACCAAATCCAGCCCACTAGGGGGCTTAATGTGGCCCTCAGCCCCCTTTGCCCCAAGGTTCAACAACCCCAAACTACTGTAACAGACAACTCCAGTGCGGGGAGGAACATAGGCAATTGCATTAAACCAGGTCACACTGTTGGTCTACCCAACCCGGGATGGACACTTCTGCAAAGCACGAAACACGAACGATGATCTTTCACATCTCCTACCGCTTCATCCTGCATTCACTAATAATATTGTTTACATGCATTCTTAAAAAGCCTGGTTTTAAAGCAACGCAAGAGTCGCGGTATCGTCAGCAGCCTAGGAACGTTTAATCCTGCAAAGCACCCAAGCAGCGCCTGCGTGCGCCTTGCGCAAGAGACAACCCCAATCTTGCCGCTGTTCGGCAGATGCAGCTTCCTACCAAAAGCAAAGCTAGGAGATCCTGACAGCCATATAAACAAACCTCGTAAGAAAAGAGAAAAGAAAAACCAAGAGAGTAATGAACTAGGGAGAGTGCTCCTTAAACTCTGCTCTCTCTTTATATCTCTTGCTTAGACGAGAAAAGATGTCGAGAGTTGTAATTTAAATCTGTTGTTCCACTGTCCTTTCAGGACCTGTCCGCAAAGGAGGCGGGTTGCTTCAGACATTTACGGTTGCCGCCAGCCGGCCCCGTAAACAGTCTAATAAAGAGGAAGAAAAAATTCTCAGGCCCCAACAGCGCGTTCCTGTAAGTAACCTCACCTCGGAAGCCGCCCGCCGAGGAAGCAGCCGCCCCAAAGCGAGGGCCGAGGAGGCGCTGCTCGTTGTCGCCACCCTACAGACGACTCGGGTTTCCCATGCAGGGGGTCACAGCCTGTGCTAGGAGGGGCAGGAGCGCTTGAGTGGGGAAAGGGATTTCCATGCAGGGCTTTTCCTCCTTTCCGAATCGCCAGGAGAAGTAAGCTGTTGCCACCCAGCATCGCCGCTCTGGAGCATGGGAGCCGGCGAAGGTGTTTCGCAGGTAGGAGCATCTCCACGTCCTCCCTTCCTACGGCGCACTTGCATGGGGCGAGGTGTAATTGGAAGGCTGGGGGTATCCCGATGGTCTTATTTTGGCTGAGGGTTGGATTGGATGACCTTGGGGTGTCTTTCGGGCCTTCTGGATGATATATGCTGCTTTTAGCCGCTTGGAAGAGCCGCTTTTGATTTCAATGACATGCTAAAGAAACGTGTTCTGTCTAAAATAGTGCCTAGCGGCCTTCAGATGTAAGCAACTAAGACACCTTGTTGAACTAAACTATAATAAATACATAATATGAATGAAATAATCCACTCAGGCTTAATCCAAAGTTTTTCGGGGTTTTTTTTTTCTGGCCTATCCAGATTAAAAATTTGCATCCCCATTAAACAAATATCACGTTAAATCACCAAAACTGACTTGCGTAGTGTTGCCTTTATTTTTGTTTATTAATAGAACTATTAAAAGAGCCATTATACTATTCTGAACCTATTCAGATTATTGGTTATTATCACTAAGTTAGAGTGAAAATACAAAAGAGGCTTGTGGAACATTTAACATTTCCTTGTTAAAGCGAGGAAAGGCAGCCTAGCTCAGCATTTTGAACTACTGTTCCCCTAATCTTCGGCAAGGGGCGGCATAGAAATGTTCTAATCATCATCATCATCATCATTTCTGGACATAAGTTTATAGAATTTGTAGCTAAGGTTGGTCCTGGCATTAGGTACAGGGAAACATTGATCACAGGTGGTAGATGCTGATGTGGAGCAGGAGATGGTGGTGCATTGAAGGATGGGGCTCTGTCCTGACTCCCCAAAGTTAGCATAACAACCTCAGGTATAATGGAAGGTGCTGTCAGGTTGTCAATGTAAATTAAGTTTAAATTGTCAGTCCAGTCTGGTTGGTTTCTGTACATGGAATGGGATGAGGACCACCTTGTCCTTTGCCTCAGGTGGCAAAATATCTTGGACTGCTTGTAGTGCAAAATATCTGGATGGCACAGGACTTTGTTGTTTTGCCGCAACAGACCACCATAGGTACTCCTGTGGGTGTCATTAATTTGGATTATTGTTTCTGTTTTGGTTGGAAGGGTACAGTAAAAAAGAGAAAGTATAAAACCCCATGTGCAAGTAATGGCTGTCTTTAGGACAACTTACATGGAACATATAGACAACAATTAAACAACCTAGACAGTTCTCTTGTTAGGCCCAGTATTGAAGCCACTTTTTTTGGCAGTAGTAGTTTTAGATACATTTATTTGGGATGGAAAGATGTAGGAAGGGTAGTTGGATCAAGAAGTCCATAGTTTAAGATGTTATTGTATTGGAAGGATTCATCAACATTTGTACCAATAAACAAATGTTTAGTTTGGGAGATTCATTCTCTTTTGTATCTTTTGTCATTATGTTTATGTATCTAGGGGTTTTATCAGGACACTGTTGTTGCTCAGGCAGAACTGTTCTCAGTTTTTAAAATTAATACACACATATTATGAATGTATCATTATTAATATCAACATATAGGAGTCTAGCATGGAAATGGTAGCTTTAGGGAAGGATATTGGCATGAGATTCCAAATGTAGAGGCTGTGCAGTATGTGTCACTTGTAGTATGGAATGCGCATATATTTAAATAGTCCACTGCCTGTCTCTTTGTCCTGTCACTCATTGGCATTTCAGTAATTATGGTAAGCAGATAGGCAGATGATACATTAGACCTTGGAGAACAGAATGTAAGACCTTGATTCAATTCCCTGCCCATCTATGAAGTCTGCAGAGCAGGGTGGATTTAATTTAAATCAAATTGATTTAAATTGCACTTTAAATCACTAGTCAGTAAGGCTAGATGTAAATCATGGTTTTCTGAAAGACTTGATTTTTAAATTTTAGAAAAAGATGTCTGCCTTACCTATAGGTAGGGAAACTTTATAAAAATTTTCCTAAACTGGAGCTCTTTTATGGCCTGCTGCCATTATAACTTTCACAAAAAGATCCAATGACTTGTGGAGTATTTTGCTCAAAAGGTTTCACCTTCATTTTTTTGCTTTCCTCTCCCTCCTCACATTTAGGTTCTTGTGCAGATCCATTCCGCTCCCAACAATCTTCTGTTCACTGAATTTTTTGAAACCGAGCACTTGAGGTGAGGGGTTGATTCTGTGTACATAGACTTCCAAAGGAGCGGTGGGATTAACGTCTTTTTCTCAACTCTGTATGCTTATTTTAGAACAATTTTGCATGAAGAGGAGGCATGTGATCTCTGCAGACACAAATTCACAGTTCTGAGAACCATAAAACCAAGCATTTGTGATAATACTTTCTAGATTGAAAAAATGCCCAGTCTTACAGAAACCTCTGGAAGAGCATGACAGTGTGAATGGATTAATGGAATTCATTTACCAAAACATTTAAACATTGCATGAATATACAGCTTCATGCTACATAATTGAAAACTAATTTTTATTTCATGATGAATAACCTTTGGATTACAATGTATTTTAATTAGAAAACTAACTTTAGATAGATTTTGCTTCAAAAGGCATTTTAAATTTAAAAATGTAAACCCAATTTAAATTTAAAAATCTGATTTAAATAAAAATTCAATTTAAATTTTAAAAATTCATTTTTATTTTTTTTTAAGAAATCACTGATTTTTATCCACCTTCTTACAGAGAGACTTTGCCTCTGTCCACTTAACAAGATTGTAATTAGGAGGAAATAAATGTCCATGTAGTTTGTCCTGAGTTTCCAAGAAAAGGTTGAGATGCAAATATAGATCCCTCTCCCTCTCCCTCTCCCTCTCCCTCTCCCTCTCTCTCTCTCACACACACACACACACACACAAAGGGGAGGACAACTTTTAAGGACAGTATAAAGAAATGTTAAGTCAATTGGCATTTGTCTGTATGGCTGAAGTATAAAAAAGCTATTAGTGAACTTACCCTGTGGAAGTGTGGATAGAACTGCAGTTTCTGCTGAGTGTATGTAGGTGAAAGGGTAAACTCCTCTGTAATGTCTGTTTTGTTGTCAGCTGTTCTGTTTATTTTGGAGCAAAGATGCATGGCGCCAGCAAAATTTACAGGTAAGCCTAGTAATGGATGAATGAGTGACAAGTGCTAAAGGCTGCAAGACAGAAAGAGAACGAGAGACAGCCAGCCCCACTTCTCTTCCTGAAGCGTTTTGGACACGTTGAAGATGAGGAGCCGCAGCAACTCAGGTGTCCGCTTGGACAGCTACTCTCGGCTTGTTCAGCAGACCATTTTGAATCACCAGGTCAGTGCAGGTACAGGTAAATGGGCATTCCCATTCTTAGGAACCTGCTCTTCTATTTGCATGTGTTTTCAGTTATCTGGTTGTCTATTGATGCCTTTGCCCTAGTTGGTGAGAACCTTAAATGAACTAGAAGTGTGAAATATTTTGCATCAAGTACAGAAGTCTAGACCTTTGAATTCTATGTGGATAGGTATTTGTAGGTAATGGCAACCTATTGCAAAGAAATACTGTTCCTAAGGCAATTTCCAAAAAACAACTTTTTATGTGGGATAAGGACCATAAGGACGCAGGAGAAAAATTAGTTATCATCCAGCATCTTCTTTGATTTCTGAGTAATTCTGCTGCTGTATTCCAAAGTCCTCTGAGAAAGATAAGTGGGCTTTTAATAGTTCAAAGTGACTGACAGACTTCAAAGAGGAACAGAACATACTGTTCTTTCTATTCAGTGAATTAAGACACAGTGTGTAAGAGAGAAAAAAAGGCGTACAGCTTCCAGCATGCCCTTGGACTGCCCCCTTAGTATGCATTGTGGGTGTTCTCTTGAGTCCACTCACCATGTCTCTACTCATAAAGATCGCTGCTGTGGTAGCAGCTATTCTTGGAATCTGCCTACCAGCTGGCCTTGTCTCCTTCCTACCCCTTCCTGTCACATTTTTGCTGAGCTGTGCAGCTGATAATCAAATAGGTGAATTGCTTTTACCCCTGACAGTTGCCTGGGGGATCTCTCCCCTGCACTTTGCCATCTCCCCTTAGGCTTTCCCACTGTCAACCGGCTTCTTCGCACGCTGCCTTTTGGTCACCTTACCATTGTAGGAAACTTTGGGCATCTTGTCACACATGCTTAACTTTTTGCTGCTCAGCATATTTAGTAAATGTAAAGCTTGATTTAAGGTTTGGGACAAATAAGAGTATAAGTTTCTGCATCTTGTATCTTCAGTGCACCTGACAGTTTAATTAGCACTCCCTCCATTTCTGGTGCTCAATGCTCATGCAAACAAAATGCACAAGAGAGAGGTATTCAATATTGTAGGATTGTTAGTAGTGCTTGCAGAAAAAATAATCCTAAACTGAGAGGGACTCCCAGGTACAGACTGCACTTTTTCAGTGACTACAGAATGCAGGCAGAGCAGGAATGGAGTGGCGTGGCTACAATTTTGAATTCTCATTGTTCATATTGAATTAACATTCGCACAAGGGAGACAATTCACATGTAGCTGGTTCCCTTTATTTTAGTATAACTTTGTTGTAAACCATCCAGAGAATGTTGCTGATGGGACAGTACAGAAGTGAAATAACTAAATTAAAATAACAGGAAAGCATTTTCTTTTGGTTCTTGACTCTTGGTAATGCTGCTTTGTTATTCTGCTTGACATCACTATTCACATACTAATTCCCCTGACATCAGACATATTGGTTGAGGTGACAAACAAACGCATCTAGTCACCTCACTTTACATATGTGCAATAGATATGTGTATGTTCATCACCTGTGTTCATTCAGACAAGGAATGTGGCACTCCCATGCCCCTTGCCTTGGAACTGAAAATACATGTGGTTGAAGTGACCCTTAAACTAGATGCTGTGCTCAGAAAAGCTGCTATAAATGTAGAGTCATCCTATTCATGTTAATGCCTGGCTGCTGTATTTATTACTGTGTGGTTAAATAAGACCTGACTATTGCAAAAGTTGATGGTGAAGAAAAGCTACATCCATTGGACAGGTTTCCTGTATAAACTGAATTCTCTAATTCTAGAGAAGCTTTGGGCTAATAATGTGGAATATAATAATAAATATGTTAACTTTTTGAGCTGAAGACCTCCTACAGTAGAATGTTCCAATGTCTTTTGAGAAAGCCTGCAATTAAAATAGTCAAACTTATAGTAATGGGAGTGGAGGATTTTTTGGTCTGTGAGTCACTTTCCAAATATACCTTTTATTAAGTGGCCTAAGCTGAAGTGGGCCAGTATAAAAGTCACACTGCACCACGTTCTCAGACATTAGACCTAAAGGTTAGTGGAACTTTGCCACAAACTATGCCAGGAACAGGCTTTGCAGCCAGCAAAACTCCCATTATAATGGTCTGCAAGATTACAGTGCAGTCTTCACAATACAATGATGTTACAACATGAAACAGTGCAGAAGGTGCACAGGCATTCCTAGCTTGTATAGCTGTATATGTATTTATTCACATTTTCCTTTGCTCTGGTTGAAAGCTTTGGAATACAGACAGTGCTATAGGTTTACCTGTTGGATATCCTTTGTGATATATGGGCATTTATGGAATCCTTTTGAAGTCCTTAGGACTCTGTGAAGATGGGACATAGCATGGGCAGATCTGCTGGTTGCTGTATTCCTGGTCTTTGTCCCTGATCCTATGCAGTTTTCCAGTATCTCTGTCTAGCAGTCCTCTGGGCCTCTGACTAAATTGTACTAGGCCGAAGGGGAGGCTAACTGGAGATATGGATACAGACCTCTCATCTCCCTAGGCTAGGTGGAGGAGGGAGGTTGTGAACAGGATCTAGGGTGGGTGAGCAGTGTGTCTGCAATGTAAGTGGATCAGGTTGTGTGTGCTTGTTTCACCTGACATTCAGTGGTCACACAGTATCTACTTTTGCTGTGTTTCTACCATGCATTTTTTTACTTCAGTGCTGAGATGGCTCTAGCAACACTGCAAAACTAGAGGAATCTGACATTTTGTAAGCAGCCGTGTTTACCAGAACTGTATGGTGAACTGCACTTTGATTACCCCTTGACTAACATATCCAAACTTAAAGGCTTCAACAAAAACACTAGAACTGAAAAATTGTTACACCAGTGACTGAGGGTCAGCTAGACTCATTGGTGTTTTTATGATTGTTTACATGAAGTTTAAATCATGCAGCAGTGTTATTAAATAGAAAAAATAAAGCAGGTATACACTGAGTAAACTTTCTGATTCTTTCTCTCTCTCTCTCTGTGTGTGTGTATTTTCTTTGCAAATAGTCTCTGTGGTAGGTACAAATATTTAGTAGCTATCAAGGAGAAAGCTAATGATTGCGTAAGGATTCCCTGGCTGGAAGAAAAATCTACTATAGCAAAATCTGGTGACTGATTCTTTTAACTGCAGTTGTGATTGCCCAATATGGTCTTTCTCAACTTTGTGCCCTCCAGCTGTGTTTGGGTCTACAATTCCCAGAATAGCTGGTTGGAGAATGCTGAGAGTAGCAGTCAAATACCTCTGAAGGGTTCTCGGGTGGGAAAGGCTGAGAGGAAGGTGGGATCAGAAAGGCTGGGAGGGTTGAGTCAAGTTGTATTAGGAGGTGAGCATAGCTGGACTATGTAGCAGTGTCAGACACATCCTTTCTGCCCCAGCACAGTGGTACTTGTATTCTGCACACACTTCTGTCATCCTAGACATTGTACACTGTGAAACTCTAGTTCTGCATCATGGCCCTGTAGCCTGCAGGCCACCTTAATACAATGACACATGAAGGCCATTACATCCATAGATGAGAGCTGAATGAGAGCAGAGAGCTGGCAATGTCGCACAGCACCTGGAAGGATCACGTCATTTACCTTAGCAAATACGTCCACAGCAGGACTCTGAGGTATATAAGCACCACTTGCTTGGAGGGCAGGCTTTTTCACTGATTTCAAATCAGTGGTCAGCTAGAACTGGCTTTTTGATCTTGGACTTTATGGTCCAGCAGGACTGAATGTAGGTCACAGGAAGATCTATTCTCTGTGACTGTTTCCACTTCTAGATCTAGACCTTGCTTACTTTGGAAATTTCATGTGCATTATTTCAGTCATCCTTACAATTACCCTGTGATGTAGGGAGTAATATCTTCATATAGAGATGAGGTATGGGGCTAAGGCTGAGGCCATCTGGAAGAGAACTACTTCCTGGTTTGCAGCTCTGTCTCTTAACTATTGTGGAACAGTAGCTCTGAATAGGAGCCTGTTGAGTAAATCATTTCTCTTTTGTAACCTTATTTTGAAGAACCCAGTTACAGGATTGTTCTCTGCTAGCACTGAACAAAAAGATGCTTGGGTACGAGATAACCTATACAGTATTTTGGCTGTGTGGGGCCTAGGAATGGCCTACAGAAAGAATGCAGATCGTGATGAAGATAAAGCCAAAGCCTATGAATTAGAGCAGGTATGTCTTTTGAGCAATAAAGATTTCCTGTATATGACCTAAGAGTTAGCTTTTATCATAGAACTCTTACTTGTTAATTACTCTGTAGCAGCATAACAGATCTGGGCTAAGATTCAGTTCTTCATTTTAAGTGCATGTTAAGTTATATGAATATTAAAATGTGTAATTTGAAAGGTGGTAAGTTCATGGCATGGATAACTGTAGAAGAAAAGTGCTTGGTATATTTTTCTGTGCCAGCAACATCTTTTCATAGATCCGAAAGCCCAGTCATTAGACATTCAGCTTCATAAACCCCTCAATTAATTTGAGAAAGAAGTGAAAGTTTTCCTGTTATGTGTATATGCTGGTAAGAAAGTTATTATACTTTGACCAAGAACAGACTTCCAAAAAGCTAACCAGCTCAACCGAAATGAAGCTCATTTCAAGCTCCCCATAGTCACATACTCCCAGTTATATGAACGGGAACAGAATGAGGCAGAATTTTCTCATGAGTTCCCATTCTTACTTCCTAGTATTTGCCCAAATCATATATTTGTGCTGAGATGGCTGCTATTATTTCCTAACCCTAATGCCTCACTAAGACCCTCACTAAGACCTCTCCAAAAAAATTTCCTAAATGCTGTGGCAATCCCAGTGTCACTACAGAATTCAATGAATGCAGCAATGATGACCAGTTATATCCATTGTTTCCACATGAACATTTTCAGTTGGAAAAGGAAGGAAGTGACTGAATTGCTAATGGTGGGATTGGGCCCAGGCTAAATACAAGCTGAGTCCACAAATCAGAAGGGCTTGTCTTATAATTAGCTCAGCAGTTCCAAAGAGGAGAAATTCATAGTTTGAGCTCCCTAGTTCCAAACTGCAACATTATTCCATACAGATTTGCTTAACTGAAGAAAAATGGCATATGATTGCTCAGAGAAAATAAACCTCTTAAATATTAACTTTTGTAAATTATGTGACAAGTCATTCTTGTTAGCAAAGTGGTAGCATATTGTTTTAGTATGTCTGTATTGTTTTAATATGTATGCACATAGTATGTATTGTGTTAGTATTCATGTATACTAAAGTTTATATAATTACTCAAATGAACATATCATTTTTCTTAAATGCATAAAAGCAAGATTTTATAATTTTCTGCATGAACACTAGAATGGATGGTACAAGTGTTACATGGTTAATCACAGATTTCTTCATTTTTCTCATGCCCTCAGAATGTTGTGAAACTTATGCGGGGCCTTCTGCAATGCATGATGAGGCAGGTAATACTAAACAGAATTCCTTGTTGCTTGTGGTGTGGTGTGAAGTAGGGGAGAAAATGAAGAGGGCAGATTAGAAGCAAGCCGTCATTGTGACAGTATGTCCATCCTAAAGGGTTCCTTTGAAACCATTTTAGTTAGGGAGTAAAGCATACTTTGAACATGGTACATTATTTGAAAACTAGTGACAATAATGAGTACCTTTGAGAATGAATTTAAAAGTAGCCTGGCATGAAAAGATACTAATGTTGTCCTAATATATTAATATAAAACTATTTTAAGGTAGCAATTATATGCTTCCTAGAGGGTGTTTGTGGGAACAGAGGATGCTGAATCTTCTTTTTTTTCTAAGACTGTAGAGCAGAAATGCATAACTTTGGTCTCTGGTTCAGATATGGCTTGACTGGGATCTCAGTTGATTTTCCAGTTGATGGCCTTGTCCAGCTATGCTGGCTCCAGCCTCTTCTGTGTTTTTGTGTCCTTTGTGTTTTTCCCGAATTCTTAAAGTTCGAAATGCCTCTCCTAAGGCTTAGTTACTGGCAACAAGAGGTTTAAGCTAAAATATACTGGTATTTTAGCACCTTCTCATCCCCACCCACCACTAGAATGCAGACATCAAGATCTGCTCCAAAATGGAATTCAGCCTTTGGGCCAGAAGAAGTTCAGCAGCCCTGTTGTAGGTGATGCTTTGACCTGGGACAGGGGAAACATACCAGGGGCACCCTCCTACTCACACTGGCCTTTCCTAGCCTCTACTGTGAATTTCTTTACTAAGGTTAGTGTCCCCATCTCAGCACTGGAGGAAATGGGCATGTTGAGGGTTTGTTGGAGGAACGCTGCTTGTCCGGGAGAACAGAGGCTGTGGATTCACTGGATCCATTAGTCCCTCAGTTCCTGTCTCTGCCATTTCCGTGTGCTAGATGTGCTCAGAGGCCCATTAGCAGAAAATGCAGAAAAAGAGGACAGAGAGAGCTAAAATTCTGTCATTCCTCCCATCTTCTTGGGAAGAAACTTAGAAGCCCAATCCTGGAGAATCGTGGTGCCCAGAACCTTAGCCCTGCCTATTACATTAAACTGTGCAAAAGATTGGACAGTGAGACAGAAATGTGATCTTGAAAATGTTGATGCTTCAGGAATCACTTTCAGGACCTTGCATGTTTTTCTTAGGTAGACAAGGTTGAAAAGTTCAAGCATACACAGAGTACCAAGGACTGTCTGCATGCCAAGTATAATACAGCGACTTGTGGAACTGTAGTTGGAGATGATGAATGGGGGCATCTACAAGTAGATGCAACTTCCCTTTATCTTCTCTTCCTGGCTCAGATGACAGCATCAGGTAAGTCACTGTGGAATTGATAGTAGTTCCTTCTGCTGATACTACAGTATCAGCAGAAGGAACTACTTAAATAAAAGGTTAAGACCTGTTTATTTCATCAATATTTTAATAAGTTTTAATATGCATTTTTAATATTATATTTTTAACTGCAGCCAGAGTGGGTCAATTTGTTTATGTTGATTTTATGTTGACATTTAGTTATAATTTATTTATATTGATATTTGTATTTTATTATGTAAGCTGTCCTGGGGCTATTTGTAATAGGACGGCATATAAATATCACAAACAAACAAACAAATAAATAAATGAATATCATTGTAATTAGCCAAGGTTTATTGAGGGCACAATATTCTGGTTGGGTTTGAGCTCAAACTCTAGAATAGTTTTGGCAGGCTGCTCCTGGTAAAATGTTTTGCAAGAGATTCCTTACAGGAAAACACTTACTCACCCATAACACTTCTTTCATTTCTATGCATTTTAGCACATATTTTTGATGTGTTACCAAGAATATTCATCCAATGCGTGACTACCCACAGAGCAGATGGTCGCTTCAGTACTTAGTGAACTGTCCTTTAAAAACTACAGTTGCTTAAGCATTTTGCCTTTGTTGTTTAACTGGCTTATGACTAAAAGCAGGAAAAAATATGAATAACACATATAGCGTGGCGCTCACTTATTGCGACATGATGTTACAGAATAGGTTTGCAACTGCAAAATTCATCCCCATCTAAGAACTGTACATACATGTTATTTATGGATAATATTATTCACCAAACAAAAGCTGTTTTGAAGATGAAATTGTCTTTTTTATTTTGGTTTAGGAAGATTTCAATTATAAGTGTTTGGAGTAAAGATATAGTGAAAAATAACAGACTATCTACTTCCACAGACTAACAGACAATCTATGTCATATGAGACTAAAAAGACACCTTTCCAAGGTGTAATTTCAGTGTCACGAATATATTTGTTACCTAGCAACTCTTTTGCTATAAGTATTCTGGTGTAATGGGAGTTATTTTTATTATATTGCAATTGTATCTTATATCCCACCTTTTTGCCTCTTGCAAGGATCTGGGAAGGTTTCCCACCAAAGTGCTGGAACAGGAGCACAAGACTGTTTGAATGAATAATTTATTTTCTTGTGTCACTGGGTTTTACATAAAATCAAAACGTGGTTCTTTCTTGATTAGGGTTGCGTATTGTGTTCACCCTTGATGAAGTTGCCTTTATACAGAATCTCGTATTTTACATAGAGGCTGCCTACAAAGTTGCTGTGAGTATGTTCAAGGTCATTATTTCTGTCTGGCAAACTTTACAAATGTCCCAAATCTACAGCTAAACCTTAAGAAATATTGTTTAGATTTTCTTCTGAATCTCATTTAGTTTGCTCACATGTATAGAGAAAAGTTGAGGAGGGACTCTTGGCATTAAACTCTGTTATAACTCTTGCAGTACTGCACAAGGTTTGTAAATTGCTAGCTTCTCCTCTTGATTCCCAAGAAAAATCAACATAAAGATGCAGCTACCATGAAGCACTACTCAAAGAATGTACAATTCATGTTAATGTTTTATAAAGATGTATATACTGCATTTCAGCCCTTACATAGCTGAGGCAGGCACAACAATATCTAAAATTCAAATTCACGAACATTTCTTTTTAAAGAGAAGGTATTAGTTGGAAAAGATTTAACTGAAAGTGATTATTCTTTTGTCAGACACAGATATCCTGGCTTATTAAATTGAAATATGCACAAACCTTTCCTCCCACACTTCTTCCTCATGCCTCCCCTGTCTCCTTTGGTGAACCAAGATGTGATAGTTCCTGGCTTAATTAACATTAGTTTCCTCTTATACCCATTGCAAGAAGCTAGGGTGACCAAATGCAGAACAATCCAGGAACAACTGTGGTGTCCCTGACTTGTTCTGCTCTTGATACCCACCATTATTGGGTTTGATATTATGGGAAACAATAATTGATTAACCCAAGAAGTGTTGAATCACATCATGCCATGCGAAGAAGCAACAGCACACGGAAGGCACAGGTGATAATCATCCAAGCCATGTTCATAGGCAATGTCTCTGAGAACTGATAGGGTGGTTCTGTCATAGCTCTTCTCCTGATATATATGAGTAACAGTCATGGATCTGAGTTTCAAAACTTAGTCTGCTTTCCCTTTATTTTGTTTCAGGATTATGGCATGTGGGAACGTGGTGATAAGACCAACCAGGGCATCCCTGAACTAAATGCAAGCTCTGTGGGAATGGCAAAAGTGAGAATCTTTCTGCTCTGGGTTGATTAAAAATTGTGCCTTCCATTATATATCCAACTGCTTCATTGTACCCCTGTCCTAAGTACCTCTAGAAAAATAAAGGAAAAGGGTAGCATCTGGATTTAGTCATACTTGGACTAGCTTGTTGTGGCCTGGACATTATCTGAGTGAGATGCCAATATAGGTAGTGAGCCACTTTTTTGCATTACAGCTGCCAAGGCAAGTTTCCATTATAAAAAAGGCCTAGTTCAATGACCTTAGGAAATTGGTAGTTCACTCCTGAAAATTTATAGGTTGTTCACTCCTAAGTCAACCTGCTTATCAGTGCATCTGAATTAGGTCTAGCTCTACCCTCAGTCTATAGTAGGGAGAAAATGTGACTTGTTTCATTAGATTATTATGAGAATAAATAAGATGAAGATGATAAGATAGGATTGGATAAACACAAAATACTTTATGCTCTGCAGTGGTTTATACATTATTGTTTAATATCAATCAGTTGTAGTCTCATTTATTAGTGGTGATATTGCACAATGTACTTTTTTTTCTGAAGGCTGCATTGGAAGCAATTGATGAATTGGACCTTTTTGGAGCTGGAGGAGGGCACAAGTCAGTAATTCATGTCCTTCCAGATGAAGTTGAACATTGTCAGGTAAACTTGAATTCCCTTTCAATGAGGGATCTTTAAAAATGTAGCAAAGCACCCCCCATGTTTAAAGATTTTACTAAATGATCAAGTAATACAATCAAACTACAGTTCTAATCCATCCTCCAATTCTACTAGCAGATAAAAGCATGTGCCATTTTTCAGCTAGGGAAGACAAACATTGTTGAAACCGTTGTTTCATAGCTGACAACAAGAAGTTCCTGGCTGTGTTCATATTTTTTGGTTGATAGTAGTCTAATTGTGTAATTTGATATGCAAGGTGTTGATGTATTGGCCAATTTGTTGGTAAGCCGTTCAGAGACGCATAGTGATTGGACGGGTTAGAAATATCCCAAATAAGTAAAAATAAATAAAAATACACTGACATCTCCCATGTAATTAATGTATTTAAATCTGTTTTTGTAATTATTTTAAATGTAAAGAGGATGTTCTTTCTGAACCTGACAAATAAGTTGGAATGAAACTAATTGTTCTCCTTTTATCTTTGTCTTGTTTTTATTCATACTTACTTGTGTTCTGCTCAGTCCATTCTATACTCCATGTTACCGAGGGCATCCACGTCAAAAGAGATTGATGCTGGACTTTTGTCCATTATTTCTTATCCAGCCTTCGCTGTGGAGGATATGAACATTGTTAATGCAACAAAAAATGAAATTATCACCAAACTGCAAGTAAGAATGTGGTTTTGGCCTATAAATCAATTTTGAGATAATTTTTAGTACATATTGTTCATTCTAAAACAAATAAAAGATTATTCTATATGATTTATAATTATGATTCTTCTGTGCGATTGAGAATAAAATATCATATAATTTTGCTTATATAAAACATAATTTATTTATCATTACAGGGACGGTATGGCTGCTGTCGTTTCCTTCGGGATGGCTATAAAACACCCAGAGAGGTGCTGTGTCCAAAACATCAGAAAGTTATTTGCTAATTAATTTTAGTTTCATTTTATATGCTGGGTTTCCCTGGAAGCCTTATAATAAACATCAAATATCAATCTGCAGCAGCATTTTATAAACAAAACATTATCCAAAGTACCCTTGTATTTACTGAGAGGTTGACTATATGATTTTGCTATATTATTGGTATTGTTCCCTACTTTGGGATTATTTTGAAATGAAAAGAAGGTAATACATTTAATGCATAAACATCAAAAACTCACATATAATAAAGTAAACCAGTCAAATTCTATGCTACAGGAAAATAATACAATGCAATATAAGCAAGATCAAAATTGTACATTCAAATTTTAAAATAACTAACCCAGCCTCTTCTTCTAATGATAATCTATTTGTTCTTTGTGAACTATAGCAGCCTTGCTCAGATAAAGATAGGGCCTGCAACTGCTAGTTTAAATAATTTAAAAACTAGATTCATTAATTGCAGTTGATGTCACATCTAGTTTGGCCCTAAGAGGATTATGTTTGTATTTTGAGATTAATCTTAAAGTTCTGTAATTCGTCTTGTCTTCATAAAGGTAGGTGCTACACACACAAAAAAAAATTGGGTTGGGAACGTGCCAGATAATTCCTTAAAGTATTGTCAGAACAGAGATGGAAAATATCCTGTGTAATACTGTGAATCACAAATAATACATTCAGTGAACAATACTATTTCTAGGATCCAACGAGATTACACTATGATCCTGCTGAGCTCAAATTATTTGAGAACATAGAATGTGAATGGCCTGTATTCTGGACGTATTTTCTAATTGATGGCGTGTTTAATGGAGACAGAATTCAGGTAAGGGAAATAGCAAAAATAAGCTTGAAATTTTAAGTATTATGGCTGTCATCCACATACACATGTTACAGAACACTTCTACAATAGAAGATGATGGGCAGTGGGAGCATTTTCCTCAGCTATATCCAGAAGGGGAATTACTGACTTCTCCACATAAAGGGACTGATATATTGAGATGGGAGGGCAGAAGGATGCTGGAGAACTGCCACTACTTAGTTTAGGCCAAATGAGGCTAGACAGACAGTGGTGGTCCTACCCAGATGATGTCGCTTCATATCCACCCCCCCCCCACCCTTTAGCAGGCTTATCTTGCAATACCAACTGTGAAGTCCCACATGAGGCTAGAAGAGCACAGATAATCTAGATTGCTTTCTCCCATTTGCATCCAAAAGTTCCAGCACCATCCTTACAAGCTGTGGGTCTGTAGGTTTGATAGTGGCTATACTTCCTCCCATGCACTTCTGATTTATTTATTTTTAAAGTTTTTTTATTACATTTCTCTACTGCCAAGCAACTGAATATCCCTGCTGTGTAGGAGCATCACCGCTGCCACATTGTCTGTGGCACCATTGCCTCAATGCTGCAAGCAGTAAACCCAATATTATGTTCTTAAAAGTATAGCATCAGACTCTTCTTGCTGACAGAAATGGGACTGGGCTGGGTCGATGCAAGCAGGAGTTAGATGGCGGAATTCTAGCCTGTAGCAGCTCAACATCCAGCTGGGTGATGCCATTTTGAAATGCTTTCTTGTGTTTTTAAAAATAGCAAACTCTCTGTAATTAACAGAAATCTGCAGCATTAGGTGACAGAATTCTAACTCTGCTGTTTTCTCGTCTGTTTTGTACAGTTATTTACTGTACTTTTATGGAGCATCACTGCTACTGAAAACATTGCTAGGCAGTGATGCTTTCCTGCCCCATAAATCTTTCTGTCTAATTTCAGCTGCATAAACATGAATTTAAGCACTTGATTTGTGCTTTCCAGGTGCAAGAATATCGAGAAGCTTTGGAAGCGGTACTCATTAGAAAAAAGAATGGGATTCTTCTGATGCCAGAACTGTATGCTGTTCCTCCAGATAAGGTCTTATAGCAGTGCTGCATGTTTCTGATTGTTTTTAACATCTGCCTCTGATATATCATGGATTTTATGCATAGAGAGAGTATTTGTGTCTTTTTATATCATTTATGGTAACAATAGCTGTTGTTTTTGGCTTTTGATTTTTAAAAAAACTCTATAGCTTTTCATGAATCCTCAGTACAGAGCAGGCTAAGGGCTAAATGCAGGCATAAGTAATGCTTACTTCAACAAGTATTCTCAGTGCTTTTTTTGTGAGAAAAAAGGTGCTGGAACTCATGAAATTATTTCCCTTTCGTACATAGTCAATCACTGTACGCACACCCACACACGTCAGTTGTGTAACGAAACATAATGGTTGCCACCCACAGTAAGCTCAGCGCGCAACCACACGACCAATCACAAGTCAAGCAGCGCCACAAGCCGAGCAGCGCCATCACAACCAGCGCAGACAAAGTACACATGCATCGGATTCGACACACAAGCAGCCCGCATGCACCATTTTAATGATTTTGCTGCCAACCTGCTATGCTCGACAGTGTGATTCAAATCCACGTGGACCAAACATCACATTTTCAAAAGTTACTTTTAAAACTTGGAAAATCTGTCGAAAAAAGGTGCCAGAACTCCGTTCTGGTGCGTCCTATGACAGAAAATGCACTGAGTATTATAAAGGGGAAGTGACTATTTTTTTCATGAAATGGAGTGGGTGGAATCCGTCACTTCCTCTGTGCTGTTCGTCTTCAGAGTGTTTTCACCCAAGACACCAGATTTGTATCCATGTTAGTGAGCTGGCTTCAGGCATCCAGTAAGAAGCATGCAGTTATGTAAATTTAAGGGAGAGGCCACATAATCCTTAGGCTTGCTTCAAGAAACACATTGAGTGTTGCAGCATCCACCCTTTGTAATACCTTTCCAGTTGACCTTAGAGAGGCCTACTCAGTGTCTGGTGTTTAGGTATCTTTTTCAGATGTCTTCTCTTCATACAGGCTTTCCCGGAAGTGTGTCTCTATCAGCTGTAGTTTGTAGCACACAGCATACAGTGTGGTTATATTGCTGATCAATGTGTTCCTTTTATCATGGTAGTTACTTTTATGGCATTGCATTTTACAGTGCTTTGATATTTTTGTGGAACGTTATATATACATTGGAATAGTACAGATGATCATAAAGTGGCAGAGAGGAAATGGGAAGTTCTGCTCACGCGTGTGTTTCATTACACATAAAACACAAATGCCCCAAATCCCACTTTTGGTTTGAATGGAGTAAAAATGTGAATACAATACAGATTTCCCTGTCAAATATAGTTTAACCCTATAGATTGTAATAGATGGCCATCATGAAGGAAGCTGTAGAGTGGGAGGAGAAAGTACAGGTGTAGCATCTATCTTCAAAAGGGAAAAAGTGGTAAGCCAGTGTGGTGCAAGGATTAGCTTGTAGCCAGAACTGAGAGATCCAGGTTCTAGCCCCACATGGCCATGAAATGCACTGGGTGAGCTAGACTCTCAGCGTAGCCTGCCTCACAAAGTTGTTGTAAGGATAAAATTGAGAGAAAGAATCATTCAATCCACCTTAGGTTTCTTGCAAGAAGAAATAAGGTCAAATATAAAAGCAGTAATAAATGTGATATAGTTGAATAATTTCTTAGCTGTGTTAGCATATTTTAATGTATGCAACTTGTAAACTGTAGCCTTTTGTTTTTGTAATCTGAAAGAAATTTAAAAGTGTTTTTCATAGTTAAATGGGTGGGCCCTTCTAGATGTTATTTATTCAACACTTGCAAGCTTTGAACACATCTCCAGAATCAGCTGCCTGTATTATGGCCACAGTTTTATATTAAATAATAAACTGCATGTGTGAATGAGATGTTGCAAAGCCAACACCACAGATATAATATGTGCACCATCTTGTGTTGCCTCAGACTCTGTGCTTGTCAGTAGAGGTATTAACTTGAGGTGTGGTAGTCATTAAGTGTAGAAAATAAAGTCATGTACAAAGATGTGTTAACCCATTCTTGTTCCATTCTTTTGTTTGTCAGGTAAATGAAGAATATGAGAACCCTCACACAGTGGATCGTGTTCCAGCTGGAAAGCTTCCTCATCTCTGGGGGCAATCATTATACATTCTTAGCATCCTCCTAGCAGAGGTAATCCTGAGTGTTCCAAGACAGGCAGCCCTTTGCTAGTCAAGACATTCTGTGGCTAGTCTGTCCTTTCCGCCTTCATGGATTTTTTGTGGAATGAGGTGGTGGGAAAATCCAGGAGGGTGACAAGTGAGAGATAATGTGGATGTCAGGACATATTGTCACATGATGAAATTCCATGAATAAGGTAGGATGACTATGGGACAAAAGCCTCATCTGTAACTACCCTCTGCCTTTTGCTCAGCTTATGACATTTTTTTCCAACACTGTTTATCTAGACTCCAAAGTTGATAAATCTGTCCTGTCTTTTTTCCCTTGTTCTTCTACTCCTTCTCACAGGGCTTTCTGGCTACTGGTGAAATTGACCCCTTAAACAGAAGATTTTCAACTGCTTTTAAGCCGGATGTTGTTGTGCAAGGTTGGTGACTATTGCACAATTTTTAGTTCCACGAATTAAGGGGAAGATAAAAGTAGCGAGCTGAGCATGCAGCAGGTTGTAGGAGAGTTCTGAGGCACATGCAAAAGACCTTGCTGGAGCAGCTGGTGAAGCAGGTCACTAGACAACCTGGCAGTGCTCTTTCTGAATGACAGCAGAGGGAGCAGGAGATACGCAGCCTGCACCCCTCAAGTGCTTGGATGCAGAGGCTGACTTAGGGAGCGCCAACAACGATTCACCCAGCCACTTGTGTGGTGCTGGCGCTGTCACTCTTCCTGCTCCACAGCTGCCTTTCAGCCATAGAAGGAGAAGATAGGCTTTCTTCTCCTTCTGCATTGTTCTGCTGTGGCCACTGGCATCAAGCACCACTCCAGAAGATGATTCCCATCCACCAATGGCAGCAGAGCTATGAATGCATCTATTACATTGCATAATCCAAATGTATCCAAGTACAACTTTATACTGGAATAAGTGGATAGAGGAAACTGTCTGCAGGAACTCTGTGTCCACATCCTAATCCTTCAAATGTTGTAGACAGAGGAACAGTATGGAATGTCACATCATCTAGATGCGGCTTGCAGTCTCTGATGGTAGCACTGATTTAGAATGGAAGTATACTGAAAACAAGATGTTTTAGCTTACAACTCCCAGCAGCCCTAGCCAGCCTAGCCAATGCCGAGTGATCGTGTGAGTTGAAGACCAAAACATCTGGAAGACCACAAAGATGTGCACTGTAGTCTATAATGTGTTTAAATCTTTTTTTCCAAAGTCTCAGGAAAGGGAAAATGATGTGTGATACCTTCATCTTCAACCTCACTTGCTTATCTTGGTTATTCAACTGCTAGTCTAATCAAAAGGGCAACTTGTTTCACCCATAAGGTGTCCATACAGAATGAGAATTTCTGTTTAAAATAACTATATTGTTCTCTTCCCTCCCCATCTCAAACAGTAAATGTCCTAGCAGAAACAAATCATATTCAGAAACTCTTGAAACATCATGGAATCAACGTTCAGAGCGTTGCTGATATTAATCCAACTAGAGTGCAGCCAGCACGGATTCTGAGCAGTCTCTATGCCAAGCTTGGTATGTGCCATGAGGAAGAATTGTGCAACCTTCTTTCATTTTCCAAGTTTGGCCCTCATTCCTTTCTTCTTTTGTTTTTTTTAGAGAAGTTCAAAATTATGCAACATTTTGAACTGGAATTGTGGGGTTTATAAAGATCTATTTGAAAATAGTCGAGGGGCACACCAATAGTTCCTTTGAAAAGGATAGCACAGTCCTAAGTTCAATAGCCCTTCAAAGCACAGTTGGAAGAATGTACCCTTTAGGCAGAATTTTGGAAACTCAATTTCACTGACGCATGAGCTCCATTCATGCTTTACTCATGTGAAGAGACTTGTCTACTTGGGTCCATGGCTCCTGAACTCTATATGTTGAACAAATGTCTGAAGGTGAACCAGCTTCTAAGCAGCATAAACTGGGATTGTTGGTTGTATGAAGGAACTTTCATGACCACATGTAGCTTGCCCTTTATTTCTTTGCCCAACACAAGTCACTGGGGGGACAGAACCAAGAGAATGGGGGCACCGTTGCTGGTGGGACCAGTGGTACAGTTATGTTCCCCTTCAATTGTGCAGGGTCCTTCATGTGGGTAATGTGCGAAGGGGGCTATAGAAGCTCCCATAGGAAGATTGCTCTGAACTTCTGAGCCCATACTTGCACCCTGAAGTACTAAATTGGTAGCAATTGTTATGGAAAGATTTCTTGAGCAAACTGTACTAATTATGCAAACTTTCCAACTGCTATTGGATAATCAAATAATAAGTATTTGCTAAGAAATCAGCTTGTAAAAATGCAAACTTTTTATCTAAATAACTTTGTAAGAAAATATGAAAACATAGACATCTCAGATGTACTATTTAAATAACATGTTCTCTGCCATAAGTAGAATGCTACTCAATTAATTTAGCATGAAAGTGCATGCATTAATGGCTATCTAATTGAATAATTGAAGCGTTCTCCTTTCTTCTATAAATGATTTAATGTGCTACCAAAAAGATGTTACTGAATAGCCATAGGGGAAAACTTGCTGTCCAAAAAAGGCTTTTGACAAATGGCCAGTTGTAGTTTAACACATCTGGGGGGCAGCTGGGCAGGGGAAGTCTGACCTAAATCCATGCTGTTTCATGCCAGGTGAATCTCGGATGCAGTGTTAATCACTGATCGCATGTACATACGAGCATTTTTTCATGTATGGGCATAACTTCATGGTTCTGATCTTTCTAACTGCATTCTTTTGTTTCTTTAGGTCGCAACAAGAGCATGAAACTGAGTGGGAGACCTTACCGTCATATTGGTGTCCTTGGAACATCCAAACTATATGTTATAAGAAATCAAATATTTACTTTTACCCCACAGGTGAAGTTTTAATGTGCACAGCAAAATTATCTTTTTTATAATTGCTCCTGAAATGCTTTACCTTTTTCAGCATTACTTCTGGGCCTTATCTATGCAGAGCTGATTGAAGGGAAAAAAAGATGTTTCCTTTTAGTTATTTACATAACTGAATGATAATAAAACAGGAACAATGAAAAGCTTATGGACGTCTTACTAGCAGAAATCTAGACTTTCTAATAGCACAGGACAGCAGTAAGCAAAATTATTGATTTTCCTGGTGCTGAAACCTAAAAGTAAGAGGAATGGCCTCCTGGTAAGTCTTGAGAACATGATGGTAGTGCTGATTATTTTACGTGAAAATCCAGTTCAGGGCTGGGTAACTTGTAGGCCCACCATTGAAAGTTCACAGCTCCCATTACTGCTGGCCAACATAGTTAGTAGTAAGGGATTAGGGGAGTTGTAGGCCAAAATATCTGGAAGGCTGCAAGTTGCTCAGTCCTACTTTAGTTCAACTGAAGACTATCATGACTTTAACCAAATATAAATTTTTCCTTTTTTATTTACCTAAGTGGCCAAGTTTGCATAATCAGGCAAGGAAAAGAAACCACAGTGGACCTCACTAGATTCAGAAAAAAATCATAAACTGCACCCAGCACAGGCAGTTATGGAAATGAGGCAGTGCATGGCCCACTCACATGGAGCAGGATAAAAAAGCCAGTGCGGCTTTTTTCCCTTCGCCAATATCACAAAGCCAATTTTTGTAAGCTCTGGAAAAAGGAACTAATACTCATCTGGCATTACAGAAATGTATGTTTGCTCTATATGCTAATGGGGGAGGGTATCTAAAATCCTAAGAGAAACTATATTATGCAAGAATATTTATATCAGCCTGCCCCAACCTGGCATCCTCAGATTCCCACACTACAGGACACCAGGCAAGTAAAGCTGTCCTACACAGTTAGATGGAATAACTAGATAGCAGATGTATTTAAAATACTATGGGATTCAGATTGCATTTAATTGAAAGAAGACATTCTTGTTTTTCTCATTAAACTTTCTGCTAACACAGACCTGGGCATTGTACGGCCCGCGGGCCACATCCGGCCCAATGGCTGACCCTGACTGGCCCGCGTGAGGTCACTGGCAAATTAAAAGTCAATGCAAATATATATCGTCGTAATACAGATGCAAGCAGTACAACTGCACTGCTTTTATTTTGAAGGATCTGCTAAATTGAATTAAATTTATTGCTTTTCTTGTAATGTTAATGTTAATGTTTTTGTGATTATTCATTAAATAGTGTTGTTCTGTGCTCCACATTTTCATTGTATCATTGTAATGTTTCATTTACAGTTTTTATAGAGATATATATTGAGCAGAGTTGTAAATGTATTGGTCCGGCCCTTAACAATTGTCAAAGTTTTTCATGTGGCCCCATAGGAAAATTAATTGCCCACCCCTGTGCTAACATGTTAGCAGAAAATCTAACGTGGAGTCTTGGTTTATGCATTTATTCAGGTAGCTTCAAGTGCAAACCAACTCTTAGTTTGGGATAGTAAATTGGAAGGTTTGTGCAGAAAATCAATTCCTATATACTCACACACAATTATGGGCTTACACCTTATAGGTGAATGACTTTAACTAAGATTTGCTCCACAAAGTGCTTCAGAGCAGTAGAGTTAACTAATTAACTCAAGCTGGTCTTGCCCAGACTTAATGTTTAAAGTTATTATATAAAAGCTGTTAAGAGAGAAATGTCTAAAAGTGTATCTTTTTCTTCCAGTTTACAGATCAGCATCACTTCTACTTGGCTTTAGACAATAGGATGATTGTGGAGATGTTACGAACAGAGTTGGCTTATCTCACTTCCTGTTGGAGGATGACCGGGAGACCAACCCTCACTTTCCCAATCACCAGTACAATGCTGAGTCAGTAATAAATTCCTTTGATGTTTATAGCAGAATTCAATTTATTTGCTTCTGTTTTTGTTTTCTGGAAGCGTCAGAACATGCCATTTGCAACAGCAGTTTTTGTTTTTCTATGTTTCAGTTCTACTGGGTAAAAATAAGAGACCAAGAAATACATGGTTAATGCTGTAAACGTCTTGAGCTGAATTCTATTTTCTCTGCAAGTTGATATTAATATTTTCTTAAGTGAGGGTGATTTAAAGTCTTTTGTGGGGCAGAGCAGAGTATTATTTAACACACTCGATAATAGACTGTACCAACCCTGAAACACTATCTCAAGGAAGCTATACACTATCTGTCTTAAGCATGAGATCATTTGTAAGTTTTAAAAATGTCTTTAATAAAACCTTTTCAGGTAAACAGCATAGTTATCTATGAACAGTGTAGAAGTCATAAGAGTCAACTGTAGCCCACAATATAAAATCCAAAGACCTATACTAATTGTATGTGGGGCTAACCAACTCTGCAGATTTTTAAGTATAAAAGTTTTAGTGTGATCATGCAGTGAATTCCACTATTTGTTCATCAGCTGTAACAATCTTCTAAGATATTGTAAAAGAATCTTACAGTTGGGACCAAAATGACCCCAAAATCTGGATTAATAAGTTTTGTTCAAACCAATAGCCATGATGAAAACAAATTATTCTGGGTCACTTGGAAGAAAGAACTCTCTTTCAAAATTCTGATTTGTAATGCTTTTTTGTTGACAGTATTATTGATTTCTTATGTAATTTGTGATGTTTTTATCAGTTAGCAACTCGTCTCTTATAGAAAATGAAATAACAAACCACTCTTAATACTTGTTTCAAACAAAAATATATTAAACAGGTTTAGGTCCAAGCATTAGTAGATATGGCATATAACTAATCACTTTTGATAGCATTTGGTGGTGTTGTGAATGACGGCTCAATATGTAAACAACCCACACGTTCGCGAGCAATAAAACTAAAGTCTTTTATTGCTACTTATCTACAAGATTTACAACACTACAGATAAACTCTACTGCTGAAGTCTTTACAAGGCAGATGCTAACTCCTTAGTGACGTCTCTCAGGGAGCCCACGTGGGACTAGCTATCTTGGTCCCACCTTTCCTCTCTTAGGCGGGACAAAGCTTGCTTTTGCTCCAGTCTGCGCAGAGAACACCTAAGGGTCACGTGAGAAAGGTCCACTCTGTCTCCTGTGTCGTGCTCAGGAGGTTCAGTGTTAGGAGGAAGGGGGGCAGTCTGCTCAGGCCCTCTATGAGCAGAACTCATAGTGTCTCTTCCCTCGGAGCTCCCTTGGTCTGACGAAGGCTCGGCTGTTTGCTCAATGGGTAAAGGGTCAGGATGAGGTATAGCTATCTGTTCAGCCATTCCCAAGCTAGGTTGTGGGAGGGACATTTGGCTACAGGGTCTTAAGCATAAGTCTTCCTTGTGAGGTGCTGCCTCTGCCAGGGTGTCAGGCATGACAGGTGGTGTCATTTTGACCCTTCTCACTTAAGCGCCCTGTTTTTCACTTGTCTCAGCCATGCACGTACAAGTAGGATTGGCCTTAAAAGCTATAACACTTCATTATTTCATTAAATGAAGCAGGGAAGGCAGTTCAGACATCATCAAGGTTAGGGTCTACTTGGAACATGGAACTCTGGAAGACTGACTGAAAAGTTTTATGACACCTCTTGTGCTTCAGGGATGCATTTTATCCTACCCCATACCAGAGTGCCATGTATAAATGTTAAAACTGAAGATGCTATAAAGCTTGTATTCTTTACACGTCTTTATAAAACACTGTCCTCTGAAGCAGGATTTTAGATCTCAGAAGACAGCACCTCCCTCAAGCCAGTGTTTGCTCATGAAAGTACCAGCAAGCCATCTGCATAGGCTTGGCGTTCACTTTGTGAGAGATAATGCCAAATTAGAAGGAAGACAAAAATAACACAGCTCATGTACTGAACAAGCAGTGCCAGTGGGTGTAGCACCAAAATGGAAATAACGGCATCTAATTGATTGAGATATTTGCAGACTTATTAAACACTCTGTGTATGATGTTCAGCCATTCTTAGATTAGCTATCTAGTAATCAGTAGGCATGCTTACTCAGAAATAAATCTTACTGGATTCAAGCTTCTAGCCTTTATGGCCACAGAGTTTTTCCTGTGGGATTCACTTCTAAATAAGAATGCCTGAGATAGTACCATTTTTTCTTCAGATTACTTGTAATTTCTTCATATTACTGTGAAATGAAAGCTCAAATCAGTAGCAATATAGTTCAGATACTGCTGGTTTAGGGGGGGATTTTACACTTTTCCACATGGGAAGGGTATTTAAACTTGAATTGCTAAAGAAACCTTATTAACAAGATAGTCATCTATTTTCTTTCTTAGTCGATGATGGCTCCGACATTGATCCAGCAATTCTGGCCACCATAAGAAAACTTGGGGATGGATACTTTGGAGGGGCTAGGTAAGGACCACTATATCTGTTAATATCTGTGGTTGTTCTTGCTTCTCTGTCTTTGCCAAAGGTGACAAAAGTTTTCTGTTTCATTTGGTAACTGGCAATTGACAATATAAGCTTCCATATAGCTTAAAGTGTCTGATGCTGCCTAATCTTGGAAGCTAAGCAGGGTTGGGCTGAAATCTGGATGGTGATTTAAATGTTGTTGGCTATAAGAAGCATAGAAATGGAATTAATAATAATAATAATAATAATAATTTCCAGATGGGCAATAATGTTAGATTGTGACAGCAAAATGTTGTGTGGTACCTTACAGACTAAGAGACAAATTGATGCTATTGTGAATTACTGTAACATATCCTTTTGTAGTATACAAGGCTTATGCTGTGATCAATTTATTAGCATATAGAGCATCACAAGAACCGTTGTTGCCTTTGTTGTTCTCTTCATGAGATTAGCTGTGGGTCTCTTTCCTGTAGGTTTGGCCTTTTTAAACTAGAGATCTGTTGAAAGTTTCATCTGATAAATTATTTGCTGAACTGTGTGTTCTTTTACACTGGGTTTTGTTTGTGAGTGCAGGAAAAGTAGCATAAAATGCTTTAGGGCACAATTACATTAAGGGTGCTTGTAATGCTCCAGACTCAGAGGTGTATGAACATCACAGAACTTTGCTACTATACTGTTCTTGCTCCACAGAACACTAAATGTGGCATTTCACAACTTGGGGAAAGGAAGCTGAGGTTCTTCCAGGATATGTTGCTTCTTGCCAGTGCCAGTCTCCTCTTTTGCTACGCACAAAATCTTAGGAATTAGTTTGGATTGATCTTCAACAGCTAAACCATTATTTTGAGACAAATGTTTTCTTGTTTACTGACACAAAGATATTGTATATTATACTTAAGTGTACATATTTTCTTTGTGTTTCAATACTGATACAATGGGATGGGTGGCTACCCTAATCAGTTTATTTGGTATTTGTGTACAAAGAAGCCTGCACTTTGATTGTTGCAAACTTCCCAGAAAGCTTTGGCTGTGGGTGGTATAGGAATGTAAGTAGCAGTAGTGGTAGTAGCAGTGGTGGTGGTGGTGGTGGTGGTGGTGGTGGTGGTAATAATAATAATAATAATAATAATAATAATAATAATAATAATAGTCTTAGGTATATGAGGAAGCTGTTGTCTAATCCTTCATCATAGAGGAAAACTTGTGCATTAATTCCCTGTTATCTTCAGATTAGCCGGGAAAATATTTCTGGCTGAACTAGCACGGAACTGTTGCTTGTCTGCGTAGATAAGCTAGTTGGAGAGACAGTAATCAATCAGTACTGAACAAGGTAGACCAATATTCTGACCCAGAATAAGGCAGTTTTGTATGATCCTAGGTTCCAAAATTTTGTCTCTAAGCTGTCAGGCAGCTCTCTTTCTGGCTCACACACACTGAAGTGATGTCCATTCCTATTATTTCCCACAGAATTTAGTTCTCTATTGAGAGTGCTGCCTTAATATCATTTATCATGGTGAAAAGATCTATTCCTGATGAATCCATGTAGCCACACTAATAGTTAAAAATACTATTTGATCCCTGTCAGTTATTGAACCTGGTGATCCTTATAAATGTTTTCCTATCTTGTACAATATACGTGTGCATCAGATATGTTCCTTTTTCTTTTTAAATTTGTTGTTCTTCAGGGTAAAGTTTGGCAAACTTTCAGACTTCCTGACCACATCATTCTACACAAACCTCAGCTTTCTGGATCCTGATTGTGACGGGAAACTATTTGATGATGAGAGTGAGGGCTATTCTAGTACTGAAAGTGGTTATGAACTAGAAGATTATGCTGACTTCTGTGTCAAAGGTGATACTGCTTTTTATCATATCAGTGGAGTATTTCCATTTATATAAATAAAAATAAGCACATTTCAGTGCTATGACTGAAGTATATGAGGAAATAATTCTTGTGGCTGGTTATTTGCAGAGAGTCATACCCATATGGTCTGCCTAAACCTATCAATCCATTCTTTTTCTTGGTTGCTTCTTTGTGAGCAAAAGACTAGTAATGGAACCTGGACAACATTACAAAATGTAAAACAGTAATTAAAAATAGCGTAATGAAATAATTATAAAGAGAGCTTAATGAATCTGAACTAAAATTACCTAGACCTTTACACCAAAGAATCATTTATTATTTTATTAGATTTGTATCTGCATAGCTGACGAATGCCCTCAGTGCAAAAACCAAATACTAACAACAAACAGCCAAAAATAGATAAAAATATTAATACTACAATACAAGTGTTAAAACTATAATTAAACATTAAGGATATTTAAAGAAACACTGAGGAGATAGCAGTAAAATTAATACAGTAAAGTTGAATGCCTGCTTGAAGAACAGGCATTACCTGCTTATCTGTTACCTGAATGTATACAGTGAAGATGCCTGGTAGATCACCTGGGAAAGTCATTCCACAGATGGAGGGCCAATGCAGAAGAGGCTCTTCCCCGGCAACCACTCATCCATCATTCTCCAGGAGGGAACCATTCTAATAGGTCTCTCTCCTTTTGCAGAGAGGGAATAGAGCCAGAAATCAAAGCCTCAACAGAGCATGATTTGACCATGACAGTGGGACCAGTGCTTAGATCCTTTATTTCCAAATCACCTCAGGCAGAGGGATGTTGAAGGTCAAATAAAGGGTATGTCCAGGCACATGCATCAGGCTGCTGACATACTGGACAGTGAAGTCCTGAGTCATAGCCTTAATATGGATATTGAAGTCATCCAGGGCCAACAGCCTGAGAGTTCTTAGCACCAACTGTGAGACCACCTTAATCCCCTCAAGCAGGGGACTGTTGAGCAGGGAGGGTGCATGTGGAGGCTGTACACTGACTGCACACATTTTTGAAGCTGCAAAGGCAAAATGCACAAATTGTTGGGTTGCCTAACTGTCTTCACCAGCAGATGGCCCTTTTCTTTAACAAAGAACTGTTGCAATTATTTTTGTTTTTTACATTTTATTGAGCTTTTCAGATACAAAAGAATAATGAGAACAGGAATGAAGAATAGTTCTGATCTTTGTTCACGTTGCTTTCCTATGCATCTGTCTTCACAGAAAGCCAGGATGAATTGGACCAGTATATAAACAGTATGTTACAGAGCACTGCTCTTAAATCAAACTTACCTCCTGTTACAAAGAACTCTGGATCACCCCATGTATTTAGTGCTGCTCATTCCACTAGAGAAATACTGTCAATCATGGCCAAAACTAAAGGACTGGATGTACCAAGTAAGTTTTTACAGCCCATAGATTTCTACCTGTTCTCAGATGCCTATGCCAAATTCTGGGATTGTAAAGAAAAATTTGAAAACTGAATGATTCCAATACTTATGAAGGCATAATTCCAACATAGTAATGTGTCATTGTCCAGTGCCTATACAGTTAGCTGTCACTACTAAAGCTAAGTTCCATAATGTAACTAACAGTGTGGCTGTAGGTACAAAATGGGCAGTTTTCTGCTGATTTTTGTAATCAAAAGTTGTTTGCGGTAAGCATTGCTCTGTGAATGCATTAGCAAAATCACGATTAAGACTCCAAAGTTACAGAGAGTTATCTTTCCAAGTGGGTTGGTGAAGAGGGTAGATATGTGCATAATAATATTTTAAACAACAAGAACAATCTAATAAAGGTGAGGTAGGAAGAACAAGAGAATGGCCAAGATAAAACAAATTGTGCAATGTATGCTCAGATGATCACTGTAGAATTGAGAAACATTGGGGTTAGGTGGGGATTGAAAAACTATACAAACTGCTAGTTAGATATATTAGGAGACAGAGTACCCTACTGAATATTTGAGGCTAAACCTTTCTGTGCTCCACGCATAGCCTAGAACGTGGCCAGGTGAGGCACTGGCCCACACACTTCCCGACTTCTCCAGAGCAGTAGGGGAAAAGGCTTTGGTGACTTTTGGTTTCATGTTTCCTAAATCATGAATTAGTGTCCAGACTAGGAATTGTGGCTTATAAGAGACTGTGAGTTATGTGACAAGCCAGCTTCAGAAATCATGGCTTGAAGTTGGCTTGTTTGAAAACTTACCAGAGTTTGTTAAAAAGCATGATCCCTGTCCTGGATGACCTAAGAAAATGAGATCATGGAAGTAAAACAAAACACTACCAAAGGCTTTTATTCAGCTTCATAGAAAAAGAAGGGATGGAATGGAAGGAAGTGCAGGAGCCTAAATCTTGATCAGGCTTGTTACTCTCAAACCAGACTTGCTACTGTGTCTGAATGCTGCTAATGTATAAACTGGAATGATGTGCAAATACCTTGGAGCACACAGATTTGATGTCTACTATTCTGCCCAGTGGTAAACCAAAGCGTGCTGATGTTACAAAGCATTTAAATACATTACATTTTCTATATTTGAACTCAGTTGCTGGCATATTAAAAGTGCTCTCACAAGGGCCTACATGTTACATAGAAATGTGTGTAACTAAGCCCTGATACATCTTTATTCTTCTGGAAAAGCCAGTTTGGGAGGAGGTCATTCAAAGGAGATTTGGAGTGGATGCGTGGTCCTTACCATCATCTGCATCAATGCTCTTAATTGCCCACCTCAAAGCAGCTATTTCTCCTGTAAAGGGCCATTGATATTTTGTTATACATATTTGCTTGTACCACATAGCTAGATCTTCAATACCATTAATATGTTGATCTCTAGAAAATCTTGTATTCTTACAAGATCATTCTGTATGCTCAGAAAGTTCTGATTTGTTTGCTTTCCAGATGTTTCAATGTCTTTGCCTACAAAGGTCTTAAATACTCACCGAAAATCTCTGAACCTTGTAGATTCCCCACAACCAGTTACAGACAAGGTGAGCTGCTATAGTGCCTCCATTTGGAAAGCATAGTGTTGGAGCTTTTGTATACACTCTTACACATGAATGACAAAAGCAGCTGAAAAGGATTAGTTACATTAGACAAATAAGTATGCTTCATATTAATGGTGCAGACTTCAAAAAATGCCTGAATTAGAATTGCTCTTTGCATAATTTCTTCCTTGATATGATATCAATGATGCACAAGGAGGAGTCAAAACCACAAGGTAAGGTTGGCCTTGGACACGTGTGGGGTGGTTGTCACTGCAGCTATCAGTGGTAGTGGCAGGGCAGGCTTGGTGAGAACAGATGGAGACGGCCGCCCAGGTTTCCCCTCAGGCAAGCCGCCTTGCAGGAATTAGTCCAGGTACACACAATGTTATGCCAGATAATCTTAAGGAGCAGGAGGCACTCGCCCACCAGATTCCCTTAAAAGGTTTGGGATCTTTTGCTCGGATTTAATACATGCTGCCAGAGAACAAGGGCTGGATTTGCATTCACACACACACACAACACCTAGAAAGGAAAGTTTATTCAGCAGAAAATATTTTGCCTAATCTTTTTAAGGGGAAATATCTTGCACCTAATCTTTCTCTACAAGGGCTGGTTATGCACCATTCATTCTTCTCTCATTTAGGCTGGCTAGTCCAAGATAGTAGGTGCCTGTTCCTGAACTCAACACTTAGCCAACATGGCCTGTGGCCTGGGAGCCTGTCTTTGTGGGACGAATACTGATATACATGTGCTACAATAATACAAGAACCCATCACAGGCAACAACACATTCTAAGTTGTTATGTTCTGTGAACCCAGTTGATAACAGAGAGCTGCAGATCTTTTGTCTATTGCTGGGCAGCTAATCTGCTGGGTAGTTGCCATGTTCAGAAAGCTTCCTTCCTAAGTAGGGAAAAGGCTCACAGATTGCTAAGGTATTAATTCCTTGCTTTCAGACATGCCAAGTAATAAGGCTGGATAATAAAATCCTGATAAGTGCAGCAGGTACATACTAATTCCCTAAGGCTAGTGGGGAATTGCCTCCTGTAGGGCTGCTTGGCATGCAGCTCATTTATTTGGGGCATACAATGTAAAACAGCAGATTCCTGATTCAAAGAAACATGACATGCATATGTATTGCAAGCTTTTCCTTGTCTCTCTTTTTTCTTTTGAGCGAGACACTATCACACACCCTCTTAATTTCCTCTCCACTCTAAGCTGTTTCAGATCTCAGTGGCAGACATACATTTAAAATTCGCTAGCTTAAAAAGCAGCTTGCAAGGTGGAATGAGTTGTTGCTGTTCAGAAAAGAAGCAAATGTGCAACCATATCTACTTATTGTTTTCAAAGTTCATGTATGTTGAATATAAAGGTTGCTTTACAAAACATGACTAATATTTCCTGACTTTTTTTACCTGTTTAGATAGAGGTGCTTTTAGCACATTGAAAGCACACTTGTTCATTTGTTGTTTTTGTTGATTGCTAGCAGTGTCACACACCCTGTGAAATAACATCTTGGATTAGGATTGTGCTAAATCTTTAGCAGACATTTACAACATGAAAAGGATGCTTTGGAGGGCCCAAAATGTTACCTGAAAGATGCCCCCCAGCCTATGTGGCTTATCCAGATTATTGTTGATTATAGCCCTAATCAGCAGCAGCTTAAATGCCTGCATTTCTTTTACTGCATTTATGGCTTGCCTTAGTCCCAAAGACTCAAGTTGATGCATGTAGTCTGACCAGATTCCATTTGACTCTGCTTAGCTTCAGGGTGGTTTCTGAATTATGTACTCCTAGGCTATACCCAAAGTGATATTGGGACCCCACAAATGAGGTTTGGTTATGTGATACTCTTACCAAAAACAAATAAAGCTTGTTTTGAGTAAGGCTTGCTTTCCTGCAATAATGTGGTCACATAGCCAAAAATGTTAGTATGATCATTCATCTACTTCTAAGAAAAAAAGACTATTTTAAACTTAAAAAGTCAAAAGTTTGATGTGGTTAGCAGACTAGCTCATGGTTTAATTGAACCTATGGGTTGTTGAATTCAGGGTTGTTATGATGTTATGTTATGATGTGTGAACCCAGCCATTCTAACAGATCATGGTTTGTTAGCCATGAACAACCCAGTAAGATAAACATTGATTTGTTGCTAGGTTGTAACTTGGTGGGTGTTTAAACCATGGATTGTCAGTAAATGTGAATCTAAAACAATTACTACAGAGGTGGCAGGTTAGAAGGGCTACCACTTTCTGGAAAGTCAGTGAAATGGCAATTGGTCATGGAAGTAAGCAAAATTATCGGGGAAATTATGGTTATACTTGTGCAATGGATTATCTAAGATACCTCCTTAAGAGGTCAGTCTGCACATGGGGCAGTCGGAGCAAAGAAATGGCAGAATAAAAGTATAATGTAATGATGCTGGACCACAAGAAAGGCTGAGTGCCAAAGAATTGAGGCCTTTGAATTGTGTGCTGGAGAAGACTCCTGTGAGTCCCTTGGACTGCAAGGAGATCAAATCTGTCAGTCTTAGAAGAGATCAACCCTGAGTGCTTTTTAGAAGACCAGATACTGAAGGAAGGACTCACTGGAGAAGACCCTAATGTTGGGAACAGCTGATGGCAAAAGAAGAAGGGGATGGCAGAGGATGAGGTGTTCAGATGGAGTCACTGAAGTGGTTGCTGTGAGCTTGATTGGACTCCGGGGGATGGTGGAGGACAGGAAGGCCTGGAGGAATGTTGTCATGGGGTTGCAATGTGTCGGCCACAACTTCGCAACTAACATAACATAACATAAATGATGTTGCACACATGTTCCCTAATATAGTTATGTGGTTTTAGAAATGTTTATTGGCTGATGGTTGTCAAACAGATTAAAATGAAACAACATATGATAGCATTATGCTATTATGGAAAAACTGACTCACAGTATCACAGCAACCACAATTTGTCATATTAACAAATGAAAAATAGGATTTCTCAGCACTGTTCCCATTTTGCTGAGAAACTGTTTTTACTGTTTTTCCATAGGATTCTGTAAGAAACTGCGATATTACAAGATCACTGAAGTAAACCAATTCATGATTGAAACTCACGTGTTGTTTGTCATTTCCATGCTATTACATGTTTAGATTTATGGCAGAGGTGTTATCGAGCAACTTTCTTTTACATATTCATTCATTATGTAGTTATTGGCTATGAAATTTTCTAAATAAATATGTAAAATGTTTAAGTTCATCTTAGTAGATGTATTTTAACTTTTCCCGGACTTGTGTCTGTCCTCCTGTAATAAAGCTAAAAGAAAAACTATGCATTAAAGCTACATTTCAAGTATTTAATTACATTTCTATGCCCCTGATGATCTCTGAAGAGCAACCATGGATAATGAGTTGCAGACGACCCTTTTAAGTTCAGGCCCGCTTGCCTTTTGGTCATTTGATGTTTGTCTTTGATTAACAGGAGCCCACGACTGCCCTTCATTTGCCTAAGGACGCTCATGGAGATTTAGACTGTGAAAAATTAGTTGGGCAGCTCAAGGAATGTCCTACTTTACATGACCAGGCCGATATATTATACATCTTGTATCTTATAAAGTAAGTTTCTTAGTCTCTTTTGTAGGTGGTTCTGGATTTATTTTTAAAAGTAATGTCTTGAGGAAGATAATATTCCTGGTTACGCTGTTATGCTTCTGGTCAGGATGTGTGAGATGCCACCATGCTGCTTTCCTCCATTTATTGTCAAGAATGGAGAAGCACTTGCACAGATCATGTGGAGCTCTTTCCATTTCTTCAGAGAGAAATAAGAGCTCTTTATGCTTGTTGGTCTTTGATATTACTTCCTGAAGTTTATGGCTAAATATTCACAATGATCTGTAACTGGGCTTTTATTTCCTACTCTGTTGCCTGTTGACCCCTCCACAAAATCCTAGTGGATCACACTAGTGCTGATTTCTAGTCAGTCATTACATGTTAATTTTGCAGAGCTGACCCTTCTGCCTGTCATAGTCCAGGACATGATTAAAATGGTGTTGCCACTTGCTGTTCCCAGATGCTGCTATTTTAGGACAGGAGGCAGCCTTCGTGCAAGTTCCTTTGAACATGAATGGAGGGAGCACTCAAGGGCCTGCTTCACTTTGCAGCAATGAGTAATGCACTTGACTTCCCTGAATTGCTCATATGCCTCAATCAAGAACTGCTGGCGAGGGCTTTTCAAAGGGACTGTGGGAAGTTAAATGTCAGAAGCTAATTAATTATTAATCCAGGCTGGGTTCGCAAGTGAATTTTAAAATGGGTTTTTAGAGATGCAGTTCCAGATGGAACGGCTGCATGCTTTGAGCAATACACCCTTCCCCGCTCCGACAGAAAGCATCTAACTATATCTGTGTTTTTCAGAAATGTTTCTGATGAGTTGTGCTTCTTTTTGGTTTTCAGAGGTCTTGACTGGGACACACAGCTCTATGGCCAGTGTGGGATCACAGTCCATTGCCTTCTCAATGAGCTCTACAGCAAAGCAGGCCAGAACCAAGAGTGGGGATTGATCCGCTACATATCTGGCATCCTCAAAAAAAGGGTGGAGGTCCTGGCCGAGGTACAGAACAAGCAGATACCTTAGACTGCTCCGCTTTCTCTTGCCTCTGCCTGCGGGATTCCTTTGTCTCTAAATAATGTGCACATTTTATGTTTTCAACTTATTTCTGTATGATCACTTTAAAAAATAGATTATACCCATTCGTGGTACTACCACAGGTTTTTTTTCTCCAGCATATTGGTCCCAGCAACACCATTTAATATACCAGCTCTGTAAGATCAATCTCAGTTCTTAGACCCTCAGTGGAAATAGAGATGTAATATTTTGCTGTGTTGGCAGTTGTTTGTAGAAAGCCATCCATGTACACTTGTGCTGCATTTCAAGATAGTTTATTTATCTGAAGTATTTTTCCTTGCTTTTCAGCCAGAAAATCTCCCAGAGCAGCTAACATGTAATTAGTAAAAATTGGGAGCTCTTACCCTAAAGTTTACAATTTAAGGAGACATGACTCATAAGGAAAAAAGGGATGTGAAGGGAAAAAAGAAAAATAAGTAGTTTTTCAGCAAGGCTGGTGGCATGACTCTGTTTCCTTCCCCATTTCCTGCTGTACAATATGTTGGAATGGCTTTCCAATGAAAATATCTCTATACATATTTCCAGTGTTGAATGTATGTGCAAACAAATTAATACAGTTGTTTCTTTCTTCTTTCTTTCTTCATACTGTGTGGAAAGAAATCAAGAAAAATGGTCAAACATAGCAAGGGTATTAAGCAATGTGTGTGTGTGTGTTTCATAGAATCATAGAATAAAAGAGTTGGAAGGGGCCATGAAGGCCACTGGGTCCAACCTCTGCTGTTCCAGGACACCATGTTACACCATCCCATTCAGATGGCTGTCCAGTTTCTTTTTGAGTGTCTCTAGTGTGGGACAGCCCACCACCCCTCCAGGCAGCTGATTCCACTGTTGTATTGCTCTGACACTGACAGTTTATTTTACAGTATTTGTAGACAAGTGGATTCTGGAACAGTGAACAGTACAGAGTAAAACAAAAGAATTAAAGTAATGCATTAAAACAAGAGAACATTAAAGATAGCAACCATTAATGCAAAGTAACATTGGTTGGTCAGCAAGAAAGGCTTCCTAGAACAAGGATGTCTTTAGCAGGTCCTGAAATCAGTACTGTGTTGGTGTTTGTCTAACTTCCTGAGGCATTGAAGGCCATAGAAATGAAAGCTCCGAAAGTGCTTCTCCTGGTGGCCTCCAGTTGGGCACAGGTCTGTATGGAACCACCAAGAGAATGTCTTCTGATATCAGGGACAAGGAAAGTTTGTAAGGGGAAAGGCACTCCCTCAGTGGTCCTGGTCCCAAGTTGTTCATGGTCCAGTAGCGAATAGGGAGCCAATGCAGTTCCTTCAACAAGGAATTTGCCTGCTGAAAACTGGCAGCACTTGGCAATAGCACAGCTCCTTCATTCAACACGAGCTCCTGCTTCTGGAGCAGCCTCGATGACATTGGAGTCATCCACCCATGAGCTTGCTGGTGCCTCTGTCACAGTGGCCAAACTATCCCTGTACAGAAGGGGCGCACCGATTGCATAGGTTCCTGCCACATAATGCACTGATCTCATTTGTTCCCTGCTTTGCCCTGTGCTAGGCATGTACAGACCTGCTGTCGCACCAGAAGCAACTTACCGTTGGCTTGCCACCTGAGCCTCGTGAAAAAACCATCACAGCGTGAGTATACGTAGTTCTGTTGGAGCACAGCCTGCTTTGCCACACCTTGCTGAGCCTTCTCTTGGCGTTTTTTCCGTGGCTTTGATTTCCTACCACACTCCAATACCATGAAATACTGTATTTGAAAGGAATATTATGGCTCCATCTTGCTAGGTCTTTCATGCAAGCTAGTGCCGATGTTTGCTTCCTGGTTGCTTTTGTGGGCTTGTATAAAAGGCAGAGCTAGTGGGCAAGTTCCATATAATGATAGCACATGGTTGCCTAATCCATAGGTTGCTGGGCCAAGTGCAAGTGGGCACATTGCCTCTTCTCAGCTCACTCTTCTGCTTTGCACCTGCCTTACACTCAAGCCCACTTTGGCTTGTTAAGGTTTAAATAGCCTTGAGTTTCTGTGGGGGGGGGGTTAATACTTAACTCCTTGGAGTGCCATGTTGCACTGAATAACCTAGAAAAGCGGTGTTTCCGAAAATGGATGCAAAGTGGAGCAGGCTGACTTGCTCCCACAGAGCTCTCCAGTTCACGCGATGCATAAGCTGCGGCACCGTCTAGACCTCACAGGAGGAGGATAAAAATAACCATACAGGAGTGATGTTGATATGTTGGTTGTTGCTTACAGGAAGAGCATATTTGCACTTTCTCATCCCTAGTTCACTTTCTTTTAGGCCTTTGCCCCCTGATGAGCTGACGAAACTCATCTATGAAGCCAGTGGCCAAGACATCAGCATTGCAGTTCTTACACAGGTAATGTGGAAACAGTCCTTTCTCTAACTTGTAGAAATGGTTCAATTTCTTTCATTGTAGAATGCGAATTCTCTCATTTTCTTTCACAAAAGTAATGATGGCTTCTACAATCTATGTTCTTTCTTGCCCCCTTCCTGCATAGGAAATCATGGCGTACTTGGCTATGTATGTTCGGTCGCAGCCCAGTCTCTTTGCAGAGATGCTCAGACTCCGCATTGGACTTATTATTCAAGTGATGGCCACAGAACTTGCCCGTAGCTTGAATTGCTCAGGTGAGCCCAGCTTCCAGTTACCACAACCCAGTTATGAAATGGCTGCTGTTAGCCTTCTGCATCCTGCCTGCAATGGAGAAGTCGGGCTGGATGACAGTAGGGGAGGTTGAGAATGGCTCTGAAAAGGTATTAAGAGACCAGGAGGTGGATGAGATGGAATTGAGATGGAATTGCAAAGGCCTGGGAGCTTCAGGGTGGTGCAGTGAAGCCAAGCAGAGTTTGAGGCAGTGATGGGGTGAGAGGGACAGTGATGGCTAATAGACAGTGATGGCTAATAGACTGGTAAGCATATTAATCACCAGATTGCACTGTTAGCCTGTGTGAGTGTGTGTGTGTTTTCTCCATTACCTCCTGCTGTTGCCCTGAGGCCTTGTTTGTTTGTTTTGCACATGTGTGTCCCAGAATTCCAAGGGAGCACACATGGTGCTTCTCCTTTCCCCTTTATCCTCACAGTAGCCCCGTGAGACAGAATAGGTTGAGAGCTGGTGACTGGCTTACATTCATCCAGTGAGCTTCATGGCTGAGTGAGGACCAGAAGCTGGATTTCCTGGATTTCCTGGGTCCCAGTCCAGCACAAACATATATGTCACACTGGCTCTCTTACTCCTTTTAAGATCTTTTTTCTGTTTGCTCAGAGAATTCTTTGTACATTGATAATAATAACTAAACGTTGGGCAATATCTGAGAAGACTTTATTGCATATGAGCAGTAATATGACTTTATGCAAGATATAAAATTAAACAGAGCCATTTGTCTCACAGAACCATACTTCTTTTCCTGGATGTAGCAGCTGTTTTTCAGGGCTAAATGACATGCGGTCCTATAGCCTAGAGCGAATGGCTGGCTGGGAAATGCTGGGCGTTGGAGGACTTTTTTTCTGTTCAAGCATACATAAGATTGCATTCTTAGTACATTATCAATAAGTGCTACTTGTCTGATATTTTAGGAGTAAGCCAAGAAGTACTTTAAGATAGACAGTGTTCTTTGTTACGGTTCTGAAATGAGCCTGAGGTTTGTGACTCAGAAGTGAAAAGATTCTTGTGGTATAGCAAGAGAGAAAAGGTGTTACTTATTCCCTTTGATGTAAAATAATTCCTTTTTGTACAGATACAATTATGTGGGTTTGTCCAAAGGAAAAGATGGAAATTATCCTGCTGAAAATGTTCAAGCCAACTATTTCAGTTTAATTAAGTGACAAGGGTTGAATGCAATGTTTGCCATGCATTTGGAAAGTTAAGAAAAAAATAATAGAACCATTCCTTCAGTTTGCATGCTCTGTGTCTGTCACAGTATCTTTTCTCTTACTAATGGCAACGACACTTGGAACTGATGTTTTGTTGTTTCTCTTACATAGGTGAAGAGGCCTCTGAAAGCTTAATGAATCTAAGTCCCTTTGATATGAAAAATCTCCTTCATCATATCCTCAGCGGGAAAGAATTTGGAGTCGAAAGGAGCAGTAATATGCCTTTATCCTTTTTGTGTGTTCATTATTGCTTGAAAATTGTACATGTTTAATTTTTGTAACAAGCTGGTTTCCCTTCCTTTCCTTTTTTCCCTCTCCTTCAGTGCGTCCTCTTGATTCCTGTACATCAAGCCCTGCTATATCTATTCACGAAGTGGGTCATACGGGAGCAACTAAAACAGAAAGAAGTGGCATCACCAGGCTGAAGAGTGAGATGAAGCAGGTGATTCTCTACATGTACCTTCAGGCACCTTAGGATAGGTTTAGAAAACTCATTAATTTCTGGTCACGACAGCTGATCTGGTACAGAATACTTTGCTGGTGAGCCAGAGGGTTGAATGCAAACTTCCACATGCACCAGAGAAGGGGAGTCAGCTTGAGTTCTCATGTCAGGCATGAGGTAACTTTTTAAATACGTAATACAGAGCCTACCCCATTCAGTGCCACTTACAAGCCATTTGTGGAAGAACGGTGGCTTTATGCCCGTGTTGGAAGATAGCGGCTTGTTTGTTGGATCCATTAAAGACCTTTGTTACTTGCATTGCTCATTTGTAGTGGAAGAATATCATGCTCATTAACATTTATTTCTGTTGATAATTTTCAGCATCCGCTTAACAGTTTTTATTATTTTATTTCATTCTAGAGGCAAAGGAGACTAAATAGTGGTGAACAGGTGAAATGAACATGGCACGTGTGCATATGAAGTTGTTGAATCTGCACCGGTTTTATTTGGTTGCTTATGTACATTTGATGCATGCACACTCTAACATATGCGTTTGAATCTTTGAGCAGAGCAAAAAGATACTAAAATGGGTGTGTTGTATGTGCGCACGAGAGAGAGAATGAGTGACTTTCAATCAGCTTGCTTTCACTGGCATGAATTCCAGGGTTGTTTCCAAGGTGACTAACTCAAGACTTCTATTCTGAATCAATAATTTCTTGTTATGGTGGTTTGTGTTTCTTGTAAAGTATCTTAAGAGCACCATCTTAATATAGCAGCCATTATATCAAGGCCATATCACGTATATAAAGTGTAAATGTCAGCCGCTATCTGACTATATGCGTACAATTCAGGGACACCTATAGCTATATTTATATCCCTCCTTTTTCCATTCAAGGTAACTTACATAATTCTTCCCCGTCAATCTTATCCTCACAACAACAACCCTGTGAGGTAGGCTGGGCTGAGAGTCTGTGAGTGTCCCAAAATCACCCAATTAGCTCCATGGCTCAGCAGGGACTAGAAACCAGGTCTCCCGAGTTCCAGTGCTGCACTCTTAACCACTAAACCACAGTTAACAAGAAGCCAGGATTAGCTGGAATTTACTGCTTGCTTCTGGCAAACTCAGAGATACAAGGTCTGCAAAGTAGCCTTTAGTTTAAGGATTGGGAACACTGGATGATCTAGGGGCCGTTTTCTACAGTACTGAATGCTACGTCTTCCCGCTGAATTTGATGGCAATTTGGCCATGAGCACAGCTTCATTTCTCCTGCAGACGGAAGCATGCACTCACCTGGTTTTAATGTCAAATTCCATGCTGCAATCACCTGGAAACAAAATGAGGCGTAAAGAGGACAGTAGGGTTCATGCAGGCTGTTGGCCATGTGTTGCCCGACCCCGCATGGACAGGTTGCTTGACTGCGTCCATGGTGATCTGTAAATACACACAGCGCTTCTGATGCATTTTTAGAAAAAGCTACCTTGGTTGTTAAGGATAGGAATCTAAACTCCCTTACTGTGCTGTACTGTAAATAGGATACATACAATTTGCCTTATACTGAGTCTGACCCCTGCTCTGTCTTGCTCTGCATTGACCGCATGACAGGTAGCGATTTTCCAGTAGTTTTTAGACGGGGCTTTTCAGAACTTGACTCAGAGATTCAGGGAATGGAACATATGAGCTGGTCTTTGCCACATCCAAGGAGGGATGTGTAGGATATTTCAGTTTAGATTTACTTCATTGAAGCTCATTAAATTTTCCCAGTATGTAGGCAACTTAGGTATAAGTCATTTGCCAATGGAAATATAATGACTAGATGGTTGATTCCATTCCATTTTCAACACTTTTATGAACAACCACTCTGCCTAAATCCTCAATCTGTACCCTCAATTTTTGAGCTGTGTAATTTGATAAAGAGTTCTATAGAAATCAGAAGCTTGCACTATTTTGTGGAATGTTGGCTGGTTCTAATAGAGATAATGCCTTGCTATGGCCTTTGTTTTCATGGACCCAGCATGGCTATCTTCTTTAATGTTAAGGTTCTGTGTTTTTCCCCTGCGGAATGTGGAACTGCCCACTGGGGGGCACCATTAATATGCTACCAGAATATCTGGATTGGATAGGAAATTTTTCAGAATGAGCATAAATACATCACAAAAACCCATGAAAGCACATGCATACCCAGGTGTAGAATCTGAAAGAGGCAAAAGATTTTATTTAATATCTTTATCTTCTGCTTTTAGAGGACTGATAAGTGAAGGGTGGTTAAAAGTTGGAGTTAATCATCACATGTTCTAAATTACTGTATTCTTTACATGAACACGGAATCCACAATATTTTTGTTAAGCTATATAGTACAAGTCAGAAGGATATACAGGCACTCCATCGCTGCCCATTCTTCTGTGGCCTTTCATGCTGGCAATTTTCTAAACCTAACTACCTCTCTCGCTGGGTTAGTCCCCAGCATGTCATTCTCCAGCTGCTTTGTGCTACAACTCCTATTGTTTGCAACTGGTATGGCCTGTGGCTGATGGGAGTTACACAGCCAGCATAAGGTGCCAGGTGCCAGGTTGGGGAGGATTGGCATAACCTGTGGTTGCCCAAGAATAGCCCTCATGGACCAGCCAGTATAGTTTGCCAAGCGACAGACAAAGCCATAGCCCTTTAGCAGACTGGCATCCTGTGCTTCCTCCAGGGAACTCAGAGCAGCCATCAAGTGCCTTCATAGCTCAGTGGGGATCCGAGCAGGCCCCTTTCCATGTGCGCTCCCAGCTTTCCAGCCGTTACACTTTCCCGATGCAGCTGCATACGCCAGCCTAGCATGGGCATTACCAGGATGAATGCCACAAGGGCAAGCTGGGCAGCAGTTGATTTAACTCTCAATAAACCTTTGATCGGAAACCTAAGAAAAATTAACCCTGACCCTTCAAAATGCATGCTAAAAAGCATTGGCAGGATTGGGCACTGCAGAAGGGAAAGAGCCCATTGGAAAGGCTCCCAACATTTGACACTAAAAGGGAGGCTATGGAAATAAAGGGGTAGTGTGTAAGCAAGAACGGCAACTGTATGCTTGAGACAGAACTTGCGATACTGTAGTGCTCATTATCCTCCACTTAGATTTTCAGAGGGCGGGCCTTAGATAGTCAAAACAGCACCCCCTCGTGCACGAGGAGGAGGTCTCAGCGGGCTTGGAGCCATCCGAGGGGTTGCCGAAGTGCAAAAATATTTAAGAGAAACACTAAGGTGGGAGGCAGCCAAAATATCTGGGGTTTGAGATAGTCTGGAAAAGGCATATGGCTGGCTCACTAGAACCATGAACCATGTTCCTCGCCACAAATTTTCTTCTTGCAAACCCCGTTTGTTAATCCAGTTCCAGCTGATGTAATGTTAAGAAACGATAGAATAATCCCCTGCATATTGGAACATCTGATAGATTAATTTCAAAACTTACCCCACATGTCATGCTTGTTCAAGTAATTCAGAAACCTCTTTCATGCCTTTGGATGAAATAATTTGACTTACCATTATTTAATGCATTTTGCATCTCACTGGCCTTACAGCTTTACAGCATGGAAGGAGGTGGAGGCCAAGGTGATAACCCTCATTACCGCACTAAAAGGTTTTCACATGTTAAAGCAAGGGTGCAGAACCTCTTTCAGTCCATGACCAAATTCCATTTTGGAGAAGCCTGGTGGTGAGCAGAGGAGAAAGGACAGGAGCACAAGACCAAAAATGCCAACATGTTTTAGCTTTAGTCTCTTATCTGCTAGTTGCTAAGCCTCAGGAAAGGGATTTTAACCTGGAAGAATGGTGGGGAGGGGGAAGCTACACCAAAGCCAGGAAGCCACCAAATGATGGATAGTTAGAGGAAACGGGATGAGTCCAGAGAAAATGAGCATGGAATCTGTGGACTCCCAGAAGGCCAGATGGACCACCAGAAGGCTGAATTTTGGCCCTGGGCCTGACGTTCTGAACCCCTGCTGTACTGGAACTCTGGAGGCAGTGCTGGCAAGTTGGAAGGCTCCTAGGCCTGTGTTTCTGTTTCCTTCATTGGACTCGTAAAGCTCCATTGTCAAATAATATTGGCTGCAAAATCTGGAATTGCCACATACTTTTTTAAGAGCTTAGAATATTTTTTCTTGAGACACAGGTTGGAGACCAATGCAAATTTTCCATAACTTCATAGCATATTTCAACAGCTGAAGGCATATTTTCTTATTATTTTCATACATATATCATTATACTCGTTTCCTACTTGTGCTCATTTTACTGATTGTTTTGTGCTTCTGTTTTGTAGTTCTTCTATGGGGGCCATTCCACATCCAGCAGCATGCATTCGTCCAGGTCCATGGTAATCCATCATTCAGAAATTTAATTCTTTTTTTCTTCCTTTTGTCAGGGACAGACATGTAACTAAGTTCTATTCACTTCATCTCTCATATATTAAAGAACCTCTCATTTTGAATTGCATCTTACAGTGTAAAAGTACTTCTGGACAGATAACACCTGCTGTTACCAAGCAAAAATGTTGCCCTGATTCATGATGCAACAACCCACCATAAGGCAGCAAACCATAGTGGGTTGTTGTGTCCTGCAATCCCAAGCCATGTTTCAGAGTGGCTTACGTTTTGCCAGCAAAAAGTAAGAATCCATGGTCTGTAGCAGGGTATATTTCACCCATGGTGGTTAGCATGCTGTCTGAAACCCAGAGACTGTCCAGATCCAGCCTACTCTTACCACCATGGGTTGTAGGCAAATGGGAAGCAAGCCACTCAGCAAAAGCAGCAGAAGATCCCTTGCATCCATTGCTGAGCTTGTCTGGGCCACAGCCAGTGCCATCCTCTCCACTGTTACCAAAGAGCCATCATGGGGTGACCTTTACTGGCTTGCTTCCCCCTCCACCCAAAATTGAACCATTTCAACTTGCTGTTCTCCATTCCCCCATGTAAATGCAGCTCATTCCATAACATAAACTTCTCAGGTAGGATACATTTATAAGAAAAGCCTGAGGGTCCCTTCTGAAAGGTCGAAGGAATTGACCGGCATCATGCGCTGAAGCTTAAACATGCATGGTAAGCTGGAACCACACCATCTTCCTCAAGCCACAGGTCTCTTCCATGCTTCAAAGCATTTAGGAGAAACATATGACACAGGTTTTAAGATTTTTATCTGAAGTCCTGAGGACTAGAAACCTAGCTTTTTAGAAAGGAAGTATGTTGGCTTTCTGTGTAGCGTATTGAAGCCTATGCAAATATATCCTGTGTTTCACATATTTTGACTGTAACTATCTCATTCTTGTTAAATAGCTGCTTGAAAGAACTGTGCTGCTATCAGGACCTGTAATTCATTTGCAGTGATGCATTAGTGGAAGACAGTTCTGCGCAGGAGCCCCTTATGTTGACATCATGAAGCTCACAGCCAACGGAACAGCACAGTAGAGATACACTAATTGCCTCAGCATTGGCACTTCCACTGAACCGTGCTGTGATTAAATGTCAGTTCTGCTGAATGGAACGCAGTCAGATTCATTCAGCATCCCAGAGCTTTTGCAATGCAAATGAACACAGTATTAATATTGCAAAGGGAAAACTCCTTTCCCCTTTTTAAACTTGCACTCAGTGTAACTGAAAATAGAGCAGTAATTCGGCTTTAAAAGCATTTTACAGTTTATGTTTTAAAAAAGTCTGTTTGAGATTGTGCACAGGATGTTGGTAGATTTTAATTGGCTGGCTTTTGAGGAGTACTCAGAAACACAACCACTGCACTAGTCCAAACTAATCTCACTAAATGTACTGGTTGCAGGTAGAAGGGCAGAATACATTCCACACAGGACCCCCTCATGTGCACTTCAGGAAGCTCACAGCGATGAACTTTGATAGATGACTGAACTATCCCAAGTTGAGCAGTCTTCCTGGAGCAGTTTGGTGGCGTGGTGTGCAGTTTGGCCTAACTTAGTGCTCCTGACTCCTGAGTGCTACTAAATAACACCCTTTGGCTTTTAGGAGGATGCCAAAGCCTTCTAGGAGGTGCAGATTTTAGCCTGACATACAGTGCATTTGAGAGCTTTGCGACCATGGTCACCCACATTTGTACATAGGGTGCTTTTTAATACAAGGAAACATAACCTCTTCTGTATCCATTAATAGCCATAAAAGAAGCCATTTCAGCAGATGCAGTTTGTTCTATTGAAATGTTTGCAGGGGCTGTATCCAGTTTTAATCTTACTTTGTCCTGTAAGGATAAAAGATACTCTAGGCAACTATACCATGACCACATGCAGAGTAGACGTACCAAAAAATCATTCAGCAAAAATCTGAGAAAAGGCTGTACCAATTATATGAATAAAAATACATTCCCTGACTTTCCTGCACTGAAGGAGATCTGAACGGGGATTCTACTTGTATTTGCTTCAACACACACACACACAACTCAAAAAAACCTGAATGATGCTCCTGTTCTTGCAGAAAGTCAGCAACCCCAATGAAGCAGTTTTCCTGTCTGCTAGAGACAGTAGAAGTTCTACAGTAGAACACTCAGGAACCTAATAAATATGCTACTATGCAAAATCAAAAAGCCATACTGTAGAGAAGCACTGAAACATTGGCCTCTTGCTCTGTTTCCACAGTCCTGCAATTGCGTTAGTGCAGCAGGCTGTGCCCTCCACCCCCCCCCCCGCACCCAGTTCCCTAGCAATGAATAAGCTGAGCAGTGGCTCATGCAGCAGAGCAATTTTTATCGTTCATTGATTTTTCAGAGCTTGTGTTTGCTCTTAGATATGAAGTGGCTGCAGATCATTTTAAATAACTACTGAATACCGTGGATCGTTACCAATGTAACCATAAGTTAGGCTGCATCTGACAATCTATTTAGATGAATCCATGGGGTTAAATATCAAGAGGTGGGCATTCAGATGGACTGGAAATTACTGCTGCTGCCATTGTGAAAATGGATTTTGAGCCCCTGACCCATAAAAATGACATTTTCACTCATCCCATGATAACAATTGCTTCAAATTTTTAAGCTGAGCATCATGTGAATTTATATAGGATACTTTTAGAGATTACTGTTTTGAAGTTGATTCAAACTGTTTTGAAAAAGCTTCATTTTGTTCATATTTTCTCATTATAATTGTGTTTTCGGTTGCTGGTTCATTTTCAAATGGAAACAGAAAAAAGGGCAAACGTAGGAATAATAGACATTGGGTACCATGGATAGTCTATAATTCCCAGTCATTCAAGAAAATGGTAGAGCACGCTGCATCTGTACTAACATGGCATAACCAACAAACATTTGGAAGAAATCCCTGACACACTTTTTTAAAAGGGAAGCAACTTTGGGAAGGGGAAATAGAACTTGGTTCAGAGAACTTAGGAACTGGAGTGCTTAACCCTTTCGGCAACGTCTTCAGCACAAATGGCCTCTTCCACATGTAGCAGCTTCCCTTGTAAGAAACAGAATAGAGGTTAACATTGCTGAGCTTTTGCATGCAATTTCTCTTTTCTACAGAGATGTAGCAGCCCATCTTCTCCTACCAGTACATCATCCCTCACAGGCTCTGTTGGACATGGGATCAGCTGGGGTGATCGACAAGGGCAGTGGCTTCGCAGGAGGCGTCTCGATGGTGCCATTAACCGAGTCCCAGTGGGTTTTTATCCAAAAGTGTGGAAGATCCTTCAGAAGGTAAATTGGAAGACAGATGGAGCTGGCTCTTCAAGTGTACTATGGATGCTTCTAAGCAATGCACCAAACATGAATTTTTCTGGATGGTGCTTGCAACCCTACTGCATTTTCCCACAGCTGCTGCTTTTTAGTTACCACGGATATTCCACTAAAGGTCCTATTCATGTCTAGAGAGGAAGGAAAGGACTACAGCTCCCAGGATGGTGGTCTGGGCACTCTGGGAACTGTAGGCCTTTTTTCAGTCTAAACTGGCATGGGTGCAGCACTACGCATTGGCATAAATAAGTCCCACAGTTCCCACCATTCCCAAAAGAGCATCTTGTGGAACTTACTGCTGTACAAATGTGCATACTACTGGATTTTCTGTTCTACAGATGCTGTTTGCAAATAAATAATTTTGGAAGCATTTAAGGAGACAGGGCCCTGAAACAGCACATGGCAATTCAGAGTTCATCATGGTTGAAGACCCATGGGAATGTAGCATTGTGGAAGACTGATGGACGCTTCATATACTGTGTTTTTGCTGTGCATTTGGCCCCATTTCTGGAAAGCAAACTTTTTCCCTAGGAATGAAAATATGATCCACCAAATGAAATGACACTCATTCTGTGCCTGGCAAATTGTTCAAGCTGAATTTTATACCAATTACCTTGTATATTTAATAGAATTAGCTATATTTACTCATTTGCATTCTGCTTAGAATTGCTCTGTAAATAGCAGGATAGTAGGTTTGGTAGTTTCTTTGGGTAGTTTTGCTCTCTAGATGCCCTGGCATTAGATACACTCCTGACTCTTTACAAAAAGTCCATTTTTTAAACCAGTGTTTGATGAAAACTTGGTAGGGATGTCAAGAAGTAGATAAATTGTGTTTTTGAGGGGCTGGCTTTCTCTGACGTACAAAACGCTTCATCCAGAGAATTCAATATGTATAGATAAGTCACTGCCTTGGAAGAAGAACAATGGTCACATTTTTTAATTCATGCAAATGCTTCTGACCTGCTACTTTTTGATCACATTCTTCTATATTTTTTCAGATTCATAACTAATTTGCCAGTTATTTTTCTCTGTATCTTACATAAACGTTTCTATATTCCTAATTGATGTGTTCTGGGGAATTGCATGACCAATCTATTACATCACTTAATTTTCTTCTAGCATGTAAACATTTTCTTCAGCAGATGTGCTTGAATACTTTTGCACTTTTTCTTTTAAACCTGCCATTGTTAATAAAACATTTCCAGAAAGAATTTAAACCAACCATCCAACTCATCCTTCATTTCCTTAAAGTTTCATTCACTTAATTAGTTGATTTATTGTATTTTTAATATTATAACCTTCACGTTACAGTGTCATGGGCTTTCCATTGATGGCTATGTCCTTCCATCTTCAACGACTAGAGAGGTAAGATTGGAAGAAACGGCTTAGTTTTACTATATGGCCTTGATGTACAGAGAATTAATTCCTTAATATGTAGCTGGGTTAAATCTTAAATATGCAGCCTCAGAGCTAGTGATCTGTCCAGGAGTTCTGTTTCTGGAATCCTGTCTGTAAGCACTTCATTCCTCTGTTATAGGAAAAGTCATGCTAGATCTGACAAAAGGTCTCTGCGGTTCAGCATTTTGTTCAGAGTCAAGAACCAGTTGTCTCTAGGAAGCCCACAAGTAGGATATGAGTACAATAGTATCTTTCCAGTAACTGGTATTCAGAGTGACTGGTAGCCATTAATAGCCTCATCCTCCATAATGCATTTAATGTTCCGTATTTCTTCATGTATTTAGGATTGACACAGCAGACCATACATTGTAGGTCCAGGCATGGTTCAACTCTTTTCAGATATTAACCATTGGAAATGTTGCTGTCTAGGTGGCAGAGAATGAGAAAGAGATACACTGAAAAGAAATACAGGGAAACATCTATGTAATCTAGTTTCACTCAACATGAATTTTCTTTACTAAGTTTAGCGGGGGAATGGACTGCAGGCAAAATAAATAAGATAGTTCCATTTTATTTGGTCTAATTTTAGCATCTGAAGTAAAATTTATGCTTTTGGAATTCATAACACTCTTCATTAGGTTGGCAATAATAAGAGGCTCTGAATAAAAGATTATGAAACCTTACAATCCAACCATATGCACATTCACTTAAAAATTCTTACTTCCACATAAGTATGCATAGGTTTGCAGATTTAGCTTACAAGCAGTGTCCCAGTATATGTTGTTGACATGCTCGGTAATTGCAGATCCTTGCAAGCTGTATGGCATTTTTGTTTACCTTGCAAGCTGAAAACGCTTGTGTTCTGGTTCACTAACAATTACCCACTGATTTAAAACCTTGCATTGCCTACTTTGGCTTCTGAAGTTTTTTATCTACCATCTATAATATAACCAATGGTTTGAATTCAGAAGACATTATGAAGGATCACTGTGGCAAATGTTTATCTTTCAAATCTTCATTTAATTTATAATGTGGTAAGAAAAGTGCCCTTTCCACACAGTAGTTACAGGCTTTCTGACATGCAGCTGTGTGTTATATTTAAACCCTGGGCTGTGTTACGGGCAATGGTTCCGTTTTTATGGCATGCTATCAAATAGTCCTGTGCCATTGATTCCATTTGTATGCTATTTCTTGAGTAGAATGAATTGGGTCGGGGGGGGGGGGGGCTATTATTAGCAATAGGCACTGGGTGAGTTAACAGCTCTGCCTTTGCCAAGTGTTCATAATTACAGCTTAATGGGGCATTCTAATTTTAGAGGCAAGATTTATTTTTTCAGCTTTTGTCACTTGAAAAAATGGAAATGCAGTTGTTGTCTTCTAGAGCCTTAGAACCAGGTGGCCATTTAGCAGCAACAGTGAGGGGGTGTTAGTGGAAACGAGGCAGCAAAAAGCATTCTCCAGTGGTTAGGGCAGTTGTTATTTTGGGGATTCGCGTCCCCCTCTTGCATTCAGGGTGGAGACACCAAGGAAAGTATCTTCCAGGAATCTCAGAGCAGCCAGCCCAGTAAGCAGAGATCAGAGTTCTGGTATGCTCACATCTGAGATCTCCCACTGGTGAGAAGAGATACAAGATGGAATTAAAAGTATACAGTAAGGAGATCTGTCTACAATACTTTTTGCATCTGCTGAAAATGCAAAAGCCAGGATTCCTACCTGAGCCAGTTTCCACCCTACTAATTATGGGAAGAACTGGGCAGTCATGAACTCTCCCCCTAATCAAAGAATAGTTGTTGGGAGGGGAGGCCTATTCCGAGGATGCTCAGCTCCCCACCAGGGTGCAAATCAGTCTTCTCAGAAACGGCAGCTCTCTGAGGCCTGCCAATTCTTGGGTACCAATTTATCTTTCAGTATCATTTATTCAGCATAAATAAATTATAAATTCCAGCCTGTGGCTCTCCAACCACCACACAATGTTCAAAATAGGTTATATCTCCTTTCTTCTTCAGGGTACCAGCCAAGAGAAAACATGCGCTCTGGCGTCTGTTCTGTCTTTTTATAATGTAATTTGTGTGGAGATGATATATTATTTTCATGATTAGAGAAGTTTAGAAGAACTAGAATCTTTTTAACTGGCCTGTCAGAACTCAGCGATATCCAATTTCATTGCATAATAGGAATCAAATTTAATAAGCCCGAGATCTCCTGAGACTAAATGACACCATGTGACATCTGAGCAATTTTGCCAGCACAGATTAGGTTGCTTGCCTTTCCTTCACGAGAGTCCTTTGGGAACAAAGAATCTCCCACATCTTTGCAACAAGCGGTCATCTAATTGTCTTCAAGGACAACTCTGGGAAGCTTTGCTTCGAGTGTTCCTCTGACTCTCTCTGTAAACGTAAGGCCCACGAACTAAATGTAGACCTCTTCATAAGTATTCATAATACTCTACTGAAATTCCACACCCTGATTGCCTCATATACTTCCCCCTGTTTTTTATATTATACCAGCGGTCTATAAAGCTGCCAGAGTGGAAGCCTTCCCTTTCTACAAGGGTAGACCATTTTTTGGAATTGTAGGTGTATTTGGCAATTTGAGGAACTGTCCATGGTGCCACAACAAAACGGCATCCATGCCCCCCCCCCAAAAAAAAACTGGGTAAAGGCAGAGGTGGGCCCTGAGTGCCAACATGCTAAGGAGCTCCTTTGAGTCCAGTTTTCAGCACCACAGAAACTTATTTCTGTTGCAGTTCCAACTGCTAAGAAAACATTTTTTTCCAAAAAGAGGGAAGCCACATTGGTGGACACCAAGAAAGGTATCCAGGGGCATGTTGCTGCCCCAACACCACAGTGTTGCCTACACCTGCCTCTCATGTAAGACTTGGAGTTCAGGAAAGATCTGTGTTGCAATTAGTCAAACACTGCAAGCATAACATGGGAGGCAGCTAAAGGTTCAGGACTGCAAGTGTGTATGGATGCTAACAGCTGGAAAAGATCCATAGACAGAACTCTGGAGGTATCTTAAATTGCTTTCTGCATTTGGAGTGTGGTTTTGGGGATCTGTGGGAAACCTGCTGGCATGCTTGGACACTAGGACACAATCAAGAATGTATACAATTCTAGAAGAAACTGGTGAATCTGAAAGTAATTGAACTGTTCTGTCTGGAAAATAAGCAACCTCTGCAGTGTGATGTATTGGCTAGAGCATTGGCCTGGGACTCAGAAGACCCAGGTTCTAGTCCCCACCCTTAAATGCAATTTGCTTGGGTGGGCTTAGGCCAGACTTAGCCGAACCTACCTCAAAGGGCCATTTCAGAGATAACATGGAGAGAGGCAGCAAATCATGTCCAATATCTAGAGCCTCTTGGGGGAAAGATGGGATATAACAAATTGTTATCAATAATTGATAATTAAATTATGCTGGTGATAGTCACATTTTCAGCATTGTAGCTGTCCATTTAAAAATGTAGCTGTCCATTTGATCTAGTGTCAGAGGTTTCACTGCCTTCATGCATGTAAAGGGTTGATACGCTCAGTTTGGATGATCCCATGCTTATCCATATTGTTTCCCCTTGCTGCACTAACCACACTATACTCTTGCAGATGACTGCTTGTGAAATCAAGTTTGCTGTCCACGTAGAGTCAGTGCTGAACCACGTTCCCCAGCCTGAATACAGACAGCTGCTGGTAGAAGCTATGCTGGTACTTACACTGCTGTCAGAAATCGAGGTGAACAGCATTGGGGGCATCATTCATGTGGATCGGATAGTGCACATTGCAAATGACCTCTTCCTTCAGGAACAGGTAGGCATGTTGAAGTGTCTTCTGTTGCCTAAGTGAGCCACCTGGCAGTGTTGGGTTTGGAGGGCCCTTGGGCAAGATAACATCAAGGGACATACACCTTCCCCCCAAGTAGCCATACTGCTTCACATTTCGTCCTCCCATCCTTTTGGGCCCAATCCACACTCCCTCTCAGAGGGAGAGGGCAAATGAGCAGGGGCTACTGTTCCTTTCCTGTCCCTGCTTGCTCACTTGAACAATAGCAGACAGGAGGAGAGTTGAGGGTCTTGGGCAGAAAGCCCCCTGCTAGAGTGATGTTCTTGGCAGATACCTGGCAGTGCCAACCTATAATGTTGACTCTTCCTCCGGACTCTGTAGTTGTCTCCATGAACACTAAGTCGCTTCAGTCAGTAGCAGCACTTGGGCAAAACCATCCTGATTTCTGAGTGCACACTGGCCTATTTTGCTAGGTATGACTAGGTCGAGACTTCCCAGAGCATGCATGGACAGAGAAACAGGCAAGAAGGACCTACAGTGTTGAATAGTCCATGAAGTACCTATTTCCTGTTCTCACTGTATGCCTCTACGGGCAGGCGTCTGCCACAATGGCACTTACCTACTGCTTTGAAAATGAGTCAGAATCTTCTGCATCAATTGCCCACTACCACTTATATTGTGCACATTCTGGCTACTGCATCCATGCCAGAACTGGCTGATGGAACTGTGCACTGCCTTGTATCAGCACCCAGGCCTGTGGGACAGAATGCTGCACCAGTTCCAAGAGGTAGTGAACACCTGAAGGCACGATCAAAGACAAGGCCAAGGAAGGCAAGTGGTAGTCCAAAGCAGAGCAGCCCACAGGGGTGAGCCAAGGCAAGTCAAGTAGAAAAGCAAGCAAGAATGTGCTCCTCAGCAGAGAGAGAGGATCAATTCAAATGAAAAATGTGTGCAAAGTATCAACCTGGGTAAGCAAGTGGCTGTTTGACTAGACAGCCGTTGAGCTGAAGTCAGTTGCCCCTGCTTTGGGCTGCTGTCTAGTCAGTGTTTGGGAGCTTGTGTGTTGCAGAATGAAAAACACTCTGCCTCCACCACTATCTCTTGAATGTAAGTGTGGGGACCCTGGTACATCGGTTGCAGTCAAGCAACCTGCCTCACAATTGCAGTGATGCTAATCCTCTGTTGAGCCAGAAGGGAGGTTTTTCTAATGTGTAGCACCTGTTTCCAGACTGAGTACCAGCAGAGTCTGGGTGCAGATTTTGTGAAGCAGTGCTTTGGGTTGTTTGTTCATACTGTCCTTGTACTACCGTATAATTCTGAAATCATCCTCTCCTAACTGACCCCCTCCCTTCCCATTTTTCTCCCAGAAATCCCTTGGAGCAACTGATGGCTTCCTGGAACAAGACTTGGGCACGGGTATTTGCTATTTTTTCTATGACAGTGCCCCAAGTGGTGCTTATGGAACGATGACTTATCTAACAAAAGCGGTAGCGAGTTACTTGCAGGAATTTCTTCCAAGCACAGGCTGCCTCATGCAATAAACTCTCTAAAGTACATAAATCCATTAAACACAATCTGCCTCCCTTCCCTCACCTTCTCTGTGTCACCCCTCACGCTACCTCAACATCATTTCATTGTTGGCCGCCCTCAAGGCATTACTGTGCACAGTGCTCCTACTGGATGTGCTCAGAGCCACATTCATGAGATTAACCATTCTTTAATTAGTGCAAAACAAAGAGAGAGCAGACAACACTTTGGGAAATTTTACAATACAACTCTCTAGTGCAAGCAAGCTATATATCCTGTTTGGGTTTCAGACCATTATTTTAAAGTAAGCCTAGTAGTTGTTTTTGGGTGAGAACATAACTTTTTTAATATACAGTATATAATTATCCTCTTATGTCAGTAGAAGAGAAACTTTGGTAAAGCCAGCTTGAGCTACTACATTTTAAATCAGAAACCTTTCATTAAGAAGATTCCTTCTTGGGAACAAGATTAAAATGATAATTTCATTTGAAATTCTGAAGCAGTAAAATTCAAATGGCACACAGTGAAAAGGAGTCCATCTAGATAGGAAATCCCTACGCAGAAGGACATCTGTCACCGTGAACTTGAGTGGAACAGCTCACCATATCTATGCCATTATTATTTTTTTCACTATATACACACATAGGGTATATCTGCTGGAAAGGTGTGGCCAAAGTGATGGGTGTACATGTTACTCCACTCCAGTAAAGCAGTCAACTGCTTGGTTTATTTAGAACCACTGAGATGAATTAATGAGGGTCATAAACGTTCCAACTCAACTACCTTCTTTGCCTCTTTTAACTCAGAGTTCTGCCTGGCTCTTATATAAAGGGTCAGAACATACAGTAGAGGCAGAACTTAAAGCAGACCAAAATCAGTGCAAAATTAAAGCAAGCTGTAATACGTATTATGCACTTGGTGAAAACTAAAGACATGCTTTTTTCATGATGATGTCTACACTGTATCAATAGAGATGTGTGAAAAATAGTCCCAAAATTGGGTTTTCAGATCTCTTCAGGAAAGACTTTAAACAGATTGAGCACTTTTTCTTATATATTAGAATTGGTTCAAACATTCACATAGGAGCATATCATACAGTTCTAGAGTTGTACCATTTTGGAAAGTAGAATGGGAAACTGAAGGTTCACCAGCCTATTGTACAAATTCTGTGTCTGTTGAAAGCTAGAATATTGGTTATCAGAACCTAACAAAGTGGAACAGGAGTTTGTAGTTGCATGTCTTCTTGCTAGTTTTCACTTAGTCTTCTGCTCCTGTAAGTGCACAGGACATTAACCCCATCTCATTGTTCCTAATCTGAAGTGACTTTTCAGAATAGTGCTCCTGGCTAATGTACCCACAGGAGCATGTTAAAATAACTGTTCTGATTTTGTTTCAACAGCAGTTCCTGAATAAAGTCACCACTTGCGCTTTAAGCCATAACTCAGAGCATTCAGTGGAAATACCACTTGAAGGGAGATAGTAAGCAATTCTGAAATTCACATTGAAGTATTTTCTGGTTTTGTGCAGAAGTTGATGCTACTGCCTTTAGATAGGACTTCCTTGAGTAAATTATTACCTTGAGTTCAAATCCGCACACTTCAGAACAAATATGCTGAGGATCAAAGTGGCGAGACACAGCTTTTCACATGCAACTTTTCACCTATAGCTTATAGTTCATATATAAAACTGCATCTGATGTTATGATGCGATAATCTGGAAATAAAATGGACCAAACAAACAGATCCTGCATGCCCAGTAATCAAAAGGTCTTTGGAAAGGATTTCAGCATCCTAGAGTTTGATTTCTCAGAGAGCCCTATGGGCTATAGGGCAGCATAGGAATGTAATAATAATTTCAAGTAATCAACACAGTTTATATAAAATTACACTGCCAAGCCTTACCTTTCCAGTTTTTGTTATTCACTTGAACTTTTCACCAAGTAAGTGTCATGAACAAAGCATACCCAAGTGTCATTTTTCTCCCGCTGAGTTGTGTGCTTCTCTGCCTTTATCGTGCTCCCAAATGTTGCTTGGGAGGCAGGCATCAGCCACAGGCTTACCCAGACCAGCCCCCGAAGGACTGGGCACATCCCCATTCCTTGCCTCCTAACCTTTGTTCTGATTCCTCACACTTGGGTGGGCCTTCCAGGAGCCAGTCTTGCAAGTCCCAAGCAAGCTGCCTCCTGTGGTACTTATGTCCTAAGTGGAACATGAACAAGGAAGGGCTGCATTTGACTTGGCCAGCAAGTGTAGGAGCCACTCCTACCAAGCTCTTCATTTGTATGGAGAAGCAAGGGAGAAAGCATCAGGGATGTCATGGAATGGGCAAGCTAGTCCAAAAGAGGTCTCTCTGTCCCCTGCCGCCTACAAAGGCAACCATCCTGAGAAGGCCGACGTGTTACAAGGCAAAGATTTCCTAAATCATCTCCAGCATTTGTATGCATAAAGTGAGACACAAACACAAAGCACCACTTCTTTCCTCTGCACGAGGAAATACATTGTACAGTGTTAACTTGCAAAGCAAAAAATATGGCTAGAGGCCAAGGAACTTAATTTTCCAACATCTCAGATATCCAAAATGAATACATGACTCTTCAAAGTATTTGAAGCAGTCAAGTCTTCCACTTTCCGGATAGCAGGGATCTATCCATAACAAAGTTTATTTTAAAATGCTGCTACCTCAGGTATTCCACTGTTATTAAATTGTTTTTTTAGTCTAGTTTGGGCAACTGCTATCTCAGATTGCCAGCCTCCTGCACAGACTGAAAAATAAATGGAAGTATTTCACACTGAATGACTTGTTCATGGAACATAACTAAAAGACATGCAGGCACATTAAGCATCTTGGAAACAGAAGCTATTAGAATGAAAATGGAGCCAATCAAAATGTGTTGGTTCACTCTGTCAGGCAAAATGGCTGTGGTTGCTAGGAATGAACTGCCTACGCTACTATGACATGCCAGACATGACTGGAAAAAGAAAACCGGCTTGGTAATAAAATCTTTCCAGAAAACGCTGAATACCAAGAACTATCGATCATCTCATCTTTCTCAAACAAGCCATGGAATTATGCCCCAAATGTTTTTGTGATAATGGATACAAGGAGCATTGGCAGAGGTTCACATTATTTTATTTACATTCTAGGAAACATTCAAAAAGCTTTTAAATTGGATTAAATTTGGAATGAATGGTTGGAATGAAAAAATAATGAAGCAGATCGTTCTCTATCATGTTACAAAGTGGTTTTACAATTAATTTCCAATTTCAGAAATGCTTGCCCCCCCCCCCCGTGTGTGTGGTTGGCATGCGTACGAGTGTTGCTACAACTTGAGCAATCCACGCACATTTATGTGCACAGCTTAGTTAAAATCCAACACTTGGAGCTACAGGATTGATTCAATACTTAGTTGGAGTTTCCTTGTGCATTGAAAACTGCCTTCTTGTCATCTCTTAATGGCATTTTCTCCAAGCACTTCCACTTTTCTTGGCTTTAGATTTCTTGTTAGAGAAAGGGTTCAATTTACAGGTAAAGATGCATGGACATTCAATTGTGTAGCCAGCTAGAGCAACTAAAGCTCAAGTGGTACATAAATGTCCACCGTTTATTTATGTTGATTGTGCATTACTTTATTCCCAGGCAGATACACAAAATGGAAGGCCAAACAAACATAACGTGATCCAGAACACTACTTGTGGCTTGCAGGCAACCTTTATTCGTGTTTAGATCAAATATTATTAACTTTCTAGGCTCTATGGTTTGCACTGAAGTATCTGCACAAGGGGGCTAATTTCCAAAATAATTTTTGTATTCCAATTGCTGTACTTTAAAATCGGGGCATTAGTGATCTTTAAGATACTGCAGGAGGAGTACATTCCACTGTCTTATCACATAAACTTCTCCATCCTAACTCTTCTTCAATTGTTCTTCACACTTGCTTTTGAATTTTTGGGGATTACTTGTAGACTTCCTAGCTTCCCCTGAAAGAAATATTAAGCCTGTAAAGATTTTAGCAATTTTACTTTGGTACGAACTGTCCCTTATTATATTCCTGTGGATGGACTCTTTATAACTACGCTATTTTGCTAGCATGTCGGTACTATAAATGATTACAATATGGAACCAGTTGTAAGAACAGAAAATGCATGCCACATACATTTGTAGCTAGTGATACCTTGTCCACTAGCACGCAACAGTCATAATAAGCCTGGCATGCACTGAATTTGTACACAGTATTGAATCTACATCATAAACATTCACATGTGAAGCATTATTTTTGACATTTGCTTTAAATAAAGGTTTGAATTCTACACTGTATTTGTCACTACTTTTTACTGTTCACCCTCTGCACATTTTATTGGTTATGGATTGGAATGTAAGTCTTGTAAATAAAATAAATACCTGAAAAGTTGGAATAAACATTTGGGAATGGATTACTGTTTCTACAAACAACAAACAGCATCGTAACAAGCAAGAGTTTTAATTGTGGCTTACGGGTTTTTTTGTTACAAGCTTCTCATGATTAATTTAAAAAGCATATTCCTAGTAGTGTTGTTCTTTAAGATGTTCCTGATTTGAGTTACCAGTGATCTATAAATGTTGGACTATTATGTCTTGTCAGCATATGTTTACAGCAGAGATGGACAAACTTCAGGTTTGGATTACTTACACGTTTTTTTTTACGAGAACCTTCAAAAATCAGGAATTAAGTGCCTGATGTCAGGAAGATCTCCTAGCTAGACTCATTTTGGCAGAAGCCCCTCCACTCCTGCCCCTGGTATATCTGGGAGGGGTTCCCACCATCTTCCTCAGTTCTCTTCCACAGTCAAGGTGGAACTCATCTTCTATCCCAGTGTGCCAGCAAACCTGGATATGGCACTGTAACCATCTACACAGAGATCATATGCAGCGAAAACTTTCCAGGAGGAGGCCTTTGATCTTCACTGGACAATTATTTACCAAATTCTTGAGGGGTGGGGCTCTCACTCAACTGATTGTTTAGTATAGGTGAATTGACAGATGACCATTTGAAGGAGGAAGTCACAGATAAGCAATCTGACTTGAGGAACTCAAGGGGATTGAAGAAATCTTCTATGAGAAAATGTTGCCACATTTGGGACTTTTAAACTCAGATAAAAGGCAAGTGGGAGGACATGATAGATGTATATTGAATTATGTGTAACACACAACAAATAGGAAGATACTTTGTTTTCCTCATACCAGAACCAGAGATCATCTCATGAAGCTGACTGGTAGAAGTTTCAGGACATACAAAATGAAGTACTTCACACGGCACAACTTAATTTATAGAATTTCCTACCACAAGCTGGCAATCAGTTTGGATGGCTTTAAGTGAAGATGAGACAAATTAAGGCCATCAAGACAAATAAGGCTATCAATGACTCCTAGGCAGGATGGCTATCTCTTGCCTCCAAGAGCAGAAGCAGTATTACTCCCAAAGGAGTTGTTGGGGAATGCAAGCAGGCAGCTGCGCTCCGAACGCTCATCCCGCTGTTGAGTTTCCCACAAGCATCTAGCTGGGCACAGTGTGAACAGATTGCTATTCCAAATAGGCCTTTGGTGTGATTTAGCAGGGCTCTATTTTATCTCCTTATCCAAAAAAAAGAAGACCGCAATTGCACATATTTCATACCTCATGCACCTGGGGCTTTCAATCTTTCATCTGGCACTCTAACTAAATTTGCCCCAGGTATTCTGTATAATACAGGAAACACGCCTGGTGCTAACGTTACATATGTTCTGGTGCCAGGTTAAGACATTTTCTTGCCATTTTAATTGTTGACTGATTTTATTGGTTTTAAACTGTTTGGTACAGGTGGAATGATTATTATGTTATTATGCATTGTCTTGTTATTGTTTTATCATGGCCTGTTAAATTTTATTGTTATGTTGTTGTTTTATGACAGGCAAAGTTGTTTTTAGATTGTTATTTATTTTGAAGTATATTCGGTAAACCATTGTGAGAGTTCATCTAATTGAATGGTATACAGAATAAAATAGATAATGCATAAATAAATAACAATTTGTTTGCTGTTTCTCAATGACCGCAGCTTCTAAGAGAAGAAGTAAAGCTGTTTGACTCACAAGGATGTATCCTGGTGCAGAGAAAATTCCTGTACAACTGGTGGTGCAGGGGGACACTTTTACACAAATATATATATATATACAAAGAGAGAGTGCCTAATGTGCTCCACTGAAGATACACACTAGTAAGACACTATTTACATTTGATAGTCTAACATGGTTGTTTTCTTTGACACGTGCATAGGGAAAACATTGTGTCCAATGAGAAAACCCTGAGATGCTCAATTTGGCACTGCTACAGTTGCTGAAAAGAGTTGTAAGGTGTTTTTTTTTTTTACCTTATCATCCCATCAGCCCGTATGTCTTTCATTGTCAACATTCTGGCATAGCATGGTCTTCACATACAATAAAGCACTGCTTCTCCAGCATCTCTGTCATCCAGGAATGCTGTTCCTTCTAATCGACGTTAAGGTAGCAAACATTTAATTAGGGAATTCAGCATCAAAATGTGACAGCAGGAAAAAAAATCCTTGCCAGGAATCCGGCTTCTTTAGTCACTGTGCCTATTCTCAAATTTATGGACCACATGAAAAGCTTCCAGAAATTCATTGAAGTCAATGCTACCGTCTTTGTTGAAATCAATGTTACGAGCCAAGTTGTCAATGGATTCATCATCCGTGTCAATTCTCAGGTGCAGGTTAAAGAGCTTCCATGTTTGGCGGAATTCATCAATAGAGATAAGACCTAAACAAAAGGGAAAACTGTGTCTCCCAGTGGCACGTACATGGATATTTTACTTCGGTGAACTAGCTATGGAACTTAAGAAATTCAAGAAGCCTCCGGACTAGAATTTGGGGTAGGGAGGCATCTTGCAACAGACACTGGCAGTCACTTTCAGGAGGAGGAAACCCCGTCCCCTTCAAGTAACCATGCTTGGTCTTGAATGGGCAGTGAAGAGCCAATGGCTTTACAAAAGAGCAGATCCCACTGGAGAGGAGAACTGTCTGATGTTATGGACCAACAGAAACATTATTTTACTCTCTCTGGGATGTGGCTACGGGGACTGTTACGACTCTCCAGCATTCATCACCACGCCACTAGCAAAGATTCAAACATTCTTGCAGCTAAAAAGATGGATCTATATAGCAAAGGCCATAACCATGCTGTATCTGTACAGAACATACTCTTTGCATGCCAACACAGGCTGCTGATACCGTGAACCTTCATTTTAGGACACGTCACTGCCCAAAGAAAACCAGGTCACCTGGAGGCCTCTGATCAGGCATATCATCGTATATGGCAAGATTCTGTCTCTGCCAGCCCAAGACCCCACTGGCAAATATCTTTCTGCTGGTATTACCACTCAAATATCACTGCAGAAGGCAAAAATGGCCACCACCCAAAGGAAATCCATGTAGACATGAGCTATGGAAGCAAGGATCACTGCCATGCAAGCCACAATAATTAAATGCCTGTGGGTCTGGGCCGGAGTGGGGCTAGTTTTGTTATTGTAAGTTTTGTTATTGTTGCATCCCCAGATGTTTATATCTGCACATCACTATCTGACCCCAATCACTTTAAGGACCAAAACTGGGGAGGAGAGAGAGGTGGGAATGGAGATAATGTTGGCATAACTAACATTACATGAGCTGGAGCCAAAGCAAACATTACTTAACGTGTGTCTCGTAGCTCCATCTTTTCATTTTTACTGTAAAGTAGATGCAGGCAGCCCAATGCAGATCCTTTCCCCTCAACACCATTCTAAGATTCAAATCCAAATTGGGGCCTCTGCACCTACTATGCAGTAAAAGGGAGTAAATGACACAGTTGCTAGAGACACACTTAAGAAAATATCTTTTGGGGCTCTCTGTAAGCAGAAAGAGCATGTGGTCAGAAGAGGTGAAAACTCCTGCACTTTCCAGTATTTCAGGCCCCACAGCCAGATGGGGCCTGAAATACTGGAAAGACCTCCATGTTCTCATGGAGAGTAAACCAGTTCTGCCTTCTGTTAGGAAGATCTATGCCAACTGAAGACCAGCTGAAGTCTCTTGCATTCAAGTGTCGGAGACACAGAATGTTAGAGCTGGAAGGGGCCAGAAGGGCAACAGGCCCCTGCTCAGTGCAGGATACCAAGTTAAGCCATCTCTCTCAGGTGGCTGTTGCATTTTGAATGTTTCTAGTGCGGGAGAGCCCACAACCTCTCTAGGGAATTAGTTCCATTGGCGTACTGCTCAGTTAGGAAATTGCCACTCCTTGCCTCACTCATAGATTCATTGTAGCTTTCTTCTAGCATTAGCTAAAAACCAGGCAGCTGCGGCAAATGTCCATTAAACTCCACCCCTCAAATCAGCCTGCAGTGCAACTTACACAACACACGTCCTCCCCTAGTTTAGATGCATGGCTTTTAAAACTGGGTTTTAACATACCTGAATGATCTCTGTCAATCAGATTAAAGATTATCTCCAAATCAGTTTTATATCTACACAGGGTTTCCACCAAAAATGGCTGCACCTGAAAAACGTTTTGTTAGCAATTATACCATATCCAAACTATGGCAGAGCAAACAAGTTCATAAATTGTATCCCTACTTAATTGTATCCCTACTACACACTGGCCAAATGCAGCCCCAGCCTTTTCAGTGCATCTCCACCACCAAGCCACAGCAATGGGGGGGAGGGGGTTGCTTTTAAAAGCAAAACTGTGTCTCCTGCCCACCTGGAATGTTTGGGGTAGGCAGTATAATCACACAAACCCTGGAAGTTCATAATCCCTGATGTACAATATACAAGATTTGACCTTGAGTCCAGATTCAATATCAAGGAGCAAAAACCCTTATCTGCTTAATCAGTATGTTTGAGCTGCTATAAATAGGAATAAATGGAAGTGAGGTTTCATGGGAGTACAGTGAAAGAAGCTCTGAACCTTTGTATTTACAAAAATAATGTATCTTCACTAGGCACATGGTCCTCCCAGGAACAGGAATGCGCGCGCGCGCACACACACACACACGGCTTTGTCTTATTATCTGTTCATCTTATAATCTTCCTGGTTTTTATGTATTTTTATTATATATTGTAAATTTAAGTCCGAAGCTACAATGGAAGGTTTACACCCTAAGTAGAGACCTACAAATATCTTTAAGTAAACAAGGGCAGTTTCCAGAGAACTGAAAACCTAACCTATTCCAACAAAACACAGAGTGTCTTGTACTTCTACTTGGAAATAAAATGGCTGAACAGGAAAAACTGGGAACTTTTCTTAAAAATTCAGTATGTAGCTTTCATTTGTCCACCAAAAGAAGATGTTACCATCTTCAGTGCTTCCTGTTATTCTTTCAGTTTCCTCAATAAAATGGTAAAATACAATATTGCCTTAACAAGCACTGCAAATTTCACAGTAATAGGTGACAATGTGAAAAAGCAAAACAAAAATCTACATCAAGGCTTTTGTATATCTTCTCAGCTTGTAATTTGTTTAAAAATATAGAGTTAATGTGAATTATTCTAGAGCTAATGGGATTTTTGCCTTTAAATCTAAAAAGAACAGAGCTGAGTTTGCTGCAATCCAAATTATTATCATGCACTAGATTTTTTATAATTGGCTATAAAATAGCAATATTCAGGAGCATATTCAATTTATGTAGCCTCAAATGGGAAAGCTTCAGGTGTACACAAAATTCACTTTGCCATTTCAGGAAAAGCATCAAATTTACCTATAAGCAGGTTATGTTTTCTATTTCTAGAGAGTCTAATATAATTGAGTAATATTATAAAAATTGTGCAACAGTGTTTTAAAGATCAACCACTTTCTACACCATCTCACCTCCTTGATGGGTAATTTGATTTCCAAATCGTCAAAAGATGAAAGGTATTCAACACTTCCATCCTGAGCCAGATAAACCAGCCGGGAACGCAGAGTTCTCCAGGGGAGGTCAAGCTGTAGAACAGACTCGATTGCTGAAGCCCACTCGCTGACAGAAATCCTTCCTGTCAAAATTTGAAAATTATTAGCCAAAATAAAAGCATGTTATATTTAAAAACAGGTGGTAGAGTATTGTTACTGGACTGTTGTCTCTAAAATGAAGGGGCCTCCTTCATGCACACCACAGAATGCTATTAGCTCACTGGGTACTGGATGAAGCTGCATGTCCATGCAATTATACTAAGTTGCCAGTATGAGCCACCAGTCCCTCAGCTGATGGGCATTCTGTGCTTCTCCAGTGCCATCTGTGTGATTTCCAGACTGTGCAAGAATAAGATACAAATGTTTCAGGGGCGTTTTTGGAGAGCTTATCCAGTAACTGCAGTCTTGGTTCAAAAAGCTTTCAAAGTTTTGCAATATCCATGATAGAAAGAGCTTTGTTGAAGAAAGCTTGGTGTCAGCATGGAAGCAGAACCTAAAGGGAGGTTACAGATAAAGAAAAAAGCATGTAGAATAATCTCCCATAGCCAGTTAGTCAGCATGAGTCATCTTTGGAAGACTAAGATTTTTGCTAGAATTATTACCCATTCACATTCTCGCAGGAGACATCTTTTGTGTGTGTTGCCCTTTGCCCAAAAAGGCTTTCCAACCCTGCAGAGTTTAATCCCAGGAGGGCTGTAACACATGCTCATTTTCTAAACATCTATATCCTTCTAAGAAAAGTATTAAAAAGTCTTATTCAGATCCAGGACCTGAGCATCCTGTTTCTGAAACCAGTGACCAACAGACAGTCCCAGGAAGTCCAAAAGCAAGACATGAAAGCATTAGCCAGCCCCTACTGTTTGAATACCTCCAGCAAGAGGGATTTAGTGAAATTTTGTCCCTAAACATGGAAGTTTCATTCAGCAGGTACAGCCAATAGCCATGGATAGACTGCTGCTGGAACCTGTTGACAGACCTGTTTTCCATGCTTTTTGCTAGTACTGTTAGCTAACATATCTTACGAATGCATTGTAAAAACAAAGGAAGTTAGACCATAAGTCCAACTGCTCCCCAGTGTTGTTGGCACTAACTGAAGTGGCTTACCAGTGTTTCAGGCAAGATGTTTCAAACATGTTCCCTCTCCTATCCCTACATATCTATGCGAGGGATTGAACTTGAGATTTTCTGCATGCAAACCACTGAGCCTTGGCCCTTCTTATGGCATGTAAATCCATAACTCAATCTTGTTAGTATGAAGGAGACCATCCTGAATCCATTCCAACTTTATGAGGTCACCTTGAGTCGCTTCCATCTGTTCTCTCAAGGCTGTGATTTCTCTTTCCCTCTTCTCCCCTGCCACCACCAGGCCTCACTCATTTTTATTTTGTGTTTTATTCTAACACAGTACTGAAATGTCTGAAATGTCTAACTTGCTTGGGAGTGATGGTGAGACAGACTTTCTGATCATTTTTTCAAGCCTTTACAAAACCCTTTTGTGTTGGGATAATTAATGTTTAATTATGAAACACTGATTTATGGAATGTTTAATCTTCAATTCATTCTTCAAGTATCTCCGGTGCTGCATTTACCATTTTAACCACTTCTACACACCAATTCTGTGTTTTTACTGAGCGCCTCCAGAACCAGAACTGCAACTTAAAGAAACTGGTTTCAAATTTTATTACCTGTACAGTTTGGATCATACTGTCTAAAAGCCGCAATCAGTTCTGATTTATGTGCAAACACTTTCTCTCGCAAACACTTTAAGGCAGACAGCTCAATTGCAGTCACTCTATAAAGAAAGTGATTGGAATTAGGAAGGATCAAACTCTCTTAAATTGACCTCCAGATTTTACAGTCGTTTACCCCAGTTCCATAGCTCTGTATCCTACCTCTGATGAAGCGTTTGTTTACGTGTAGATTTGCTGACTTGAACAAAACGGGGAATCAGATCTGGATTTAGTTTTATGTAAGCTCCACGGTTACTTCCCTCTTCATAGTAGTTTGATGCCGAAAAAATAGTGATAACCTTAATTTTTAAAAAGAAGAATCATTTGATTTTAAGCAGCTAAGGTTTCAAACTGGATTTAGCAGAACCTTTAAAAAAGTTGCAAAGTAAATCAAGCCTTATAGAAAACTTGTTTAGGCTACAAATGTGTACCTTCTGTTCAAGAAAGGGGCACACAGCACCCCTTTACATTGCTGCACTAAGAAATCAATGAGCTTTTCATCATGGGTCTAACAGGTCACAAGTCCGGAACACCAACTGTTTGGTCTATACAGGAAACTGGTTGAATCAAGGATCACTTGGGGTGGTGGGAACATTTGAAATTTTGTGCTCTCACAGAATGGTGGCAAAATAACTTACATGACAATCTTGTTCAGAGTCTCAATTCCCACTTTTTGTTGCTCAAGAGAGAAACAATGAAAAAGAACAAGGAATCTTCCTATGCGTTTCCAGAGTACCATGGATATGTAGTGATGACCATTTAAATAACAGATGCAAACTTCCACCATATCTAGTCTAGCCTGACTTGTCCAGATAGTCAAGATGCAATGAAATTTAAATTTAAAGTGTGGGCCACCTTGGATTCATTGTAAAAGGAAAAAGGGCAGGATATAAATATATAAAGATAAATGGAACCATATCTAAGAAAGAACTGTTTTCATTACCTTTCCATTATGGCTGATCTCATAGCCTTCTTGTTTGCATTCATGTGATCTGATGATCATTTTCAAATTATAACGTTTTAGCAACCGGGTGGTAACATCTGGTCCAAAGTAGCAACCTCCTCCTCGAAGTTTGTTTGGTGTACAACCATGTTGATGTCTAGGATCACTCCACAGAATATCCATCACCTTTCAAGCAAACGAGTGCAAGTGAATATCCATCAGTGATAATATGATCAGAATTTGAAAGAACTACCAATAATTATTCAGAAAGCTTTCTCCTCCACCACCACCCTTACTGGGTTTAGTTCAAAATAATCTACATTTTTTTGCTCTTCCAGTGGTGAATCATCAGGCATTGACTGGTTGAAATGGTGGAGTGGCACAGACTGCTGACAGAATTAAGCTATCAGGATGTATGCAATCCAGTTTATTGGAGAAGAGGAAGGATCTTCTGTTTGGTTGGGATTAAAAGCTCATGAAGGCCTTAGATACTGAGGATGGACTGATATCTGGAGACGGATTCCAAAAGGAAAGCTAAAGGCCAGGGAACCTAGAGCAAAGTGGCTGGAAAAAAGGATACAAAGGAGGCATTGGACTGTGAGAAAAGAAACTTGAAGAAAGGATAAATGGATGACTGATGTCTGGGACATAAATAATGAACATACATACATTCTTCACACACTGACAGGGAGAACAAAGTCACTTCCATCAGCCTCAGCTCCTGCTAACGCACCTGGTGTCATATATTGAGTGGCCAAATGTCAAATAACCCACATTTCAGTGGCAACACATAGCTGAACAGCACACTCAGTCCTTGCGTTATCATGTTGTCTGATATGGTCTCCAACCATTTATGGGGGATGAGAAAGGGCCCAATGCATGCACAAATGCACTTCCACATAAGGAGAACTTGTGGAAGTATGGGCCAATCAAAATCCCCCATTGCACAAAGTATTTCCACCTGGGTGGGAACTGGGCCCAGGGTGTATCTTGGACCCCTTGTCATGCTCACAAAAGATATGGCCAGCAGTGGCTTCATCTTCAACACATGAAGGTATCCCTTTGAACACACATACACTGACATGAAGGGACCAGGCAATTCAGAGCTGTAGGCTTCTACTTTTGCTTTTTGTAAAGATACATTGTTGTTAGTATGCATATCACTTTTACTTTGAAGCCTTACTTTTAATTTTTACAAAATTAATTGTCTACTTTGTATATATTGTAGTCCATATTTTGAAATAAAAAATCGAACAAACGTGGCATACTTGCTTCCATTCCTCTGTTGTTAACTCTGAAGATCTGCATGATGTGGTAACACTGCCAAGTTTGAGATGTTGCATTTCTCCAAGGGAGTTTGAACTGTTTGTGTCACAGATGCCGCCCACATGCTCTTCAGCATTATCCAGATCCAGGCTATGTGGTCTTCGCTTGCTAGAAGCTGAGGTAGTCCTGGGTTCTTTGCTGGACTTGTGCTGCTCAGAATGGCACTCCTTGGCTTCCATTAGATGGGAGGTGTCTTTGATAAGACTAGCTTTCCGTGTCTCTGCATTTGACTTCCGTGGTCTCACCACAGACTTGAGCTATGAAAAGATTCACAATTTCAGAGCATCTTTGCTGGTGCAGATTGACACGTGCATATTAAAAAATTATGTTACATACTTTCCTGCTGTCCTCTCTGAACAGGAAAGTACAGTAACCATCCTACTGGATCTAAGAAAATAGCCCTGGAGATATACACAAAAATATGCCAGTCTAGCCTAGCCCTTAACTTGTTTTTATCTTTAATCTTCAGGAATAACTTTGATTAAAATAATTATAGACTAAGATGCTAGCATTTATAGCCAGCATTAAAATATACAGGTACTTACAAAGATACACAGGAAGAATGCCATTTCTAAGAAGAGACTTGCTATGATATGCTTTGAACGCATCTAATGGATGAAGGAGTGGGAGACATAATCTCATTCATCTGACATCCAGAAGAGCTGGCATGACTGGCGCTGCTATTGACCGCCTTATCTCATTGTGGAATTCTGAGATGAGTGGAGCACACTTACTAGTTTTCCAAGGCTTGCTGCACAGTGAAATGGACTGGACAGTGTTTAGCGCACAAATGGCCTTGATCACAATGGGACTTAATGCAGGCCAGGACATACCATCATGCCTACCTGGTCATGGTGAAGGCTGCTTATTTCTTTGCCACCACTGAGTCTTCAGTGAACTGCACTACAGGCCTCTTCTGTGTGAAGCCTGGTCTAATCAAATCTAGTTCAGGAATGTGACTAGCCAGGCCCTTGGAAGAGTTTTGTGATGATTCTGCAAAACACTTTGAGTGCAAAGTTGTTTGCATCCACATCACAGGGGATTTAACTATTGCTGCAAGTCCCGTGGAAGCACTTCAGGCCACCATCTGGTTGTAGGTTATGGGAACATTTCCAGTTGTTGTGATCTCAGGTTGTGGACAAGATGCTTGTCAGGGTCGGCCAGCACCAACCACATGCCCTCTCAATCCTGCCCTTAGCTAATGAAATATTTCAGGGATAGATTGACTAAATTGTACCAGAAAGTGGTAAATGCTTCTTGAAGAGAACTACCCTAAACTTGAAGTGGAGGATTCAGATTATTATCATGAAGAGTCAGACACTACTTTGCAACTAAACAACAACAACAATGGGAGACTTTGCTTGTGGTGCCTTGAAGAATGTGATCACAGGGCTTCCACACATGGCATGGACTTTTTGATGGTGGAGTCTGGCTACAGAATTCCCTTCCAGTGCAAATCTGGTGTGCTCCGCACTCTTGTCATTTAGGTGCCTGTTAAAGGCATATTTATCTGTGTATACTTAGGGAGTGTATAGGCAAATGTTCTGAGCCTTTTAAAAGTTCTTGTGTTAATTATTCAATAGCATTTTATTGTGTTAATAATTCTATATGTTAATGATTCTATAGTATTTATCATATATATGTGATCTTAAAGTGTTTATATGTTGCATTGCATTTCATGAAAATTAATAGTCATCCCAAGCTCTCTGTGAGAAAGGCCAGGATAAAAGTCATTCACACACACACACACACACACAATGTACACACATGCACAATAGTGAGTATGTTTCTTGCTTTGGGAATTAAACTTAATTTAATTGAAATAGCTTGATCACCTACAACTAATTAACTGATTAAAATGTCTAACTAGGTTACAGTGAACACTTAAGGTACAATCCTCATTTAAAAATATGCATAAACCCCAAGCATGAAAATAATTAAATAATTTTTATCTGTTTTGCTTTCTTATCTTGGTTTCTTTAAATCTTTACAAAATGCAATAAAAATGTGATTTTGTAATTTAAAGATAACATGTTCAGTGTTAATCCTCACTGGTTTTAGTGACATTTAAATTGTGAGATGGAGTAGAAGAACATCAGAACTAAATAAAAATAGCACTTTGTGAGTATAACATTTTACCTTGTTTCTTTGAAATACTTTCAGGAAATTCAGGTCAGTAGAGTCTGATATCCCACCATGTAAGATAAGAACTTTACCATCAATTAGTGTTGCAAGTGGAAGCCAGCTGAAGACATCTTGTAGAAGATGCAGAATTGTTTTACCATAGCTCTATCGGATAAAAAAATGTGATTAGGCTAATTTCATAAAGGGCTCTGAAACCATCCATGTTCCAAGCTTTATGAACCAGTTCATCTTGACTTTGTTATTTTGTGGCTTTCAGACGTCTGCCTGATTAAACATGCAAACATCTACAGGAAGGTATTCTTGCAGGTTAATGGGTAGCATCCAATGGTCAGAAAGCATTAGCTGAGCTCCACTGAATCTTTCTGCTTCGCAAGCACTTGGCCCATCAGGCTTGCTAGCCCATTATAGCTGTACAAGCAACGGTGCATTATGCTTGTGCAACCTGTTGTGTAACCCATTGCATGTAACTTTTATTCCAGCTTAGTAGGTATAGGATTGAAGCTTCTGTAAATTTAAATGATTAAAATCAAACTTTTTAACCTGATAGCAACTACCAAAGAAAATGAGGAAGTAAAATGTTTACCCTGTACTTCTTCATAACTTCTTTTGTGAAACCATACCTGAAATAAGCAAGGATATAGTAAGTCTTGCAATTATAACAATCTCCATAATCATCTGGACCTCACTCATGACATATACTTAAGGGATTGGTCTTACTTCTGTTACCTGTTTATAATTGGAAAGAATGACCTATAATTGTTAACAGGGTATAACAAAATAACAACAGAGATCAACAATCAATGCATTTCTGGTTGCTGTCTCATCTGCATTCCAAATACAGATTTCCCAGTTATTTCTTTTTATTGGCATGTGTATAACAACTTATCCCTACTCTACTTAATTTGGAGACAGAGAACATTCTAGTCTAACGCATAGTATAAAACAAAAATTTGCTTGGCCACTATTTACATACAGTCCATTGCTAAAGAATAAATCCACACAATGTCTCTTTCTTAGGTGAAAGACAATATCGCCACCGTCTTCAGACATCCAGCAACATTCCTGAATGAGTGCCGGAGTCCACATTTTAGCTAAAATCTGATTCCTGCTTTCCATTAGTTCAGTAGATGGAGTACAGATTTCTACCATTTCAAAGTCTAAGGAAAACATTCTACTTGAACCTATTAAACTTTTGACCTGCCTATTCACTTATCAAAATCGTGATGCAATTTCTTTAAAAACTTTTAATGGTTATGCAATCCTATGCTGTCACTCCTTGGAGTAAGCCCCAGTTAGCTCAATGGAATTTATACCTAATTAAGTAATGAAGGTTGTAGCTGCAATTTTTTTCAATATGGGAAAACTCTCCTTGCAGATAACAGCAGTATACTGGGGATCAGATCATGTGTTGCTATTTTTAAATTGCAGGCTCTGGGAATGCAGCACTCTGAGCAGATAAAACTTGTGAAAGAATATATAATCAAAGGTAATACCTAAGATTCATGATGTGGTCCTCATGGTTTCCGCGATTCAAGTGCAAATGGTTAGGGTAGACAAGAAGGAATGCAAATAGGATTATGAGTATTTCTGTGGAATTTTTCCCCCTGTCAACAAAGTCACCATTAAAAATGTAGGGGTTTTCTTCTGAGGGAAGGCCATTCTGTAGATGAAAATAAAAGAAATTAAAGAGAAACAGACGTGCAACAGAAAAATAAACAGGCAAGGGCTGAATCGCCAGCACTAAACTGCGCAGCTCTGCACGGTCCCACCTCCAGCCTGTTCCGGCAGCTGTGCGGTCGAGTGTTCTTTTGTAGCACTGCCACTTTGCATAAGTAGGTCCGTCACACTTGCAGTAAGGCTTACACTGTGTAAGGTCCCTGTGGCAGAAAGTGACCACCAGTTACAGCATTATGCTAATTGTACGCCCATCTTCTGAGCAGCTGTTGCCCATATAGTCCATAAAATAGCTTGCCCAAGGCACGTGAGTAAATCTGATTAAGCCTGGAAAAGCTTTTTGCAAATGCTAACTTTTAAGGCTGCTTTATATTCGCCATGCCATTTACATTTCAAATGCAAAGCCCCCCTTACTTGAAGATACAGGCTTGGAGCCAATGTTCAATGGGATGCCATCTTCTCCTCCCACTTGCAGCCCTCCACATGCCTCCCCAATCTGCTCCAGAGAATCCACAACTCTCTGGAGCAGAAGCAGGGGCACCGGGGGCTGCAAGGAGGAGGAGAAATATGTTCTGTCAGCAATTTCTCTTCCGTTGGCAGAAGGGCGCTATTGGATACAACCCATAAAATATGGTATTCTTGTCCCACTTCGCTTTCCTCGGCAGTTCCACAGTTTTAGCTAATGCCCTTTTCAGGGAGAGGGGAGGCATGAAATTAAAATTTATAGCAGCAGGAAACAAGAGCAAGAGAGAGCTTTCCAATGGTTTGTGGAATTGAAAGTTGCTAGTGCCTCATTAGAGTGCCTTCTGGGTTTGTATTTAATTAGCTTCCCTTTGTCAATCTGCCTTTTAATTCCGCTCCAGGATGTCTACATGCATGGCATCAATTTAACACGGACTAATTTAGCAACTGGTAATTTAAATTATTATGGAGTAGCATTGTTGGGGGCCTCCTCGTGTTGTTTTTTGAGGAACTGAGCGATGTCTTACATGGCCAGTGGAAGTGTCCCATACCCTCGACTTTAAATAAACAAAGGTGCTCTGCCTAAAAGGAGATATTGAAAAGCATTGAAGACATTTCATCTAGCCTAACTGGCTTTGGAAAGTGTTTGGATAATCATTTCAAAGCATTAAACTATTCTCTTTCTTCTTTCTCTTGCAAAGACAATGCCGGCTTGTATGCCGAGGAGTCTTTGGCCGCAAAATCAGAGAAATCCAAGTGACAAAGAGAGAGCGGGGAAAGGAGGGAGGGAAAGGGAAAATCATGAATTGTGAGTAGTAGCAGCCAATTCAGTGACTAACACCTTGTGCATAATAAGGGCACAGAACACATTAACAGAATGGGTGCTTGTCTGTGTGTGTCATACACACACAGAGTAATCCTCAGGAAACACTTCCCTAGAAGCCTTGAATTACAAAGAGTATTATAGAGAATATTGCAAAGTATTAACGAGACCTAAGGCAGGTAGAGGCAAAAGCAACAAACCCGGACTCTCCTGCAGTCAACTGTCCCTAACTGCCTTTCTGTATTTTGATGGTACCAGTGGAAGCTGCTGGATCTCTGCAAACCACAACATGGGCGAGCTGAAGATTTTAATGGCTTGGCAAACTGGACCCTGCAGTTCTTGCAGGAGCATGATGAAAAATTTATGCCATGAGTCTGACAGAAATGCAACCAAAACAGGGTTCCATGTATGTGAGCCAATCAGTGTTATCAGAAACTCCAAGGTGGTGTTTCAGCTCAATTAGGGTTAAACAGGCTTGGTAGCCAAAAAAATTGTGTGTTTCATGAGCAAAATAAAATAGAAATTGGGGACAAGACGGCCCACCGGATAGCACACAGCTACCGGAACATCAGAATACGGACAAGGAGCTCTCTTATTAGGAGAAAGGAATACCTTGCAAGATTTTAGTCCTAATCTGACCTGGTAGGTAGAATTCCTAAGTACAGCTGCTCAATATTGGAGCTCCTAGGAGGAGGGGGATGCACCTGTTTTAGGATTAATGGGAGGAACATGAAATATACTTCCATATAGTGCAGTGATATGTATATGCGTGTGTGTGCTTTCTCCATGTTAGAAAGAAAATCAGTGGAAAGGGCACAGAGTGCAATTTTGATCACTTCCGACATGAATTTACATTTGGCACATGAATGCATGGAACAGAAATAAAGACCAACAACCCTGCTGTGCTTTTCTTTGGTGTCAATTGCATGTGGAGGAAGTGGCTGCCTGGCAGTTCATCTCAAGAGCTCACTTCCTTGCTAGAGCAAGATGAAACAAATTAGTTCTGAAAATGCTGCAAAAGCAAAGCCAGGGCAGGTGGCAGAATTATTTGTGAAGGGGATCTTTTTAAGAATAACCCCAAGTCCCCATTTTTAAAGTAACTTATTAAATGAGGTACTTTACTTCGCACAAGGAGGATAGTGAGAAACAGAACCAGGATCTTACATAAGCATTGGATTCGATTGTGATTCATAAAGACTTTCAAGCATATTATTCCAAAAGTGTAATACTAAAAAGCCATGTCTTGAACTATTTATAAAAGACAGTAGTTATACCAAAAGGAAAAGAAGCCAGCTATTAGCGTAGTTTAAATTCTCATCTTCAGCTAAATACTGAAGATAACTTAAAGCACAATTCTATATATGTTTTGGCAGAAAAATGGCCTGCACCCCCAGCAAGCCTCAGCCAGTGGTTGTCAGGGTCCACGGCCAGGACATGGGTGGCCAGAGGCAAGGCATGAGAGAGGCATCAGGACCAGGACCACAGAATTTTGGGAAAGACCAAGTCCAAAAGCAGGCTTTAAAGGAAGGTCCAAATCATAGCCATGGTCCAGGCTGAGGTCAGGAGTCAGGCCCCTTCTGACTCGCTCTGCTTCTATGTTTCTATGACAGGAAAGCAGGACAGGGCAGGAGGCACAGAAAGATGCAGAAGAAATGGTGAGATGCAGTAGCAGGAAAGGCGGGATGGGGGCACAGGAGAAAACAGGAGACCCTGTGCTGCAGAGGCAACACAGCAGGGCAGGAGATAGGGAAGGGGCAGGCACAATGGACGAGGGAAGAGCTTGCTCTTATATAGCTCTTCCTCCAGGAGTCCCAGCTGGCACTGGGAGTGTTCCTGCCCATACAGTGGTAGTTGTTCTGGATCTGGCCACCAGTGCAGCCCAGATCCTGACAGTGGTGCCCAGTCCGGTAGCACCACAAGAAAAAAGGAAAAATCATAGGTGTTGGCAGTTATTTGAGAATTAAGTGCTCTCCAACGTTGTCTCAAAGATCTTATTAGAAAGCATTGCTTTAGATGGAGCAGAGAAAATGAGTTTATCTGCTGTCCCTCATGAACAGTGAGCATTAGTTCAAAGTAGAGAGAGCGTTTTGCTAATAAATAATTTATCATACCTGAGGTTTTAAGTGCTTCTTCCCACCACATAGGGAAAAAAAGTTTATAGTTCCAAGGAACACTATCCTTTAGTTTTAATACCCTCCAATTGCCTTTAAACAGTGACTCCAAATAACATTCCATTACAATTGACAAAGCACCAAAGATGGAAAGATGGCCACATGCCAAATATTGATGCAGCAATGTACTGATAATCTGCGCATAAACTGAGTAGAACAAACTTAGTTGTGCTGAAGTACTTCCTCATAGATCAGCCACAGCACATTTACTTACTTTGTAGAAAATCAGCAGCAGATCATCCAACTTTCCATGCAAATCACCTACAAAGAATACCATGTTTACAATCAGATACAAACAAGAATATTCAGTAGGTAGCCTAACAGTGCAATTCCAGATATCTCTGGTTGGAAGCCTCATTGAGTTCAGAGGTACACAGTCCCAGATAAGTGCACCTTGGCCTTCTGAATGAGCAACGAAGCTAACTGCCACTGTTCTACCCAACTGTTTCTCACCATATTGGGTTCTACGATTGATACAGCTCTGCAACTGACATGCATAAACCAGTGCTATGGTGGACTAAATGTGCATCTTCTCCCCTGATGCAGATTTTTCTATGCTATGTACTGTTAATTTTTCATCGCAACAGCACTGACCCAGCTTTCTATGTGCATAGTCAGATATAGGAGCAGCAACGAGGTATTGCATCTCCCAGAAAGAGCAGAAAAATGTGAAGGGCTAATGGAGAACACAAGCACCAGCACACCAGAGGTGGAAAATGGTCACATGCCAAATTAACTCCAAAAGCTCCATGACAGCTTCATGGGGCCCTCAGACCATTGCTTGCCATTCAAAGTTTAAAAGGTACACCACTGAGAAACAACAGGTTTACACATCCAAATTTAGCCGATCCAAATCCTAATCTTGTTTAACAAAGGAAGGCATTTATTGATGCCTTTTGCAACCTGGTCTCATCCAGATATGGCTCTGCTGGTTGGGAATGACCAACATGGTTCACACCTGGATCTGTTCCTGGGTTATTTAGGAGAATGCAAACACAGCAGTTAAACCATATTATTAACTATCCATTTTTAGCATGGTATTTTACTACAAGTCATTACTGACACTGAAATAACAATGTGTGTTTCTAAACATCATATGCAAGTAATTGGACGGCACACAAATTTTATAAATAAATAAATAAAAACTGCTCTTCTTTATACAAATGTGAGCAGAGCAGAATAGGAAAAAAATAAAGCATTCTTACATATAAGGCAAGCCAACTATATTGGCATATCAAAGGTTCTCAGGAATATAAAAAATATTTATCAATTGCCTTGATTTTTATAAAGGTTAAGTATTAGATTTCTTTGTTCAACTGCACATATTAAGATTTTTAAAAGGAGAGGAAACACAACATTCACTTCTTAATACAGAGTACATTAAACCCTTTAAAATAAAATCCAACAAGTATTATAATGAAGTAAAAGGTTTTGATTGGTTTTAGTGGGGTTGAGATTACAGTCCTTTAGGAAACTAACACAAAAACACTCACCAGATTAATATTTAAATACGTCTTTCAATGTAGAGTGTTAAAAAGGATTTTCAGGAAGTGAAATAGATTGTATTTAGTGGTAATCAACATTTTGGCTTGAACTTCAGTTAAAATTACACTTTCATCTGTCGTGAATCATGTTTTTGCTGTGAAGACTATTATCTGCTTCAGGGACAGGTCAGAATCTCTCTCAGATGCTCTTTCAATTGTGCAAATGAGGATCCCAGCATGTACACTGATTAGCAAACATGCTGATTTACCAGAACAATGGCCATCCATCTAACCAGAGGGGCTTGTAGTAGTTTTTGGAAGAAAAATGATATTCTGCATGCACAACAATAACTTGCTCACTGAATAATATAAAAATAGAAAGGCAAGAACCCTATTTACTGCTATACCGGATGCTTAAAGCAGCCTTGAACAAGCTCTGGTCTCCCAAGCCCTTCTGTTACTTTCATTTTCTAGACTGTCCCTTCACTTAAAGATAGTGACTCTGACATACTGTGTTCTAATGTGGTCACGATCTTATATTGCAACTCTAATTCCTCAGGGAAACCCAGGAAGAATCACTCTCTCTTGTCTGTAAATTATGAGGGTGTGAGCAAGGACACCAAATTGGGAGGCACTTTGAGTGCTACGCTCAGAAAGGAACTTTTCTGTGTATCTGAATTAGTCCTTAACAATATACAGACAGAGAGAAATTATCAGTAGTCCGCGGAGAGACTTCCAAATATCAGTCCATGTGTTTTCAAAAGTAGGCAAGAGGGAAAGCAAATCCAAACTCTAACGTCTGGTGAGTGCATATTCCATCCTTTCACTTGTTCTATTATTTATCTCTCTCCATATCTACATAAAATCCTCAGGACAAACATTTCACAACCTTTACACATTGAAGAGATACATCGGAAAAGTACAACTTCCCATCGCCTTGTTCATGATCAACATGATTTATATATATATGATAGAGGTGAACCTTGTATACTGCCTTAGCTTTCTTGCTAAAGGAAGAAAGCTGGGATATAAGTGCAATGCAATAATGTATTTATTTGTTGCATTGTATACTTCATATAGGCCATAGGGTCTCTGGGTTGTTTACAAATTTAAAAGACAAACAACCAGTAAAATAATCATACCAAAATAAAAACAAAGAACCATAACATAGAATAAATCGCCTCAGAAGAAACACCAGTCAACAGGCATTTCTTCCACCATAAACATGTTCAGGAACCATTTGTTGAAGTACTTGGGGGGAAGGCTAGAGGTGAAAGAAATTATTTACCACACAAAATAGCATTTTACAGATGGAAAAGCAGCTCTTTTCTTGAAAGTTTGCCTGGTTTAGGCACTGACTCACCCAGCAAAATCTGACAGGAAAAAAAGTGGGAGGAAGTGTTTGGCTTACTTCGGATGCACGCCAGAGTGAGTCAGCAGCCTTTTTTCCATAATAAAGGGAAGCTGGGAAGGGATTGTTCTGTAAGGAAGTGGGGAGGAGGCTGGGGCAGAAATGCCCGGCGAGGCAGCCCTTCAAGATGCACCTTGGACACCACTCCCTCTTACAAAGGGCACTGTAGCTCACCACAGATGGTTATTTCCTTCGCGTAAGAGGTTGACACCTGAGTGATGTTCGGCATCTGCTGAAGGACTTTCCTGGTCTCATGCAAGAGCTGAAGCACATAGCGGGCATGAAGGTGCTGCAAAGAGTCATCCACAAAGACAGAAATAACATATTGCACAAAATCCCAAGCAGAATATCATCACTAAAGCTAAGCCTGTCAGACGCAGACAGTTCTTGGCTGCTTGCCTTGTAACTAGATTGCATTTGAAAATGAGAGAAGAACTTTAGAGGAAGAAAATTAGGTGAAATGCAGAAACATATTTAGAAAAAATTACATATGTATACAGTACGGCATTAGGAGAAAATTCAAGGAAACTTTTGGCTCAATTGTCTGGACATCACTAGACTGGAGAAGGTTATAATCCTATATACTTTTACCTGGGAACAAATCTCACTGGGGCTTACTTTTGAGTAGACATGCATAACCCATGCATACTAGGATCTTAAATTCTATTAGTGTAGTCCAATGCTGGTCTACTACAAGAAGTTCCACTGATCTCAGTGAAGCTGAGATGGCAACCTCGATCTTTTACTCACTAGGTTCACATGACATGATAAATAGTGAAAGCTTATAAAACAAAGCTGATTTGTATTCTCACTACACAGTTAGACTGGGTAACTAACCATGTTGTTGGGTTCAGATAAGACAACAAGCCACCCCTAACTTATAAGTTTGCTCTACTATGGTTGCCCTAAAGTGTGTTGACAGTTCTGAAGGTTTTAATATATGTAATAATTTAAAATGTTTTTAAAGTTTAAAAGGTGGTAATGTCTCCATGTGAGTGATGTGTGGTTCTGTGAAGTAATTTATTAATGTTAATTGCAATGTCTTGAGATTTTAATGTTTAAACTTTATTGTGAGACTGCAGTTGATTGGCTTATGTAAAGAACTCATTTAGAGAATTGATTAAGGAAGTTATGTCCTTTTGCTTCTTTTTCTTCAAAGTATGCTAAATTCAACTTATTTTTAAGAAGTAAACACACCATCATTCATTTATTTTAAATAGGTTTATAACACTTAAAATTACTTTTCCTACTATGTTCTTTAATTTTTTATATGATGCTAGCCTAATGGTGCTTAATATGCCTTTGCACTTATCAATTGGAACTTTTGCAGAAGGTTGTAAAAATAAAAGATAACACTGTTTTATCAGTGGTCTGAACTTGCCTGTCGATGCTTGAAAGCTTGAAGAAGCAAGTCAGTGTCAGCAACAGTGAGGGGAAAACAAAGGCGAGGTCCGTAGTAGGAGTCTGGCACTTCTACCGTCCTTTGATATTCTATCATGGCAAGGTCAGAACCCTCTATATCGTGATCCATGGTGGTGGAATAAAAGTGAGAGCTCATGTCTGTAAGGAAGCAGAAAACAACTTTCAAGGACTTAGTTCAGTCGATAAAATAGGCACAGGTAATGGCTTAGATCCAGCCTTTTCTCACAACAGCAGGATAGCCAGAAAGTGGGGTGGGGGCAGGGGGGAGCTTAGCTGAATCCCTGCAGCCCCAAGGGCTACCTCCCCAGCAGGGGTGTTGCTGGGTACTTAATAGATTCCTCACCCAGATCAACAGCACACCATCTGCACAGAAAATGCACGTGCTACTGTTCTTCGATATGCCCATTTAGAACAAAAACTTAGATTTTTTTTCATTAAACAGAAGTCAAGGTTGATATCACTTCTCAGATCACCCCAAATAAGCAGTATTTTTTCAGTTGCAATTAATTTGCAATGACATTATAGAAATGCAAAAAGGTGTTGCTCTCAGCATTTTGTTGTTGTTGTTAGCAATTCCTACCCCTCTCTGCCTAGAAAGGCAGCATTTGAACCAAACTGAGCTACGAGAATTTTACAGAGCTCTAATCCTAACCACCCTGTTTTGAGACAGGTGTAGCACGTGGGGAATTCTAATTGTTCCCTCCATAGCAGAAATCTCCCTTTAAACATACATTAATTTCAGTGAACACACAGGGCTCTGGGAAATAGATCCAGGGCCCTGACAAATTGGGATGGGATCAGGGGCCCACCTCTAGCCCTGCTAGAGTGGTATTTCAGGAAAAGAGAAATACTAGCTTATAGGACCAGGGCGTGGGGTGCGGAGGCTATCAATGGCTATGCTGACACGGGCTCCCTCTGTTATCAGAGGCTGCATGCTTCCACACATCAGTTGCTGAGAAACTTGAGCAGGTGAAACTCTTGTAACAACCAGCTTGAGGGGTCCCACAGGCAGCTTGTCACCATACGAACTGAGTGCTGGATTGGGTGGACTATTGGTTTTGGCTTTCCCTGTGTTATTAAGAGCTTCTCCAAAATGGAATTCAGCACTCTGGCTGAAAGAAATCAACAGTCCTATTTTAAAACTTCTAGCAATATATCAAAATAGCTACATAATGTCAGCATTAGTTTTAAAGTGCAAGCCTGCCCATTCTGAAGTAAGTCCTATCAAATTCAAGGGCGTTTAATCCAAGGCAACTGTGTGCAGGATCGCAGCTGCACTGAGCTACACAGCTCCAGCTCTTGTATTTCCAGTACCGGGAAACAAACACAAGCACCTATTTGCACACATATGGCCCAGGATACATTGGCATGCATAACAAGATACATACATGTGATTGCTTAGGAAACATGTTAAAGCTATTTATTGAAACTATGACTTGGTTCTTACCTGGATCATTCTCATTAGCCTGAGCAAAATGGTCCAGCATGAATGTGAAGAAATTGGACAGCTGCAGAAGAAAGCACATACATTAGTTTAATCGAAATGTTTCTGTTCCCTTGTCCAGCCCCACTTTTGGATCATTTTACACTGAGCAACTTCCCAACCCCCATAACTGCTAGGAATCCCCATTTAAAGAAAGGGAAGCTTTATACACACACATGAAAGCTGACCATTGGAAGCAGGAAACATTTCCAAGCTTATAAAACAGAATGGTGAAAAATTGCTGCAGGTATAGATGTTCCTTCCAAATATACTGCATGTTTGAAGTGTTTAATTTAAGGCTTCTTATATTTGATTATCCTCCTGCAAGAAATTCTTTAGTGCTTGTTGTCTCCTTGTAAGATAACTTCAGCACAGTGAACTATCTGAGCTGTTCTCCCATGGCCTTATCTACATCAACTGCATTCTTGGCAGTACTTTATACAGTTGTTGGACTTCTGAAGTTGCAGTTGTACCAAAGGAACCCACCACTGCACAATAGGAATCTGCCTGCTCCCTATATCAACTGCTTCCCCAGAAGTCTAGAGCAGTATTTATTACTGGAGCATAACAGATCAGAGGTGCAACTTTCTGCCACTAACCTGACCTGCTAGAACAGAAAACACAAAAAGCACACACACATTCCTGCCAATCCTGATTTGAAAAAAAAAAAGGAAGTTGAGGGGGGAAATGTTCCCAAAAGGCGCCATTTCACATTTAAAATTCATTGAAAAAGTAACACCATTGTGACTACAGGAATACATGCATTTACTTGGAACAAGTATAATCTTGTTGCAGAAAAAATGTTATTTTTAAGCACAAGTAATAAAACAAGCATGTGTAACACTGACCATGCCTGGGTGTCCATGCATTAACTACAGATTTTAAATGATGGTTTTTAATATTAAGAGGAGGAGGAAGAGGAAAATGAGGCTGTGATGAGCAGCGTCAACCCCAGCTTACTTTTGCTGGTCAGTGTGCTGACACTGGGCCTCTTTGCTGCTTCCCCCCCACCTGCTGCTCTCTGTGGTCCTTTGGGGGGGGGGGGCTGCTTGGGCTGCAGGGACCCTGAACTAGTGCATCCCTGCATCGGCTTAGAAAAATGCTCCCATGAGAGCTTTTTTCTATGCCTAATTTCTGCTTGGCAGTGGGTGGAGCTGTGAAGAGGCTGAAAGCCCCACCCAGAGGCACTGCAGACCGCATCTTGTCTGTCAGCTCATGCTTTCTCATTCCCATCTTGAATAAATTTTCCAGCAGATGTTACATTTAAGAAATATCTCCAGAGCCAGTCTTGACAGTTTGGTGGCAAATCCTACAGACATTCTTGGAAAATACAGATGATCTAGACCCGTTTCAATCTGGATTACAAGCATGACATGGGCCAGGATTGTCCTTATTAAGTAAAATAAGAGCCATGCTGATTCAGACCAACGATGCATCTGGTCCAGCTGCCTGTTCATGCTGCCCGTGTTCAAAGAGGACACAAGTGCCACTTTTTGCCTATGTTCCTCAGCAGCTGGTGTGTGCAGGCATGCAACCTTGGCTCACCCTCGATCACCCAGATAGAAGACTTTTATTGGGAAAGGAAGAAAGAAGTGCAACACAGTTGCTCTTATTCTGTATCTCAGCAGCTTTTGATGGCCCGTCTTCCAGGACCAACTCTGTTGGCTGTTCTACAGTGCTTCCACTCTGATCTATCTGCAGGGTAGCCATCAAGCCATCGAGGGAGCATTAACACCTGCACCTCGGCCTCCAGGCAATTATGCCATGGGCCACTGCAAGATAACGTCATGCCATCGATGCTATCGAGCACTTATATGAAGCCAGTGGACCATTAAGAATTTGAGGGCCAGGTGCGCCTCACTCTGCTCTATTTCCCAATTCCATTTGAGTGAAGACAGCCTGTACATGACCTACACCAGTGCTTAGGGATGGTGGCGAGCTGCTTGAGGGTCAATAAGCTGAGTCCACATCCCAGTAATAACTGTGGATAAGTTCCCTAACTCTGGTACCTCTCTGATAATAGCATTCATGTGCTTTCAATAGTTATTAAAATCTAACTGTTTGTCCTGGCTTCTCCCAACTGCTAAATTATCTAAGAACTTTCATGTATTTTTTATATTCATATCTTGCCTTTTTTCCTTCAGGAACTGAAGGCAGTATACATAATCATTTTCCTTCATGCTGTTTAATCATCACAACAATCCTGTGAGGTAGGCTAGAGATAGGCTGTGACTGGTCCAAAGTTACCCAGTGGGTTTTGTGGCTGAGTGAAGACTAGAACCCAGATCTTCAAAGTCCTAGTCCAACACACTCACGCCTACCTTGCATTGGCGCTCTACTTTTTTTAATGCTCTATTATTTTTAATATGTTGTGAACCACTTTGGATTTTTAAAATTTATACACTGGGATGCAGTGAATGCTAAATAAATACAATTAAATGATTACTACAGCCTGATTAATGGTAAATTAATCAAGGCTGGAATAAACATTTTACTAAATATTGTAAGCATCAGTCTCCATATATGCACAGTGTTCAAAAGTTACCACTGTTTAGATGATCTATTTCATATTCAGCTGATAAGAGCAGGCTGGATTTTCTTTGAAATATACAATGGAGCTTTTGAAAACAAATATTTTCATTCCAAAAACCTGCTATAAACGAAAATGCTATTTTTGCCTTTGTAATTTGATATTAACTGGCTTCAGGAAATGACTGAATTGGTAGTTCTACTGCCAGCTTAAATTTTAAACATAGACCATGAAAGTGAAAGAAAATCCTATTATCCATGAAGAACGTAATCTGAACACTCAGTTAGTTCTAACTCACTCGCTGTTTATGTCAATGCAACTCCACAGAGTACAAACCTGCAGCTGTGCTTGTTCTTCAGCATATTCAATCGACTGAAAAATGCTTAGTGCATATCGCCGCCTCATCTCCAGCCGGGCCATGTAAGAGCGAAACCACCTTTGAATGAGGATGGCTGCTTTAATGGCTGTGAAAACATGAAGTAGCCCAAACAGAAGGTTATTTTTGCACCAGGCCAAGACTCATGTTGGTGTTTTAACTGATTCAGATGTGAAACTTATTGGTACTTTTCCATATATCATCACATTGTCTTCTCAAATGCAGAAGGCTCATCTCATCAGTCCTGCTAGTACTGCTGCACCGGGCATTTCAAAGGCCTTACTACAAGGTATATGCATCTACACATACATGTGCTGTGGTATTTTTTTAAAGGACAACATTCCACAGAGAACACGCCCACAGAGATCAGGATATATTTGGGTTTTCTGTGAATCTTTAGAATAAGTATATCACAGGCTGAAGCCTAGAACAAGAGTAGCCACTGGGGTGCTCACAAACACCTCTGTGCCACCATGCACCTTTTTTGACATGTGCCAAGATACCCTATTTCCCCCCTTTTAAAAAACTCCCTCAACATTTTCTTACCAGCAGCTTGGAATACTATGAAAAAGGGTTAGTGCTGTTTGTTGTGTACTTATAGGAGTTGTACTGGGGTTAAGGCCCCACATTAGCCTTGTTCTTAGTCTTCAGGGAAGGTTATTTGTCCTTTCCCACACCTCCCATGACAACCATATTGTGGTTGCTCAGGAGAGTTTCCCAAACTGTCACATAGGCCCATGGCCCCCAGGACCGCCCATCCATATTCTACAGAAAGTGAAGAAGCAGTTATTGTAAAGACCAATTGGATCCAGGGACTGTGAGAGAAGATATTATTGCTTGATGTTGTGGCTTCTCCCTTCTTCATTGCAGGTTTTCCATCAGGAAACCTTAATCATCTGCACAGAACCTCCTGGGGGCTGGAGGGCCTGCTATGGAAAAGATGGGGTGTGGAAGTCCACTTCTACTAGCCCGGTTACATTTGTCTAAATCTGGATCCAACCCAGGGTGCTGAGTGGTACATTGATATTAAATTATTAAACAAGTAGTAACCTGCCTTAAGATGGCAGCCTTGCCAGAGAAGCCTATTCCCCTTGGTAATCATTCTTATCATAGCACCTGATTCCATTATTCCAATTTCCACTCAAGTTAAAGGTGCTGCTTTATCATTAAGACAATTCATTTAACCTCAAGAAACCTAGTCAATGATGTGAACCAGTGCTGTTCCCAAGGGGCATCGATAGTTCCAGAATTTGTTTGTTATGCCAAAAGAAGCAAAGTGACATTTCAGAAGAAATACAGAAAAAAAGCTATTAGTGAGAAGGCATTGTTGAAATGTAGAATTAATGTAAATATTTGATGCTGAATTGACACATTTCACAAGCATTTATGAGGGCAGATATCTAAAGGATAGGGAATGTAAATTTTTAATCCAAGAGTGAGAAACTTGTAGCCCTCCAAATGTTGCTGAACTGCAACTCCCATCAGCCCAAGGCAGCATAACCAATTGTGAAGGATAATGGGAGAAATAACATCTGGAGGGCCATAAGTTTCCCAGCCCTGCTCTAAGCAATTTAATTTTCACTGCTCTAGCCAGTTTACCCTCTCCAGGCCCCAGTGAATAGCACATTCTTTAAGACATCTTTTAACTTTCTTTAAAATCACAACTGTGCCTATTCTAATACTGGACATTTTATCATGATCCATTAAGGTTAGCCAGAGTTTTACTAGACATTCCCTGGACAGCTAATCTGCTATCTTTCTTGACCTATATATCAAAAAGGAATAATGCTAACCATTTGGAGAATTAACACATGTGATGTCCCTTACACAGAGACTCTCCAACACAACAGGCATCAAGGCTTTATGTTTCACAATGGAATCTTATGCACATCTATTCAGAAACAAGTTCTTTCAGGTTGAATAGACCTGACTCCCACATAAGTGCATATGGGATTGCAGCCTGAAACTGTGAAGCTCCAGAGGGGTAGCTGTATTTGCCTGTTGTAGTACAATAACAAAGAGTCTAATGGCACCTTTAATGCTAACACATGGCTTCAACTAAATACTCCTAATTCTTTTTCCTAGCATGGCCTCTAGCCTACGTGCAATACCTGGAATGGCATAACCTGAAATCAGGCACATACAGTTAAGGAATGCTACAATAGCATTGTTCAGTAATAATGCTGCAGAATTGCCATTGCACAGCCTTTCTTTACCTCTTTCTGATTTGTTCACTTGATTCCTGGAAACAGAAGTGCCACATCCCATGATTTCAGCAGAAACTGGATATCTCATTTAAATTTCTCTCATAGGTGATGATGTTCTTTTGGCTGGTAGTGTTGCAACTATATCTTCTTTATATTTACCTCAACAGACTACAATAAATCAATTCCAAAGAGAACCACTACTTCCATTAGCTCTAGTAAGAAAAAATAGAACATGACAAAAATAGATATTGTGTTAGAAAACTGCACATGATGTTTGCTTCATCAATAGATTGGGTGGAGAGTCCTATCTGTAAATATGTGTACTCTTCCATATGCGCAGTTAAATATACCTTCAGCCAACTTGAACAAATGCACAGTATTGTTTGTGAATGAGCATACTGTTAACCAATAAATTGCTGTGCCGTAGAAATAACTAATTGCATTAACCATACACTAGTAAAAGCAACAAGGAGCACAGCCAGCTTTGTCAGTGAACCCAAACACTTCCCTCAGCTATTGCTAACCAAACATGCATGGCCTCTTTTCCTTTGGCACCCCACCTTTCATGTATTCCTTTTTACCAGGGTTTTTCAGATGTACTGGTTTTAATTATATAGTCTGAAGAGGAAAGAAAATCATGTAGTTAGCAAGAAAATCAAGGGAAATGTAATTTAAAAGGATTGGGAAACTAAAAAGGAATTTTCCTGAAGCCAAAATATGTGTAATTACCCACCAGGCAAGCCTGCCTGAAGCCTGTGGAAATACAGTCTCATCATTCACTGCTATCCTCACCCCAGAAAGTAGAATGCCAGAACAAGGATCTACAAAGATGATCACAGTATATGGCATACTTGTATAGAGAGGCATTCTTTCACTTACTTAGCCCCCAAGCCCATTATTGTTGTTGTGTTTATAGTCTGTCTTTTCTCCGCTTGAAAGGTACCCAAAAGAGTTTACAGAGTCCTCTTCCTCTCCATTCACAAGAAGCCTGACAGGTAGGTCAGGCTGAGAGTTGGTGACTGGCCCAAAGATACCCATATTAGAAGCAAGGTAAGTGAAATAGGGCATTTTCTGTTCTGGTATCATTATTTTCCCTTAGAGTTAATAATGTAAGCACTAATGTTTTATATTGTGCTCAGAAGAGACCATATGGCTAGCTCCCCTGGGAAACTTAGCAGCTGTATTTTGGAAAACTCATGTTTCAGAATAAGCTGACATTAGCAACATATGGTCCAACTTTGAATTCATTTTCCTCTTGTCTTCATTCCAGTTGTTCTACTATTTTCTCTAAGTTTAATCACTTCACTATAGGTGCAACGCCAATGGATACCCTTTTCTGATGTAACACTTTGCAATAATATTTCTTTGGTGTATATCAGATCCATTAAAAAAACTTAATTCCAATATTACATTTCTTCAATGTTTCCATTATGCAATCCAACTCGACTGTATTAAAAGCTTTCTTGGATCAGGTAGCATTGATGCAGCTTTATGTCTGGGTAGAATTGCTTGGTTTAGGGTGCAATACTATGCAAGTGCCATGAGTATCTCTCTCTCCCAATTTTCCTTTCCAGCACATCTAAGTGGAAGTCTTTTAAACAAGAGTTCTTTAGTATTTTTTTAATTTGTGGTTCAGGGTGTTTCATAAAAAGGCTGTCCTCAAGTAGCATCAATTAAAATCACATTTTCCCCAATTTGTGGGAGCAGCTCTTGCCCATTCTAAACTGAACAGTTCTCCCTTCCGTTACCAAAAGGCTTGCCCTTACTCTCAGGGGAATTCATGTTTGCTTGTGGGCCAGATGGTGGGAATGCCAGACATTACTTAATTGGTCTACTTGTTTGGCTAGATATTGGTTCACTGGGTTAATGAATTCACACTCCTCTTCCTCAATACCTCCCTGCTTGACAATGTCTCCCCCAATAACTGATACAAGTTTGTTTCTTAGCTGTCACTGATTAAACTTGGTATTTCTGCTCTACCTTTCCTTCTCTATCTAGTTCACATTCTGATTCTGAACTTTCTAGCTGGGAATGGTGTATTTTGAGAGAAGCAAACCCCCATCTCTACAACCTCTTTAAATGGAAACATAGAAACAGAGCAAGTCAGAAGGGGCCTCCCAGGCCCTCTAGTCTGACCCCCCAGCTCTGCTCATGACATGCCTACCATGTACATGTCCAGCCTATCCTTGAACACCCTCACCAATGGGTTTCAACCACCTTCCCTGGAAGCCCATTCCATACCCTAGGGGTCCTAACTGTCAGGAAGTACTTCCTGGCATCCAAATTGAACCTTGGATTCCCCAAGTTTTGCTCCATGGGAATGCATCCTGCCCTCCTCCACAGGGGAAAACAGGTCTCTACCCACCTATGTGTGACAGTCCCTCACATACCTGTATGTCGCCAACAGATCCCCTTGGAGTCTTCTTTTCTCCATGCTGAAATGACCTAGTTCCTTCAGTAGGAAAGAAGGCCTACAACTTCCCTACCTTTTTCCCCCTCTAAATATGCATGTGATTGTGCCTTTTTAGAATTAAGTACTAGCGTCATCTGAAAGGTCTACCTTTTATAAACTCATCTGTGTGTATACATGCATAAATGACATTTTAAGACATCTTTAAGACTGAAGTCAATACAACCAACATTAAAAAATAAATTGGTATGATTATCCTCTGACTGGGTCTTATTCTAGTTATTGTATCAATGCCACTTTGGTTCTATGCTATTATTTTGTACAATCTGATCCAGCAAATAAATGTTAGAAAGTCTGACTAATTCTAATTATCCTTTTAGTCATATTATCCCACATTCGCCCATACTAACTTGCTTATGTTCCAAGACTGTAAAGTGAGGTCTTAATCAATGTGTGTCCATACTGGAGTCAAGGTAAATGGCTACCAGTAACAGGATATTTTCTGTTTTGGTATCCCAGTTTCAGGATGATATCCTTGCTCATTTAGCGGACACTTGGATAAGTTAATAGAAAACGTTAAAACAAATTAAGACAAATATGGGAGACTTCGGCCTTGGAAAATCTAGTACAAACTTAGGGCCATTTTGCTTATTTAAATAAGTTAACTTAATTGATCTATTCAGTTCAATAGGGAAATGGTAAAACTTCCTGCCACAAATTATCTAGTACAAAGAAAATGTCCACCCCTGCTAAATATGCTGCTTTCTCAAAGGCCCTTGATAGGAGCAGGGTTCTACCATTTCTCTACTTTTTTGCTTTAGTTCTGGTGAAACACCTTTTCTCTCTTATACAAGTTTACACTCTATTCATGTGCAACAGGGCAGATTCATATGGTAGACATGACAAGCCTACTTTTGAGGATACTTTTGTGTTGTGGACCTCCGTCTTAAGCATGCTTAACACTTACGTTGGCATTGACTCTCTTGTAGTTAAGAATGTTTCCAAGTATCCAAGGAAACCCAGGAAGTATTATCTTAAATTCATTCTACCAATCCTGAATATTACTACTTTCAAGAAATGTTTAAACTGCTCAGCGACTAAGACTTTAACATGCTATTGTCATAAACACTAAAACAGGGCTTCAAAATTAATATCTACAAAGAATAACTACTATTTTACTTCTTTTGAATGTCAACTATTTGGGATGCTATGTGAAGTATGTTGATCTGAGATGCTTAGTTATATGTAGAAAATTACTTTAATCTCAATCATATCTGTGCTAACAATTACTTTCATATTGTTACTTAAGGCTTTCTACTTTAAAAGAAACCTTTAGAAGTTAACAATACAATCCTGTGTACATTTATTCAGAAGTTAGCCCCACTGAGTTCAGTAAGACAATTCTGTTAAGTATGTATAGGAAGCAATACAAATATATATTTTGGTACATGGACCTACAAGGTACAACTCAAACAAAAGAAGCAATATGTATTGTACAATAGGCTAGATTTCAACAGAATTGCTTTTAAAATTAATTACAAAATGCCAACCAAAATCTGTTTTGGCAAATTGTCTTTATTACGTCCATACGTGAAGATCCTGAGAAGAATCTGGTCCACTTTAGTTATTACTAGACTGCACTTCTACACTCTTCTAGTGGTAAAAACAAATCCTTTTAAATTGAACTTCAAATAATTATTTAAGATTGCATTTCACATTTCATTCCAATGATTCACAAAGTAATTATTTACTAATCATAGGAAGTTTACCACAAGTGCAAAAACAGTTTTATAAACTCTAGCTAACTGAAATGTTTCTACAGTTCTATCACAGTACCCAATGACAAGAAGCACTTAAATGCCCAATAACTCTCATTTCTATCAGCTGTTTACTCCCTTTCAGGCACCCTAGTAATCCATCTTAGAGCACCACTATTCATGACTGAGCAATTATTATTCTTTATTTTATTTCCATACCACCCAATAGTCAAAACTCTCTGGATAATTTACAACAACAGATGCAGAGATGCAGCCCAACGACAATTAAAGTAGGTGAGAAAAGATTTTCCTCACAAGAACTCAAAATCTAGAGTAACAATCTATGGACTTGATGAAGGCAATTCATGAAACAAATTTTGATTGGCATTCTTTTGTTATCTACGGAAGTATTCATTCCTGTGATTACACAGTGTTGACAATTATATTACCAGGGTTTGTGGTTGTTGTTGTTAGAACCCGTAGCTCTGCAATAACATTCTAACTTAAGGACAAATAAGGACAATTTCATTCATTGTCATTCATTGCTATCTTAAGGACTAAAAAGAAAAAAGTAAAATGAAGCAACTTGTTTAAGTCAGTGTAAGTTCTAGACAGTGTGTAAGTACATAGCAAGAGTTTTGGAGGCCCTACTCCTTGAACGCCACAAGGACACTACACTGCTGTGAACACTGATGACTGAAGTAGGGTGAATAATTGAGATGGATAGTTCCACATAACACTGATGAGAGGTTGTGGACTCGTCAACTGTGTCACTTGAAATTCCTGCTTTAAGGTGGAAGCGGACCTGAGAGAGAGATGAGGAAATGCACTGGATCAAGGTTAAATCTGAAGGAGAGGCAGAGCTGACATGAGAGGTGTGATAAAATTGTTTGCTTCCCCCCCTCCATGTTCTTTTGATAAAGAATTTGGGAGAATCTATTTTGGAAAATAAAATGTTGCTGGAAAGAGAATGAACGCTTTGGGAGGCAACTGATCTTTGGAGAAGGATATTCTGGGAGACAATCCAACCTGTAAAGCCAGAAAACAGATTTGAGGCTGCAATCCTATACCCATTTACCTGGAGATAATGAAATGAATGGGAGTTATTTCTGAGTAGACTTGCCTAGGGTTGCACTATATCAGTACATGTGAGTAATTTCATCTTGCTGATGCATCACACAATAGGAATTAATTTGTTTTTGTAGGTGATATCCGCCTAGTACTCTTTTGAAGAGCAACCAAGCAGGTGCTTCTGGATGCTTACAACCAAGGCCTTTCTGTATTTATCTGTTCTCTTGTATTTAAATTTATGTTCTTGATAAATTAAGAGTATTTAGTAGGGATGATACAGGAAGAGCTGAGCAAAGGTGTTGCAAAGCATGTCATCACAGTGCCAGTGAGACCTGGCACCTAACAACACCCATTGTCTGAAAGTACCAGATGCCTTATATGGACCCATTTCCAGGGTCACTGTTCACATACAGCCTTTCGGTTATGCCAAAGAAAATAGTACAGAGCATGTGCAGCTTCAGATGTTTACCACTGAGTAGTCAGCACCAAGCGCAACACATTGATGGATATAAGGTTACTATCAGGAAAGAGGTATGATTCCCAGGCATGTTTGAATCTAAACATGTATTAAGTTAGAAATAAAAAGCTGCTTTCAATTTAAAAAGCTTTTTACTCCTCCAGTAGTAAGAGAGTAACAAATGTAAATTAAGAATGAAAGGGGGGAAATGGAAATCTGGAAGAAGGCCATGACATTGCTACTTGTATTTAGGAACTATTACTCAAGTCCCTGAACCTGAAAAAGTTACTGGTGGTTTTTAAAAGATGGTGGAGAAGTAATTGAAAGCCCAACCCTACAAATGACTACTCAGAAGAAAGTCCTACTGAGTTTACTAGCTTTTACTCCCAAGTAAACAGCCATTGGATTGCAACTTAATTTGCTAAGCATCTATCCCATGGACAAATATTCCAAGGCAGTGACTGTTGTTTGAAGAAAGATGGTGCATACATGGAAAGAGAATGAAATGCATCACACTAAGAACTAGCAACCATGAATATTTAGGAAATTTGTGAATGGATCCATTAAAACATTTAATGCCAGTTTTTAAATGCTACATATTGTGGACAAAAATTAAGAAGTAACAGATTCCCAAAAGGGAAATGGGACATTTATATTTTACACCTGAAATTATATTACGAGTTTAATGCAACAGAGAAAAGGGATTCTGTATCTTCTGTAGCTGTGCAGAAACAGAAATTTGGACAGGAATAGCTTCTTTCACGACCTCAGAAGCTGAACCTGTCACAATTTCTGCTCTTGTGCAATTATGACATGTACAGGACTTCTGTCATTTGATCACTCTCTTTGTGGGCCTGGTCAGGTAGGAAAAGTTAGTTAGTTTGTTTGTTTGGGATATTTCTAGGCCATCCAATCACTCTGTGTCTCTGGACGGCTCACAACAAAATCAATAAATACAACAACTGAAGTATAATGTGAACAACTGAATGTATAATCTGGTTCTATTCTAAAATACAATGAAGTCTACAGTACCCTACTATACTATGGCTAAGTAATAATGCTTCATTCTGTGATCAGAAAAACAAATAAATCCAGGATTCCTGTTGGCTCAAACAATTTATCACAAATATATTAACTCAGAAATAAATTCCTTTTAAACCAATAGCACTTAATATCAAAGAAACTTGTTTGGGATTAAGGGTTTACTTAGTTCTATTATCTAGTCAGCTTACAGATTTGTTTTAAACAGTTACTAAAATCGATCTAGTCCCCAGCACACACACAAACACACACACACATTACCTGCTTTCTTCCAGTGAATCAGCACAAAGGTTTATGGTAAGTGTTGTAAACAAGCCTTCTTCCTTAGACAGAGGTTACAGAAATCAACAAGAATTCGATAGAGATGTCAGCCAGCTCCACAGTGGGTAAAATTTATGCCCTTCGTGCATTTATGTAGCTAGGTATCCCCCCCAAAAAACCCTCTTTAGCTATGAATGGATTCAACCAACAGCTCCTTTCTCTCATTCAGCTTGAAACAAGAGCTCTGAACTACAGATACAAACAGCAGTGCAGCCAGCCAGTTGTGTTGATGTATTGGACCTCCGTTATTACATGCTCCCTGATTCTCAGGCAGAGTAAATAGCAGAAGTTATCTGCTTCATATCAGGAGCTGCACGGTTTCCTTTTCCTCAGCAAGAGCCATTGTTGTAATGACAAAGCACAAATGGCCATAAAAGAGACACAGCTGGCATGAGAATCAGCTGAAATCTGAAGTGAGGCTTAGGTATGGGAGGAAATACTAAAATCATCACAGGAAAGAGCAGAAACAGGGATGTTGCGATTTGGTAGTAGCCCTGTTCCGTCTGTTCCAGGAAAAACAACAAAGCTTGTGGCATAAGCTTTTATGGATTGCAGCCTCAGCAGATGCCTCAAGTGCAGTCCTGGCCTGACTTTCAGCTATAATGTAAAGTAGGTGGATGCTGAAACTGAAGGCAGAGGGAATGAACTGCAGGAAGTGCAGACAGGGACTGAAATTTTAATTTAGTTTCTAATGTATCAATATTTTCAGAAGCAATATAATTCTGCATATGAGATGCTGGGAATAAATAGGATAACAGGGTATACCCTCGCTTCTCCCTTGCATTCTTCTTGAGTAGTTCAAATAAGCATTTAGCTTGCCAATTGTTGGAAACACACTGGTGGAAAAGGTGAATCCTGATATAATAAGGAACGTCTCCTTCCTTAGATGCCCCCATGCCCCTTAAGATCTGTGGGAGAGGCCCTGCTCCGGGAACTTTCCCTGAAGCAGGTAAAAAGGACATCTACTCAGAGTAGGGCCTTCTCTGCGGTGGCACCCAGATTGTGGAATGCGCTTCCCAGAGAGGTTTGCCTAGCACCAAGTTTATACTCTTTTTGGTGCCAGGTGAAAACTTTTTTAATTGTTATTTTAAAAACTAGTATTTTAATGTTCGTCAGTTTTTATTTTAATTTATATTTCCTGGTTATTTGTGATTTATTATATTGATGTGGTTTGTTTTACTGTGTTTTGATTTTAATTATTGTAAGCCATCCTAAGATGCCATGCATAAGGGACAGCACATAAAAGTTTTCAATCAATCAATAAATAAATAATAAACATTTTCACATTTTACTAGGTAATACAATAGCAGCACATCATCAAGAGTGCAATTTTCAAAAGCACCAAATTTTAAAAATAGTATTTATAGGTACAATCACATGTGTAGATAAAATACAGTTAAATGTTGGTTATATCTGAACCATCCCTGGAACATAGCTTAGCAGGTCTCCTTAGGTCAGATATTGATCTGTCTCTAGACTAAATTATACTTATTGTGAAGACAATAACTGGAACAAGAAAAAGGTGAAGACTGGAGCTGCATCTCAGGTTGCTTACAAAGGTGATCGTGATAATGTGCAACCTGAGGCCACAGAAGTGAGCTTTGTTTCCAAGTTCGTTCTCTTATTGCCGACATCAAATGCTACCTTCTTCCCTGTGAGACACATCATGCAGTTTATAACAGAATTCACAAGGATTATACAAGTTATCTATTTTTAATCACATAGTAAATAGCATATCCTTTCAAGACAATGAGTACAAAAATATTGCAGGCTGTTTAAAACTAAATCTAAATTAAAATCAAATGTGCAGGCAGTTTTAATAGTAAGAAGATAAGTTGCTCATACAACTTTGGGCATCTCTATTTGGTGCATTTACCAAAGTTGTCCAAATGAATGCACATTAAAAAATCCAAAAGTGAAGTGCTAGTATGGTGCTGAGCCATGTAGTGTCTACCTGCATCATACCAAGTTCAGTCATGTGGTCTGAGATGCTTTTAAGATGCCAAAACAATTTACTGTGCATTGCGATTAACATACTTGTCCATTGAGCAAGAAGCCTATTTCCTTAACAGCAGAGCAGTAGGCAGAAATCAACAGAAGTTTTCCACAGTGTGGCAAAAATGTGATCACATTGATATTGCAATGGAGAACCTGTACTATTGGTAGCTGCTCCTCCAGCTTCTATTAAAGGAACAGGATCTCTTTGCATTAGGAGGTAGCAACCAGTTTGCAATGTGAAATATTGCTCCATGAACAGACAAGGCACTTTGACATTATTCCACTAGGGCCATAATAGTTCAAACTCTTTCATATTGTTTGCTAAACTTCCTGATCTTCATTATCCGCATTGCAGTCAAATGCATGGAGGTCTCTCTTTCCAGAATGGTTTCTATATTTCTAAAGCGATAACAAGCTAAGAAAGAAAACAAATAAAGCATATGTCTGCATGATTATTATTTTATGCCTTCTGCAGAACTTCAGGATTTCAAAAGACATGTTAGTTTTGAATTAATTCACTCCTTGTGGGTTGGGGAGCACCAATTAGGGCCTGTTTGCTTGCTTTAAGTTTTAAACAACAGAAGCATCGTGAGCAGCGGACTTCTCAGTGTCAAGCCACCATGAAAATGAACCAAAAGTACATGAAATGTGAATTGGCAAACTGGGAAGTTGTCAAATGAGGCTCATACAGGATCGGCCATAGAACTAGGCAAACGTGGACAGTTGCGGAGGGTGTTGTGGCATGACTGGTATGAAAAGCAGTATCATTATTAGGATTACATTATGCTTTCTTCTTGTTGTAAGGAACCAGGGCAGCTACAATTCTCTTTCTGTTCCATCCTATCCTTACCATGAACTAGCCTGTGAGAGAAGTTAGAATGTGAGTCACCAAGTGCATTTCTTAACAGCAGGACTGGAATCCGGATTTCCCAAGCACCAGCTAGCACTCTTACTGCTAAAGCACACTGGTATAGCGGCATGGACAGGCACGTGTCCTCAGCCCAAGCCACTGACAAGAGCCCTCTGGACTTGCTGCTTCCTTCACCATTCTAGCGGTGTCTTCCTGTCTGGCCAAGCATGGCGGCAGGAAAGAGAAGGAGCAGTGACAGAGGCATGAAGCGAAGACTCACCGTTGCTCCTGGCATAGTTGCCGTGAGTAGGAGCCATCTCGAGTTGTGCTACCCAGTTTGGAAGACCTCCCCAACCCCATTGGCCACTCTGGGTCACTATTGCTTCTCTTGACAAAAGCAGTCATTTTCCGTGCAGGTACATATTTGACTTTTACATGTGAGCCATGCTTATATAAAAGAGTGATAGCGGTTAGGGTTCATACTTTGAAGATCGAGCTTTGCCATGGTATGTTACAAGCTGGAACAGGCAGATCCTTGTGTGTCAAGGTTTTATACTTGAGTGAGCACATAAAGTGATGAATGATTAGTCTACTCTGAATGAGCATGGAACAAGGCACCATGCTTTGAAGCTGAACTGAAGGAACTGAAGCTAAATTACTACTACTACTATTAATACTAATTAAATTTGTTTAAAAGTCCCCCATTAGCAACATGCAAAGAACCTTGTGGCACTGTAAAGAGGAACATTTTTTTCTCTGACCTGTGCTGCAAGCTGCAAAAGCTTTTTGCCAGAATGTGTTTCATGTGCCAAAAGACCCTTTCTTACTTTTACTGTGATAGACTAGCATTGTGACCAACTGGAAACTGGAACAAAATATATCTCAGCAGATCTTGCCCTTCAGTGCACTAAAGCTTTTTTATTATTGTATTTTTTTTTGTATTTGCTGAAAAATACATTGGCTGATCTCAGCTAAAATTTTAAAAATCCTTGGGAGCAGTATTGCTGGGTTACATTTCCCTCCTGCCTGTATTAATGTATTATGAACTGAGAAAACGCTTTAGGGTACAGACCAAGCACGGGTAGACAGAAACAAGTCCTGGAATGCCCAGCACCGTTCAGCCAGCAACAGGGATAGACTTGAGCCCTTAGCTTGTTTTTTAAAGAAATGATGCATACATACACGTACAATATACAATCAAAGCTAACCGTTACAGGTGTGGACGATCTAATCTGCATTTGCACCTCTGACTTTTTTGTGTTTCCATTGTGCTAGCAACTGGTTTCTTCCTCACCACTAGATGGCACAAGGACCCATTCTGCTTCCGTAGGGAGCAAATCTTGTAAAGCGATGGAGGGAGATAGCCCTGCTTTTGTGTGCCTCGGTCACAATTCTGCAAATCTCCGTTTTGTTTTCAAGTAAAGAACTAGGTTACTAGTCCTCACTGTTGAGTGAAGATAGCTGAAACGTGTATTGGCAGAAAAGTCACCCTGTGGTCCGCGAACACATCTTCGCCCGTTTCTTGAGCGTGTTTAAGCTACGCTGCTCTTGGCCCGCGTCTGGCCATACCCGCAAAGTAGTCTGTGCGTGCGGAATCTCCCCCGCTGCCCCGCAGGTGATTTGCCAACTCTTAGGGGAAGGTGCCGGAAGAAATCCTCGGTTCAGCAGCGCGCGAGGGATTTCCTTCGGGCTGGTGCTGCACTGGAGCTGCTTTTTCTAATTGGGGGTGCCATGCAATTAGAAGCTATTTCCCTAAATTCCTCCAAAACGATATAGAAATCTTAGCAAGGCCAGCATACGGGTTTTCTGGCTGGGAAAGGAGTTGATCGGGGCTTATTTATGGCTTTGCTTTTGTTCCTGGCACGCTGCAACCAGAAATAGCAAGTGCATTGTTAAGATGATGATTAGTATCACATGTCAGTGCTGAACTACATCACAGGAACGCTTTTGCCTCTGGTCGGTATTTGAACATTTGAAGACTAGTCGCTTCCATATCTCACCGGGGTAACTGGATTTTCCATTGCAAGCAGAATCCTGGAAATCCAGTTACCCGGAGGGGGGGGAGCAGCGGTGTAAGGAAACGAAGTACCCTTCCCAAGGTAGGCACTAACGTGGGGCGGGGCGGCTTGGCTTTCGAGCAGCTTTGCCGCCAGGTGAGAGAGCGAAAGAGCCATTTTTCAGCTGCGTGGAAAGGGGTCCTCCTCTGCCTTTTGCGCTCCGCTCAGCCAGTGCTTCCCTCCCCCCGCCTGGGATAAAAATGGCCGGAGCCGTGACACACACAGCAGGAAGCGTCAAACCAGGAAGAGCGGCGCAGGCAAAAGAAGAC